CGATCTTTATATACAGCAGCCGCTGAACAAAGGATTCCGTTGAGGCTGTAACTTTTGCTTTGTGGATCCAAAAGCAGATGCGGATAATGATCAAACAGAAATGGATTCAGTATCCCCCAAGTAAAAGGTTCTCTTTCTCCCTCTTTCATTACAAGGCCTAATATTTCGTGCCCGCCATGCCTTATCTTTGGCATTGACTCGATAAAATATATTGCTTCGGCTGAACACAAAGTACCGGTTTCAGTCCCGGCCCCGCCAGATAAATTCCTTTGTGAGTCCTATATCGGCATCGGAACGCAAAGTTCCGGAACGAGGACAGCATCCAGTTCCGCACCGGCCGTTTTTGTGCTTCACCACACTCTATATTTTATTAATCTGCCCTCCTTCACCCAATACCGGTCGCAAACCCGAACGTAAAGAATCGATTGATATTCAGGGTATGTTCAATATTATATACATGCATCTCGAAACCCAACCCTATGCCATTATTTGTAGCATTTCATTCCGTTTCCTGTTTGGGGTGTCCGGAAAGTAGCCTCCGCCGCCGTGATCAGCAACCGACGAACGTCACGTGAAGTGGCGTCGCAGGGTTTTCAGCCAACAATTCATGTTCAATCGTGTTTTTCCACAATCCAACTGCACAGCCCTCTGGTAATGGACAACCCCGGACATGCTGTCAAGTTAGGTGGAAGAAAGGGTAAAAAATACGAGGGCCATTCACCGTAGACCGTCGAAAACGACGGTGGGGTCACGGGCCGGATCTTCTGAGCGTTGTAAGATAGGGTAAGTTCACTTCCAGGGTCATCACGTGCAAGAGCGTGACAGGGCCCTCAGAGAGGCGTGACAAGACCATGAAATACCTGATATATATTTGTACATACAGTTTTTCAAAATTTCGAAACCACAGATCCAATCCATTCCATTGTAAGGATGTGTGTATGCAAAAAAAAAGGTGCTTAAATGTGAATCAATGGAGGAGATAGCATTTTCGTGGCAGAGGGGGTTCACAATGGCCAAAAAAGGCAAGGTGGCACTGCGTTTGTGGCCACAGAGCCTCGCGTTTGCCATGCAGCAGTACCCTGTCGCTTCGTTGCAAACAAACGTGGAGCCTCCTCGCACCTCGACAGCGACTACAAAAAAGTTTCAGGAATACAACTACACCTCTTTTCACTTCATTTTCTATTGAAACATGCCAAAACCAAAAAGATCCAATGTCAAAAACCTCGGTGCTCATGCACTGCCGAAGGAGGTGAGCATTGTATCATTCCCCGAAGTACAGAAGCTAATACAAAAAATACAAAGGATCGTCCACGGACCCCACCTCCTAAGTCACAGATAGTCCACAATCCTCCTCCCGCACCTGCACGACCAACTTACACCAATGGCGAGACCGGACAACGCCGAGACAATGTCGTTGACGCTCTCAATGAGATGAGCACATCTCGATGGTCCCTCACAAGTCCTGTACCCGATGTTTCAATCAGCGACCTCCACAACCACCCCGCTAGCCATTTCAGTGCCCTTACACGTGCAGGCTGGTTCCGAGAGCGCTCGGACAGCGAGGGCTCAGAGCCATCTTCGTTGACATCACGACTACACCAATTGCATTCTCCCACAACGAATTCCTCTGCAATCCCGGCCCTACCAGAGCCTATCAACACACCCGATAACATATTCGACCCCGTTGGCGCCTTCGCAGCACTCCTTGAAGCAAAACTATCCCTCCAATCGGCAAATGCGGACGACGAGGATGCAGACGCAGTCGATGACGATAGGAGCGAGGAGAAAGGGGTTCTAGACAAGGGCGAAGATACAGAATATGTGGGTATGGACGGAGAAGAAACCGAGGGTGACGGAGCTGAGCCTTGTCGTGAGGGCGATGATCTGTGGGAGAGGCCGGAAATGCGGAGAAAGGGGCGCTTTGTTTTTGCGCCATCGCTCGACGAAGCTCGCGTGGCGCACGCCGACCTTGTCAGTGTCCTGGAACCAAAACGCACAAGTGGTCGTGGGTACAAGAAGGTGGATATGGATGAAGTTACTCAGCGGCGGTTACTGGGCCTGCGCATCTTCTTGAACCTCTTCATCGACAGGGAGAGCATCTCACCTGGGAAGCGTGGCAACTGGACACAGGCATCCTTTGATGCGGCCAAAGTCATCGAAGAAAGCACGTTCCAGGCTGAGAACTACCGTCAATGGGGGCGTGCATTCATTCAGGACCGCGACGCACTCCCCGAACACGACTACGGCAGGGGCAACCGCGCACTCATCGAAGATGAAGATATTGCTACCGAAATACACCTACATCTACAAAGCATCGGTAAATACATCAAAGCGGAGGACGTTGTACGCTTTATGGGGACACCGGAGATGTTGGAGAGGACGAAACGCACCAAGCCTATTTCCGTTATAACTGCACGCGCATGGCTCGCACGGATGGGATACCGCTGGAAGCGTGACCATAGAGGCCAGTACGTTGATGGCCACGAGCGCGAGGACGTTGTCACCTATCGAAACAAGATCTTCCTGCCTGCAATGGCTATATTTGAGCTGAAAACACGGAAATGGGTCGATTTAGAGCTAGACGAGGAAGGGAACTATACCTTGCATGGGCGCCGTGTCGTAATCTGGTATCACGATGAGTCCACCTTTTACGCTCACGATCGTCGAAAGAGCCGTTGGGTGGCTCCTGGTGAAGCGCCGATACCACAGCCGAAAGGGGAGGGGGTTTCGCTGATGGTCGCAGACTTCATTTCTGCTGACTATGGCTACTTGCGCTCGCCGGATGGAACCGAGGAGGCGCGGGTGCTGTTTCCTGCTGGGGCACATCGGGAGGGTTATTTTACGAATGAAGAGATATTGAAGCAGGCGAGGAAGGCGATGGGGATCCTCGAGAAATATTACCCAGACGAGGACCACGTATTCGTATTCGATAATGCGACGACGCACCTAAAGCGACCTCAAGGGTCACCGAGCGCCACCAAAATGACGAAGGGGCCGTCGAAGGATTTTGGCGTTGACGTGAACGTTTTGGGCGAGGATGGAAAACCTATTTATAACGAGAAGCGTCAGCCTATCAAGAAGAGGGTTCGCATGGAAAAGGGGCGGTTGGATGATGAGAACGAGCAGGACTTTTACTTTCCAGATGACCATTCCGAGTTCCCTGGATACTTCAAGGGCATGGCACGGATTCTCGAAGAGCGTGGCGTGGACGTGAAGGGGAAGAAGGCTCAATGTGGCAAGGCCTTCTCCGATTGCCCCAAGGGCGCTACCGACTGCTGCTGCCGTCGCATGCTGTACAACCAACCGGACTTCGTTAACGTCGAATCCATTTTGGAGTCGGTGTGTCGAGAGCGGAACGTACCGGTGGTGTTTCTGCCGAAATTTCACTGCGAGCTGAACCCCATTGAGCAAGTATGGGGTGCGGCGAAACGGTACTATCGGCTTTTACCTCCATCGTCGAAGTTCGAGGACCTTCGTCAAAACCTTCTCGAATCCCTTGAATCTGTCTCTGTGGATCATATGCGAAGGTCAGTTTTCTTTCACTAGTCCGAAGAAACAATTGGGTGATAGGCTTGCCTTTCAGGTTCGTGACGCGAACCTCGCGGTTCATGGATGCGTACCGCAAAGGGTTGAATGGAAGGCAGGCGGCGTGGGTTTCACGCAAGTACCGTGGACACCGTGTTGTGTCGGAGTCAATTCTAAAAGAAATGGATAACGCTAAAGTTGTATAATATTAATACAGTAATTTACTAGATAACTTCGGTACTTACTGGTGGGCCGTGAGTGTCTCAGCCATCGAAGACACGCTGCCTTGAACTTGCGAGGTTGTGGTTGCGTGTGGAGAACTGAACCCGACATTTCTGTGGCGCAATTTGGGCGGCCATACCCGATGGTCACGTGGTGACGCGCCCTTGGTCACTCGAGAGTCACACGCCACGGAAAATCGAAAACAATGATGTTGAATATTATCTCCTCCTTTGCATCGCTGTACTTACCAGATTGAACTATGCAATCTCATAGAGTAGATCAATCCCAACAAATCTGTGGTTTTGGAATTTTATCCAAGCTTATATTCCATCTTCCACAAATATCCTTCATCATTGTTGCTGCTTTTTCGAGCCCAGAATCTCCGAAGCACGTGATGACCCCGGAAGTGAACTTACTCTATCTTAAGTTGAATGGCCCTCGCAAAACTCACTCTATCAAAAAATTAATTTCGCAGGGATGCTACAATCTAACGTGGGCGTAGACATGCGCAATTGAAATTTTGACGAAGGCCTTTTTGTACGCGCTAAGTATTCTTGCAGAAACGTTTTGCGCCACAACACGTGATGTTCGTCGGTCGCTGATGGCCTCTGCCTTACTTGTTTATACCGCCACGTTTCCCACGTGGCTTGTCTCCACGTGGTTTGTCTCGAGACAACTGCCTCCCCATTAAGTATTAGATGATGACAGGCCATGCTCTCTTACGGCACTCAACCAAATCCGAGCCTAAGTATAGCGGTCACGGTGGCTGTTGAGTATGTGAGTTCTTCTCGCAGACCTGAAGCATCAGGTGCGTTTCCAGACGAATCGTACTGCCTTCTACCAATACCGCAACGTATTCATCTGTTTATAAATCGGTTGTATCCTATAAGCGTGGCGCCGGGACACAGGGATACATTAAAGTAGTCCATCACGCGAGAATTCAATATAACCCGCTCGGAATCGGTGCCACATTGGTGCAGCCGTGATACATGTCATGATGCACGTTTGATACCTTGTGGTTGTAAACACGCATGTTTTCGACAGAGACGGGGACAACAGCCTCACGATCAGACGGCTCACTGCAGAAGATATATGTAGCAATATAGCTGGCAGGAGTCTCATAATGGCCCGAGAGTCGATGCTCTTCGGTAGGCAACCACGGTGCCTTATATTCGATCAAAGGGCTTGGTTTGATTCGACCTATAGAATAATGCAGAGATGGTGCGGGGCCGTGGAAGCCATGAGGCAGCGTGTTGAACCCAGGCCGTGTCTGTCTATCTATGCATTTGAACCTCCATAAGCCCTGTTCAGAGTTCGCATATTGAGGCCTCGCATATGAGGCTCGTAAATGAGCTCGATATGAGCTGAGCTGCCCCATTAGGGAGAAACTGCTCGGCAAAGCCTCTTGGCTGTGCTGGAGCTCATATCAAACTCATATCGAGCTCATATACGAGCTCATATACTGCGTTTATGAGGGCTCGATATGAGCACTCTGAACAAGGCTATACATCCAGCGAGTTTCGTTCCAGTTGGGTGTGATGGCCTGCTTTCTGAAGTTCCTCGTGTTGAAACATGGCATATGCATGGGCTTGGGCTTCTCCCGCTATCCATACAGCATAGCCTCCTAATTTATGGTTCTACGCCGTGTGTTGTTATTGGAGTGAAGCGTCCCGCATACTCGAGTAGCCTTCGGGTGCGGCCTCAACTCCCTGCACAATTTAGGTGGCTATGTACTCGAGCTATGCCATATATAAAGGCACATGTCCCCTACGGTATGTCTGCCCTACTCACCTTCCCCACTCACCTTCTCCACAATGTCTCTCCCTAGTTCTGCCACTCCAGACTGCAGCTTCTTCGTGACCCGTATCATGTTCCACAGTTTTCTATTAATCCTTTATCCGGTCTTTACCGTATACGCATTTTCGTTCTCCAATATTTTCGTCCTTTCAGGTCTCGCGATATTCATAGTCATCATGACGCTTCTTGCTGGGTAGGTCTCCCATTTCCTTTTTATCGCGCTCACCGTTGTCGTGTCTAATTTTGTGTACTTTCGTCAGTGATTGGGTTACTTTCCATAGGAGACCACCCGTTATGTTATGGTATTTCGCCGATATCACTTTGTCAGGATCTTTGATTCCGTTGTCCCGGCTAGGTATGTACACGTTGTCATCTCCATATCTTATCAAGGCGACATCGTGTTCATTTATATAACCTGCAGCCGAAAATCACGATTGGGATACACCCGATTCAGGAAACTTTGACCCTTGGCAGGAACTCCTCTTCTACTCAAACGCGTTCTTCTTTTCCATTTATTGGCTCCCAGCTATCATCGTCATCCTCTACGTCCTCTTCCTGAACATTTCCCTCATTTACAACTCCATGAAACATGGTCATTCATCCAGTCCATTGTTTGCCACGGGTCCTCCAACGTCACCGGACTCGGACCAGCAGTCTACATCCTTTAGATGGCTGCTGGGACCAAGGCGTAGCGATGAAGAAGAGCACTTGGTCGAGCACGGATGTGCAAAGGTTATATTCGGCCGTACCATGTTTCGTAAACACCCGTAAGTTCTCTAATTCCACTTTTGTTACCAATGCATAGCGGACATATAGCAAGTCACAGTATAGTTGACATTGTGTTGAATTAGATTTGAGCCCGTCCTACTAGGGCTCGTCCGGGGCACGATTGCGATGTGGGCAATGCTAGGCCTTTTGGGGTACCTGGTTTTTCTCATCTATGAGCAGGAATTCATCGCGAGCAGCATTAGCCCCGTTCAACAATCACTCACGATGATAGATCGTCGGGGCTTCGATGAGTCTACCGAATGGCCTGTATATTTTGGGGCTTATCAACCCGAAATACTAGTGGTGCGTATCGCCTGCTACAATCCTCGGTCCACAACTCACCTCACACGACATTGCATCTCAGAGGGCAAACAGGAACGTCACCTCTCACAAAGTTGCTACATACCGCGACTTGAACATCACCATTCCAGATGCAGTGGACGGGAATCAATGTGACACCTCCCACGCAAAGGACTCGTCTGACATCCTTCACGCAAACTGCACTTTTACGGCCACGGGTGATCCATTCAGCAGCCTCTATATCTCTCTGTCGAGCAATGTCTCCGTTTCGATCTGGGTGCTCGACTCCCTGGGCAATCAGCGACACGATTTCCCGACCGCACGTCGATACACCAGACCGTTCGTCCTGGAACCCAATCAGCACCTGATCGGCTCATTGTCTGTAAGGAAGATCACGCTTGGGAGATGGGAATGGCTGGCGTACAACCCGCGTAAGCCTTTTTACTAATGTCCTCTACGTCCACTGTTGACATCTCTCTGGATTATAGGCGTTGAGCCTGATACCAACAGCTCAGCTATATCTCAGGCCGGACTCAACACATCATCGATTGTGCTGTCCACTGTCCTTCCCAGCAGCCTGGAATGGATCGCTTCCGAGGAGATCACCTCAACTTCAATTGCTGGGGCTGCGCTGCAAATCATTTCCACCGTTGGTGGCGTATATGTTGTTGTAAACGGTATATTTTTCTTCATTTTTGGGAGGAGTCTCCTTGCGGTAATCATCGGTACGAATATTCAATCTTCAGTACATTATGTCTGTCCTTATGCTGAACTACCCGAAGGTGGAAGACCCCTCTCTCCGTTTGGATTGAGTAGCTTGTTTCCGTCCTTCAAGAAAGCCATCTCAGACGCCTATCCTGACATGCAACAGGACCTGAAGTCAAAGGGAATGGCACGTTTCGTTCACGAGGTAGCGATGGATGTTGGAGTTGTAGGAGTTGTAGAAGACAAGGACCGCGCGTAACGCATGCCGAACTCTTAGGGGTCACTTGCTTCGGGGGAGTCCTGGGCAATTCCATAGGCACACGTCCTAGCTTCGGCCTGGACATCCGTTCATTCACAATTCCGTGTCATTTCCGCATCTTAGTGTCACACATATATTCTGATTAATTATCGCTCTGTCGTCTCTCGCAGACCCTTTCCGCTCGGACCCAACAACGTGGCCGCGGACTTGGATGATGCTGTAAGCCTGGCGGGCTCACATATTCGTTAACCGGTAATTTACGTGTGGCTTTCGTAGTACAAACAAGTACAAACAGTACGATAATATTCCTCCCTGCGCCGCGGTCCCCTTTACCTTACGTTCTCTGACCGCAACGCAGGTATGAATCTTTTACTCTTACTTACCGTTACCGGACCTTACGTTCTCTGACCGCAACGCAGACGGTTTGATCCTGTTAGATTGGTCCGAGTGAGGCTGCCCCGCCAGACAGCCTTTCACTTTTTTTTTAACATCGATCACCACCGCCGCCGCTGTTGAGACGCGCGTACAGTCAAACCGACTGTGCTCCACCCGTCACAATAGCCCCTCGCCGTCTACCGTCGACGCCAACACCGCTCCTCACACGAGCAGCTGTTCGCGCGAGAAACAACGCCGCTGAAGCCGTTCCGTCCCCGCCGACCGCCGCCACACCGTTTCCCCATCCATCGCCGCCTCCCACAGTCCCATCCGTCCTTCCAAATCCGTCTCCTCCACTCTCAGGCCCTCCCTCACCGAGATCCGACTCCGATTACAGCTCCGATCTTCCATCGTCCGCGCCAACGATGTCCACGATGCGCAACAGAACCACACTCGCGACGGTCGAACACAAGTCCGTCACGAAGCCTCCGATATTGACGCCTGGCGAGCTCTCTCCCCAGATCCTGCAGGACTGGAAGTTCGCTTGCACAAGCTACTTCCGTCACAAGGAGATCAAGGCCGCAGATCAGGTGGAGATGGTGGTTTCAGGCATGGAGGATCCGGTCATACGTGCATGGTACCAGGGCAATCCGGCCGCGCTCCACGCGCTCACGTTCGACACGTACATGAAGGAGATGGCGAAGGTGTGGCTGCCGAAGAACTGGGAACTCAAGGTACGCCGCTCAGTCAACGGAGAGCATCAGGGCGAGCGCGACTTCTGGTCGTGGGCCACACACATCCGCCAAACGAACGCCACCCTTCTCGGCACGACGTACCACGCCAACGACACTCGCCTCATGGAGATTCTCGAGGCCAATATGGACCCTCACCTCTCCAAGGCTGTCGAACGGAAGGGGATCATCGCGACGAACATCAAGGACTGGCTGGAGGAGATCCGCACCGTCGACGACGAGCGCCAGGACGTCCGCGAACAGGTCGCCTCAGCCGTCGCAGCCGAACGTTCACGCAATCGGGCAGACCGCGACACTCGTCGTGCTACCAACACTACGCAGTACGTCCCTCGCTCCGCCGCTGTCGCTACACCTTCCGCTTCCACTTCCGCTGCCGCTACCTCCGAGGCTCGTCTACCGCGGTTGACGGAGCCAGAGAGGGAGCTGTTGAACAAGTACCACGGGTGTCGGAAGTGCCGTCGTTTCTGGGTGTACCACCAGACCCAAAACTGCCCGAATGGTTTCGCCTCTGGTGTCGGCTACGCCCCGCTTACTGAAGCTCAGGCGCTAGCATCCAAGCCTCGTTCGGCCGCTGCCCCTGTGAAGACAGAACCGATCGCCGTTCTTGGGGCTGGATCTGCCGCACTCGGAAACGGAACCTCGTCTGAGGATGAATCCGAGTACGTTCTTCTAGACGAAGCTCATCTCCGCCCCGACTGTCTTATCACTGGTCCTAACGTCGAAATTCCCATTCCTATATCACCTCTTCTCGACATCGGTTCACCCTCAGTTCTGATTAGGCCCGAGCTTGTCGAACAGCTCGGACTACGACGCCACAAGCTCCCGCAATCGCAAGTCGTGTCGATGGCGAAGGAAGGTGGAGATTCATTCGAGTTCTCAGAGTGGGTGAAGGTGCAGGTTATGTCGAAGGATTCGTTGTGGGAGTCGAGAGTTGTCCGGGCCAAAGTTGCCCCAAATCTATGTGTCCCCCTTCTGCTTGGCAATACATTTCTTGTTGCCAACCACATCGTCATCGACGTCGAGGATCGCTCTGCCATCGACAAGACTGTTGGATACGACCTCATGCGTCCGAGAACATTTCCACCTCGAACATGGCCGGGTCCGAGAGTCACACCGCCACCTACTCCCAAAAAGCCGCGACCGTCACCTCCGCCAAAGCGGGCTGCTCCAATCGCGATCGTTCTTCCGGCTGAAGTCATGACAGATGTCCGTGTACGCATCGAGGTCCTCGCCTTCACGGAGCTTCTCAAGAAACGTGATGCTGAATTTAAGGAGAAGTATGCAGATCGCTTTCCAGTCCGCCTTCCGGATGTCGAGGCAATTCCGGCGAAGGTCTTCCATCGCATCCGTCTCAAGGACGCGACCAAGGTTGTCTCGGGGAGATCATACACCTGTCCACAGAAGTATCGGGCGGCATGGAAAGCCCTTCTCGATGAACATCTCGCGGCCGGTCGCATTCGTCCCTCATCCAGCAGCTACTCATCGCCGGCATTCATCATTCCGAAGTCAGATCCAACCGCCCCTCCTCGATGGGTCAACGACTACCGGCAGATCAACAAAAACACGATTCGAGACGAGACACCGCTACCTCGTATTGACGAGATATTCGCCGATTGCGGGAAGGGAAAAATATTTGGCAAGATCGACATGACCAACTCCTTCTTCCAAACACGCGTACATCCTGACGACATCCACCTCACTGCCGTTCGGACTCCGTTCGGCCTGTACGAATGGACGGTCATGCCGATGGGTGGTACAAACGCACCGGCAACTCATCAACGGCGAATGAACGACGCTCTTCGTGAACATATCGGGACGATCTGCCACGTCTATCTGGACGACATCATTATCTGGTCCCAGACAGTCGAGGAGCATGCGCAGAACGTAGCTAAGGTGATGGACGCACTGAGAGCCGCACACCTATTCTGCAATCCGAAGAAGACCGAACTGTTTTGCACAGAGGTATCTTTCTTGGGCCACATCCTTCGGGCGGACGGGATCTATGCGGACCCTCGGAAGACAGATCGCATCGTCAACTGGCCAGTACCCAAGTCTGCCACCGAAGTTCGCCAATTTCTTGGTCTCGTCCGATACATCTCCCAGTTCCTACCTGCACTCGCTGAACACACCTCTCACCTCACACCTCTCACCAACAAAGAATGTGACAAGTCTTTCCCGGCTTGGACAGCAGAACATCAGCATGCCTTTCAGGCCATCAAGGACATTGTCGTCAGCCGTGATTGTCTTACCACCATCGACTACGCCGATCCGACCAAGAAGATATTCCTCACAACAGATGCCAGTGATCGTCGTACAGGGGCCGTTCTCAGTTTTGGCGAAACTTGGGAGACAGCTCGACCAGTTGCGTTCGACTCCGTTCAGCTCAAAGGTGCCGAGAAGAACTACCCGGTTCATGAGAAGGAACTTCTCGCGATCTTGAAGTCTCTGAAACACTGGCGATATCTCCTGCTTGGGGCCCACTTCGAGGTTTTCACCGACCATCGTACTCTCGCATATTTCGAAACATGGCAGGAGGAGCCTTCTCGTCGGCAATCTCGTTGGCAAGAATACATGTCCCAGTACGATTTCGATATTCATTATATCAAGGGAGAAGATAACACAGTAGCGGATGGAATGTCGCGCATGCCAGATGAAGATTCACCTGCACCCATCTGCGCTGTTTTCGCTCTCTCCAACCTCTCATCGGAATCGCCAACAGCTCCCACCAGTTCCACATCTCCAAACACCTTCACGATCTCCAGCAACAACACCCTACTACACGACATCCAGGCAGGATATGCGTCCGACGACTTCTGTCAGAAACTGTTGAAGAATCTAACCAGCATCGAGGGCGCTCGACTGGAGTCAGAGACCAATCTGCTGTATGTCGGTCAGCGCCTGCTGATTCCTCGTGTCACCTCAGTACGAGAGACGCTGTTTCGCCTTGCTCACGACTCATTTGGACATGCTGGGTTCGACAAGGCGTACGCTTCACTTCGTGACGACTACTACTGGCCCAATATGCGTAGAGATCTGGAAGGCGCATATATTCCATCATGTACCGACTGTCAACGGAACAAGAGTCGCACGTCAAAACCGCCCGGTCCACTACATCCTCTTCCCGTTCCCAACCAGCGCTTCCAATCTGTCGCAATCGACTTCATCGGACCCCTTCCGAAGGACAAAGGTCACGACTCGATTATCACGATGACAGATCGGTCAGGCGCAGATATTCGGATCATACCTTCGGAAACGACGCTTACCGCTGAGAAGTTCGCCGTCATCTTCTTTAACGAATGGTACTGCGAGAATGGCCTCCCAATCGAAATCATCTCCGACCGCGACAAATTATTTATGACGAAGTTTTGGCATGCACTTCACAAACTCACCGGAGTCAAGGTCAAGATGTCGACAGCATATCACCCAGAGACAGATGGCGCCAGCGAACGCAGTAACAAGACGGTCAACGAGGCGATCCGATCACATGTCGATGCCAACCAGACAGGTTGGGTAGCAGTCCTCCCCCGAATCCGTTTCGCAATCATGAACACTGTCAACGCGTCGACTGGCTACTCTCCCTTCCAGCTCAAAAGTGGTCATTCTCCCCGACTCATCCCGCCATTCGTCCCATCCAATCGGACAAAGGAAGATCGTGATGCAAGCGCAGTCATGCAGCAGATCGAACTGGACGTCAAGGACGCCCAGGACAATCTCCTCGCCGCCAAGATTCGCCAGGCATATCACGCTAACGAACACAGAGCAGCGGAAGACGTATTCGAGAAGGGAGACCGTGTTATGTTGTCCACAGAAAATAGACGACGAGAGTACAAGCGGAAGGGGGAAAAACGAGTGGCTAAGTTCATGCCGCGATGGGACGGTCCCTATATCGTCATTGAAGCCTTCCCAGAGAAGTCTCAATATACTCTCCAGCTTCCGAACTCACCACGAACCTTTCCGGGATTCCATGCCTCCCTTCTGAAACGTTATAAGGCGAACGATCCCACTCTCTTTCCGGGTAGAGAACTCAGCGGACCACGACCCATCGTCACCGCGGAGGGTTGGGAGGAGTGGCCAATTGATAGGATTGTGGATGAGAGGAAAAGAGGACGAGGGAAGCAGTACAAAGTTCGATGGTTGGGCGAAGGACCGGAAGAAGAGAGGTGGGTTTCGGGTGCAGAGATGGCGCAGACAGAGGCACTTGATGTCTGGGAGGCAAAGGAGGCGGAACGGATTCGTGAGCAGTCGGGCTAATTACTTCACTATTCTCATTTTCTTTCTCGGACTTTGGTTTTCTTTTTTTCGGAACTATGGGCTGATCTCAGAGGGGGGGAGGGTGTAAGCCTGGCGGGCTCACATATTCGTTAACCGGTAATTTACGTGTGGCTTTCGTAGTACAAACAAGTACAAACAGTACGATAATATTCCTCCCTGCGCCGCGGTCCCCTTTACCTTACGTTCTCTGACCGCAACGCAGGTATGAATCTTTTACTCTTACTTACCGTTACCGGACCTTACGTTCTCTGACCGCAACGCAGACGGTTTGATCCTGTTAGATTGGTCCGAGTGAGGCTGCCCCGCCAGACAGCCTTTCAGATGCTACTTGAACCATGCCTGCCTTGCTCTTGTAGACATTCTCTTACATTCACCTGTCAACAGCTGTGGAAGATCCGCACGTTTTCAAATGTGAGATAATATGAGCTATACTTATAAGCTTCATCGAACGGAAACGCGCCTTTCGCAAGGCAAGTGCGACGCGCAAGTCCGGACCAAAGGCTTCATTTGTGAAAGCACCGAATCCCTCGTGTATTGTCTTCTGACGGATCCGAAGTAATTATTAATGAGGATAATAACGGCTGTAGGAGTCAATCACTCGTATGTCGAAGCTTCTCCCGCTACGTATGAAGGACTCGTGTAGGGGCGATGAACCATAGCTTTTCGCCGCGATGGCTCGAGGACGGCTCGCGGCAGGAGGGATGGCTATGAACGGGAGCGATTTCCCCACACTGCACAGTGTCAGCTATAATATCATTCAGAGTCATTCAAAATCGGGTCTGAGAGGACTAATAGTACGACCTCGATGGAGTCTTACAACACTCAATCGTACCTACAACCCTGCCCAATTCTTCTAGCCACATAGCATCCATATCCTCGCAGTCCCTCAACCTTATCACCTTCATCCGTCCACCCATTCGATCTCTAGCAGCCGCATATGCCCACAAATTCGCAGCCACTTTGTCTTCCGCTTCCTCCACAAAACCATGGCCCATCAACTCCAACTCATCTAAACCGGTCAAAGACATGCCGAAATCATCTCCGACAGAGCTGTTTAGGGCTTTCACGAAAGGACCGACGAAGATACGCTCAACGACACACGACTCCAATGCCGGGAGCATGGTGAGGAGGTCGGTAATGGATTGTGGGAGGGTCTTGGCATCGCAAGGCGAACAGAAAGACAGGCGAATGGTCCTCACTTGCTGAAGGTGAAGGGTTTTGAAGAGCAGAAATAGCATCGGGTCGTACTTTCCCCGAGGGGGGGTAAATTCGAGGTTTATATCGGCTTCAGGTTCGATATCTGCTGACGTGAATTGCAGGGTAGATACAGAACGAGTAGACAAGTTCCATCCTTCTACGAGTACCGAACTGTATTGCAGACTAACGTGAATTCTGTCGAGTGTGGTGGCGACGGAATCGAAATCGGTACCGGAAGAAGATGGAATTGAATGTGGTAGTATAGGAAGATCGGGAGGAAATCTGCGTAGAGCCTGGGTACACACGAGAACGAAAGATGATGTCGATGGGATGGAAAGATGCTGTGGGAGCCCGAGACAGAAGAATTCGTTACCCATAAGGATAAGTCGACGGAGCAAAGGCAATGTAGCGATGTGATCGCCTACGACGACTTCGGTCGGCCGCTCGAACATTTGCTCAGTAATCTTGAGCCCCTCGAGCATCGGCATGGCATGCAGTGAGTCCAATATCTGTGCACAGCTTCGCCCAAGTGCGCCTCTGCTGGCGGAGAGGTGAGTCACGTTGTGCAGAAGGCCTTGCGGACACGCAATGTGCTCGAGGACGAGAATACGGAGGTTCGGTGCGTGACCGGCGAATGTAGACGGAGGAATAGCGCACGCGTCTTCCCAGTCGTACTCGGGTACGTATTAAAGTAACTTTTTGTGTGCTTTTTCCCCGCCAAAAAAAGGTGCGATCCGTGCTTTAGCTTTTTCCCACGCTTCACAAAAGTAAACTGTCCTTGCTTTTGGTGTGCTTCGCACCCTGTACATATACATTGTCTCGTCAATGAACCACAGTTCTTGCGAGACAGCGTTGTTTCGCCTTTGACGTCAGCACCGGTGCCGACCCTCTCTGTTCTTGACGATGACTGTCCGTGCGCGGACCGTGCCAGTTGCGCCCCACGGTCATCATCATACCGTCCTGTCGCCAACAACGACGTCGCTCAACGCCGTCAGCTTGTATTGCTGATATGGCTTCCTTCCATGCAGAGTATACTCCCTTAAGCAGTGCTGGGATTGAGTAGGTCTGTAAGTGTGATATGGGCAGTGGTCGGCGCCGTTGTTGTCGCTGTCATACCCGGCACATCTTCCACTAGTACTTTGAACTTTGAAGTTACAATAATAATATATCTCCTGGGAGTACACAGAAAGATGTAGGCTTCCCGAGAGGTACAGTACACAGCAATAGTGCCTATATGTGAGAGGTACTTTCGAGAGATGCACAAGGTAGACTTAAGAAAAGCTGACGAAAAGTAAGAATGTGAACTTTATGTCACGTGCAGGACCGACAGCGACGACGACGGCTATGAGTTGGCTATGAGAGGCCATACGCTCTTAGAAGAAACACAAAAAAAATATAGAAATATACCCTTGTAGCATGCGACCTAAGTACTCCTTACTTCGAAGTCTTGCAAGGGAGACAAGGCCACAAGCGACATTGAAGTCAGCAGAGCAAGGAAACCTTCCGATCTAGCTTTTTGTGCCGAAGCTAGCTTTAGAAGCTAACTTCGGCACAAAAGCTAGGAAAAGTTAACTTTGTAGGGAAAAAGCAACCAAAAAAGTTACTTTCATAGTAACCTACTCGTACTCGCGAGAGAGATCACTGAGCCTCATCGATTGAAGTATTGGTGCACTAGCCGTCGCCCGGGAGAAGGCGCGAACGATGTGTTTACCAACTTCTACCAAGTCGATATGTGAAACTCTATGACACTGGGCTAACGCCAGGTCAAGCGACTTCGCCAGAGCCGGAGGAAATTCCGAGGTTTCCTCTCGAATAGATGGGAAGACAGCAATAGGCGTCTCTCCTGATCGTCTGATCATCTCCTCAGTGTGGCCAGGCAATGAGCATACGTGGCGTCCCCATAAGTTAACGTCCTGGAGAGCCACATCTCGCCAGTGAGTACAGACGGCAGTAGCTAAATAGCACAGTGGCGTCAAACGAGTTCAAGGTTCGTTGGAGGTATCGGTGATGCGCACCTGAAAGCAAATCGCAGATGTCCAATGTGCTGAAGATCGTACACAGAGTCTCGTTCGAGAGGCGGGAGATAGCGGACATGGTGTTACGCCTTGACTTGACAATACATTCGAAAGAATGAAGCAAGTCTGAAATGTGATCTAAATTGTCGAGCAGGTCGTCGACTTCCTGTAATCCTAGCGTCTCGAGGGAACAGCTATCACGTTCTACTGTTTGTAGTAGGACACGTATGTCGTGCCATCGTGACTCCGAGTCGCTATTCATGTCGGAAGTTACAGAATCGCGTTCTCGAGGGGCTTCTAGTCCAGTGGAGCGTGAAAGTGACATGGTGTACACGTAGAGTATCGTCTTGAGTATAGTCAGCTCAGTTGGAAAGCGTTGGTGTGTCTCAAACAAAACGTCGAACACGCACTGCGGAGTAACATTCGGAGTTTGAACTTCGAGAATCTGGCCGAAGCGCCACAACCTGCCACAACGTTGTAACTCGTATCTAGTCGATACTCTCCGGGAAGAATCAGAAGCCTAAAAAGTATGCAATATGTATGGTCGACGGGATGTATAACGAGTGTAGAACGAGAGCGTTCCTAGTACAGCCGTAGGACTCGAAGAAACTTTGAGACCGTGAGAGGCGAGTGCAGAATTTCAAGTTGCCACCACAGGCCAACTTGTAAAGCGCGAGCGCACGGACTCGGACTCGGAGGGCTACATTCGGCTAGGCAAGCGGTTTGCCCACAATGCACAGAGTTTCAGCTGTGATGTTATTCAGTCATTCAAAATCTGGCTCCCTGAGAACTAACAGTACGACGTCGAAGGAGTCCTACAACAATTAACCTCGCCGACAACCCTGCCCAGTTCCTCCAGCCACATCGCATCCGTATCCTCGCAGTCCCTCAGCCTAATCACTCTCATCCGTCCACCCATCCGATCTCTAGCAGCCGCATACGCCAACAAATTCTCAGCAACTCTAGCTTCCGTATCCCTCGCAAAATCATGACCTATCAACTCTAGCTCGTCCAACCCGGTCAAAAACACGCCAACACCATCTCCGACACAGTCATTGAGGGCTTTCGCAAAAGGACCGATGAAGACACCTTCGGCGACGCACGACTCCAATGATGGCATCTTGGCGAGGAGGTCGGTCATGCTTCGCGGGAGGGACGTGACATCGAGAGATTTACCGACAGACAGACGAAGGGTCCTCACTTGCTGGAGACGAAGAGCCTTGAAGAGAAGAGAAAGCATCGGGTCGTACTCGTTGACTGAATGGATGTGAAAGCTAAGGCTGATATCGGGTTCGGGTTGGACGTCGACTGAAGAGGATTGTGCGGCGGACAACTTCCATCCTTCGACGACCATGGAAGTGCACTCCAGGCGAACGTGAAGTCTGGCAAGTGCGGTGGCGATGGGGTCGGTACCGGAAGAAGTGGAATTTGAATGTGGTAGAATGAGAGGATCCCGAGGACACCTGTGTAGAGTCTCGGTGCACTCGAGAGCGAAAGACGATGTCGACGGCACGGAAAGATTTTGTGGGAGCCAGAGGCAGAAGAATTGGTTGCCCGAAAGGGCGAGTCGGCGGAGCGAAGGTAATGTAACAATGCGTTCGCGCTCGATAACCTCGGTCGACCGCTCCAACGTTTTGTTGGTGATCTCGAGCTCCTCCAGCATCGGCATGACACTGAGCGTGTCCAAGATCTGCGCACAGCTTCTTCCAAGTGCGCCTCTCGAAGCAGAAAGGCGAGTCACGTTGTGCAAGAGGCCTTGCGGACACGCAATGTGGTCGAGGACGAGGTGGCGGAGGTTCGGTGCTTGACCGGCGAATGTAGACGGAGGGATGAGCGCATATGGCCGGCGGTACGGATAGATATCGCCGAGCTTCATTGATTGGAGTATTGGTGCACTAGTCGTCGCCCGAGAGAATGCGTCAACGATGTGTTCACCGACTTCTACCAACTCAATATGTGAAACTCTGTGACTCTGGGCCAACGCTAGATCAAGCGACTCGGCCAGTATTGGAGGGAACTGCGATATACGTCGTCGTATAGACGGGTAGACATATGCATTCCAGTGGAGGCCAATAGGCGTCTCTCCCGATCGTCTAATCATCTCCTTGGTAAGGCCGGGCAACGAGCATATGTGGTTTCGCCACAAGGTGGCGTCCTGGAGAGCGACGTCTCGCCAACGGCCACAGACGGCAGTGGCTGAGTATTGAATGGCACAAGGTCGTTAGACGGTTTTGAGGTTCGTTCAAGGTTTCGACGATGCTTACCTGAAAGCAGATCATAGATGTCCAATGTGCTGAATATCATCGACAAGGTCTCGTTCGGGAGGCGGGAGACAGCAGTGATGGCATTGCGTCTGGTCTTGACGACACGTTCGAGAGACTGGAGTAAGGCCGAAATGTGGTTTATATCGTTAAGTAGGTCGTCGACTGCCTGCAATCCTAGCTTCTCGAGCGAACGACTGCCGCATTCCACCGTCTGGAATAGGTTCCGTATGCCTTGCCACTGTAGCTCGCAAGTCCAAGTTGGATCGAAGATGAAAGAATGGCTCCCTCGAGCGGCTTTCGATCTGGTTGAGGGGAAAAGTGGCATACCCGTATCGTCTGTGGTGGATTGGAGAGAGTTGGAGTGCCGCACATATAACGCATTGCCGGTTAGTATGTACGTAGAAAGCCTTGTGGGACGTCACAGTTTGTCACGACTTGTCGGGTAAGTTATGGACACAAGCATGGATACTCTGTCGAGATAGAGGCCCAGATATCCATTTTTCGGTAAGTACAGGAAAAAAGGGCTACCAAAAGAAAATCTCGCAGCAAGGTGGCGGCTGACGAACTTGAAGGTTGCAACTTGCGCCGCACCGCTCCCCCAGCTACATTCGGAGTCTGAAATTCGAGCGTCTGGCCGAAGCGCCGTAACTCCCGCATATATCTTTGTTGAGAATCCTCTCGTAGCATCTCTCCGGAAGGACTCAGAAGCCTCAGAAGCTTGCAATACGATTATGTTTGAAGATGTGATGTACGACAAGAGCGTCCACAGTACGGCCGACGGGCTCAAGAGAACCTGCAGATCAATTCAAAACACCGAACGCTATAACACAACACAAATCAGAACATAAAAGTGTAAGTAAAATATCCAGGTCGATATCGTCCGTAAATGCCAACGCGTCGAAGGTATGAAGCGATGACATTTTGAAGTAGAGAAAACAATGCCAACAACGACAACAACGATCGATCCGTCCATCTCGCGCCACTGTCCTAACGCACAAACTATCACACCTCCATCCGGATCTAGACAACGACTCCTCTACTTCAGGCCATGACCAAGGCCGCACCGCCCAACGCCCCGAGCGCAACGCTAACCCCCATCACCAGCCCTCTCCCGCTAGGCGTCCAAGCCTTGGTCCCTCCACTTGTCCCCGCCACAGCCGTATTCGTCCCGATCAAACTCAACCACTGGTCATAGTCCAAGATCGTGCCAGAGCTCGTCGGAGTCGAAAGCACAGTGGCCGCAAAACTGGGAGTGAAGATGTCCTGCACGGTGATGAAATCTCCTGCAGCGTCGGTGGTGGTGTAGGTATAGGGTGTTGGGTCGCCGACGGAACCGGTGTTGCTGGCCGGGACACCGACAACTTGTGGTGGGGTCGTGGTGGCTTCGACTGCGGCCGTTGTGGAAGTGGTGAGGGGTGTTGTGGTAGAGGTGAGGGGTGTTGTGGTAGAGGTGGTTAGAGGTGTTGTGCTCGTGGTAGTGGTGTCATCGGTGAGGGTGGAGCTAGTAAAGAATGACAGGTAAGTTCCCAGCGATGAGAAAAGCAGCCACGAAAACTGGAAAGGCGTGCGCTAGAGGCTCATGGCTCAGAAAGCACAAAGATTGACACAAGGACATCACAGCTACACAGCGGCTCTGAGATGAGCAGAGAATGTCGCCACACGAAAAGAACAAGAGCCCGGAAGGGCGAAGATAGCCACCAGATTGAATATCACTTACAGAGTTACGGTCGTAGCCTGACCAAGGATTCCAGTTGTGACAACCTCTACCACGGTGACACCAAGACTAAAATTGAGAGAATATGATTAATTGACTGTAGCACTACTTGTAGCTAACAAGAAAGCGTACGCGGGGTCGACCACCGTCTCAGTCTGGCCGTGGACAAGGGCCAAAAACGGGAGAGAAAGAAGGATTAAAAGTTTCATGACGATCGTAGCGTTTGCCGTATTTATGTTTAGCAAGTCCAAATGCAAAAGCAAGGGACGCTTTGCAGACCGCACAGCTCAGATGGTTCTGAACGACGAAGCGGGGAAGGAGGAGGGATGAGGGAATTGCCTATGACGGCGATGGCTGCGCGCCATGCACGCGTCAAAGTTTCGTGGGAATCGTCGCTTATTTTAGGCAGGACGGCCGGCAGCGGCTCCGGATCCCTCTTTCGAATAATTTTTCTTTTCGATGGCGGATCGATTGGCAGTCAACCTGCTCAAGCGCTCTCGTCCCCAACGTCTTCTGTCCTTTCCTTCTCCTTGTACATTTTCTCTTTGTAGATCTTATTTCGCCACTCCGTCTGTACAAGCAGGACAAGTAAAGAAAAGGATGCCTCCCAAGAAAGCCGCCCAGCCCGAGAAGAAAGTTCTTCTTGGACGTCCGAGCAACAACCTCAAGATCGGTATCGTAGGTCCGTTCGGTCTATCTTTTACAGAGCTCTAGAAATATCTGACACCCTTTTTTTGCGCACGAAGGTCTGCCAAATGTAGGAAAATCGTCCTTCTTCAACGCGCTGTCGCAAACCGGTGCGTAACGACGCCGCGACTTCAGCGAGGACAGCGTTGAAAGCTGATGCACTCAAACGCACTATAAAGACCTCGGAAAATCCGCCAACTTCCCCTATGGTATGTGTGACACGTCGATGGCCCTCATTCTCGCAAAAAATTGACTATTTTTGTAGCCACCATCGACGTGAGTTACTTACTCAAAACTAGAGTGTGGCGCGTCTGATCACAGTTCGGTTCGCGTTCGGTGTAGCCTGAAGAAGCTCGTATACCTGTTCCCGATCCGCGATTCGAGTGGCTCTGCGAAACTTATAAGCCTGCGTCTCGTGTCCCCGCCTTCCTCACATGTATCGATATTGCTGGTCTCACAGCTGTAAGTCTGTTGTTCCACCCGTTTGGATTCATTCGCTCCAGCTGATAAAAAAAAAATGTGTCTTCCAGGGTGCCTCCACAGGTGCTGGTCTCGGTAATGCTTTCTTGTCGCACGTTCGCGCCGTCGACGGTATCTTCCAAGTCATCCGTGCCTTCGACGATGCCGAGGTCATCCACGTAGAAGGCGACGTTGACCCCATCCGTGACATGGAGATCATCCAGACCGAGTTACGTTTGAAGGATATTGAGTGGGTACAGAAAGCCTTAGATAACTTGAAGAAGGGTGGTCGAGCGTTGGGGAATAATTCGTTGGCCGACAAGGCAAAGAAGGAGGAGATCGTGAGTCCCTTTCTAGTCTCGACCTTCATGCTCGTTGTTGCTTTTGATTTATTAACCATAACAACGTATAGGCGACAGTCGAGAAAGTGCTCAAGACGGTGGCGGAGGACGGCAAAGACGTTCGAAAAGTCAACTGGACCAACAAGGAGGTACGCACCATCTCTCTGTATTCTATCACGTCCTTCTTTCTCTTCAGCTTTCCTTCCACCTTCTCGTTTTCATGATGACAAAGAGCAGTATGCTCGATAACCCAGCTCGTCGAGGCGGGAGTAACGCCCCAATATGCCTATGAGAATAAATTACACTCTGATCTTTTCATACACCCATTTCATCCTTTCACAACTACTTCCCTTGCATTGGCCACCGAATACGTTTGCTAACACAACCCGTCTTCTTCCAGGTAAATCACGTCGCTCTCCCCCTAGCCCGCCCCTCTTCTTTATACCTTCCTTCTATCGGTTCACTTCAATATGATGACAAAGAGCAGTATGCTCGATTAACCCAGCTCGTTGAGGCGGGAGTAACGCCCCATTATGCCCATGAGATCAATTTTTGCTCTGACTTCCCTATTTCCACTTGCCCATGCCCGTCTGTGACCTGTTACCGATGGTGTGCTGACGCGTTCCTTCGGTGGCACTGCTAGATCGAAGTCGTCAACAGCCTGTCGCTGCTCACCGCTAAGCCCGTGACCTACCTCGTCAACTTGAGCGAGAGGGACTACGTACGGAAAAAGAACAAGTGGTCCGTACCCTTTGTCGCCGTATTCTCACCTTCCCCGCTCTCTTCCTACCTATGTTTCCTTCCTTTGTCGCCTGTGCCCTATCCTTGTTTCTTCTACACCATCTTCGTCCCCTTCGCCTTACTTTCAAGTACCGGTCCGCCTCCCTATAAGTACTAATATCGGTTTCGCTCAGGCTGCCGAAAATCAAAGCATGGATCGACGAAAAGAACCCAGGCGATCCTCTCATCCCCTTCTCCGTCTCCCTCGAAGAGCGTCTCGCTCCCATGACCGACGAGGAGAAGGCTGAGGAAGAGAAGAAAATCGGAGCGACGAGTGCGCTGGGCAAGATCACGCAGGCCGGATACTCAAGTCTTGAGGTACGTTTACCTTTACTAGAGGCGGCCTGTCATAAATACTGATCCGTATACGTCTTGATGTATAGCTGATCCGTTACTTCACCTGTGGACCCGGCGAAGTCAGGGCGTGGACGATCAGGAAGGGGACCAAGGCGCCACAAGCGGCCGGTGTCATCCAGTACGTTACCTCTCTTCGAGCCCATAACCATACCACCCTGTTCGACAACTAACACCCACGTCTCACACCAGCTCCGACTTCGAGAACAAGTTCGTCTGTGGTGAGATCATGGCCTACGAAGACCTCAAGGAGTTCGGCTCTGAAGCGCAGGTCAAGGCTGCGGGCAAGCTCAGGCAGCAGGGAAAGCCCTATGAGAGTGCGTCCTCCCCCCCTTCCTTTGCCCGATGTCGATGATGATACTGACGTAAGCCGTGCAGTGGTCGATGGCGATATTGCGTACTGGAAGTCTGGCGCGTAATTGTGGATTGCGGGAGATGGACGACGCTCGTCTTATATCGTTGTACATATACTTGGAATTGAACATGAATATGAAGAGTGTACGAGAAGTCTAGATATTTCTTGCGAGTTTGCGTGGCGGAGGATGGGAAACGCTCTCATCCGTCGTGAGTCACAAGGGGATGACGTCGCAGCAGCTCTGCTCCGAAAGGGGCAAACAATGCAGTCTCAGCGATAACGATGTCGCCACCGGTGGTCTCAAGCGCAGACAATGAAACCGCTCTTTTGTTCGTCGAATCGGGCACGATCACACATCACACAAAAAAATAATCGTGAAAAGCCACAGCCTATCATTGTGACAAAACCGACTAAGAGCTCGAAGTACAAACACATACAAAACTGCGGTACAAAGTAAGTATGCGAACGACCGAGCGAAATGAACTGGGGTAATTGATTTGAAAGTTCCCGAGCATGGCTACCAACGGCAGACACACTCGAGCTACACGAACGACGCCGGAACCCTCCGTCGACGGCGAGAACCGTCATCGGTCGTGGATAAGGCTGGACAACTCTACGGCACAACCGCAGGTCATTCAGTCGGGGGTGAGAACCGGTCCAAGAGGTGCTCCTCGTTGAATCGGTGTTGTTTCTTGTTACGTAGCTTCGATATCGAAGGTGGGTAAGTGGGAGCTATGAGGGCGACGGTATGATGTACGACGTCGGGGGAGGTGGTAGACCGTGGCTGGTCATGGTGGACCGGTGATGGCTATGGTGAACCGAGGCGGTTATGATGGACCGGTATCTTTGCGGCAACTGGGTGGCGTGGCAGATACGAGGGCGGGATGCGGGCAGGTGGACTCTTGACTATCGACGAGCGCGCGGGGGATGAACTGGGGTAGTTGATTTGGAAACAGCCCGATCGGGCTACCGAACCTCTGACACCAACAACCGACGACATTCTGTATGAGAGATGGTGAATCAGCGACATTTTAGGTGGCGTGCGAAAGAAGAATGGCGACATACTTTGGTTAACATCGCAGTTTTTTTGGTGCTTTTCGAGGTTCGAACGCATTGGTGCTCACAGAACAAGTTCAGCAAGGTGCAACACTAAGATCAAAGTGACAAAAAATGGACAGGTCGTTAGTCTTCACGAAAGGGGTCGGAGACACCAAACAGAGTATCGAAACTCACCATGCGAGTTATCGCATGTCCAATCGCGACATCATCGGATACCGATGCCTGTCTATCGCACAGTCCCAGTCCCTGCAGCGCCGTACGGCGCGCACAGGACATACGACGACTGATGTAGTCGAAGGGGGACCCTGAGAAAGGCATTCGACGCGAGCCGTGGTATTATATACCCTGGCACGGCAGCCGCCGAATATTGAATCTCCGCCCCTCAATGATTCTCCCGAGCAGCTGGCCATCACTAGCTACTTATCTTGTCTCGGTTGCTCAATCTCTGTCTTGTCCAAACGGCCATTCGCGGATCTGAAGCGCCTTTAGACTGGGAGACGGTATATAGACAAGATGAAACTATGCTACGCATCCCACAAGATACGCACATTTATGCCGACAGCCCAAACAATTGGGAGCCTAGACTGTCTCGTCCGACATCGTGCAGTCTTTATAGATTCACACTATCGACAAAAAGCCAGAGACACCCAACTCTGACTTCTCTCACGATCGCTATGTTCACTGAAGCAGAAGTTGAGCGTTTCTACCAGTCTATCGTCATCAAGAAGGTACTCCGTATATCAGCAAATCAGCGAAGCATTCATTTACTGACGTCATATACCTTCGGCAGCCCGAGCTATCGACTTCATTGACCGTGGATGACCTGAGGTTTTGGTACAAGGGTTACGAGGCCCATTCTGGTGTGAAGTTGTACAACCCGGTGTCCGTGTCTCGTGCCCTCTTCTATAGGAGAGTAAATGAGTATTGGACAACAACCGGTATGTGGCCCTTGCAGTGGTCTAGACTCACCATGCGCTATTTCTTTCAGGCGGTACGTCTGAGCTCGAGAGCTTCATTGCGAAGGCTTCCAAGCGGGCTCGGAGTGACCTGGTAAAGCTGGTCAAAGGTGCCGTCGGGTATCTTGAGATACGGATGAGTTCGGATGAGTATGTTTTGCTTTATGTCCTTGTTGAAGTGATCGCTAACGGACGCCAATTTTCACCGCAGGGTGCATGGCTTCGTTACATTACGGCCCTATCGCAAGGCCGAGGAAATTGGTAAAAGGGTTTACGCATTATTGATCACGCCGGATATCTCAGCATCAAGGTACTGTTTTTCTAGTCGATCATTTTACGGCTTGCTAACGGAGCCATGATTCAGTCAACTGGGAGCTCATCCTGTCGTGTCCAGATTCCCAACCGCAAGGTTCACGTCGGGTTCGGGAAGTATTGGTCGGACTATCTTAGGGGAGAATTATGAGCTTTCCATCCAGGAGTTGAGGCCACGCCAGTATATAGTACAGCTCAGGTGATCCTGTAACTGACCGGCATCAAAACGACCCCGTTCATTATATCCCTTGTACAGCGTTTCAGCTTTGAACTACGAAATCAAAATATGTGTCCTTGTTTCCCTTACGGGCCGGAGGTTGGCTGATGTACAGTCGCTTTGCGTATGCGTTTTCCACGCATGATCTTCATCGGCGGTATTCGATACGTCGCTTTGGTCAATATATCAAGTGCCTCCATATATTCGACAATCTTAAAACCGAAATTGTATAAGGAGTGAGCCATGATGTATCGGAATCACTATTATGAGCGAAGTGTGTGCGGTTTCGACTCAATCAACCATGCAGAGGAGTCATTCATAGAGCTGCACTTTCCTAGAGGGTGGAATATATGTGGCATAATACAGTCATTCAGGAACTCAACATTATACTTATCCCTCTGCCCTATCCTTAACCCGCATGTGGCAACAGGGTCGTCACCAACCCCTTCCTTACCCATGCATCAACCAGTCCCATGCCCCATCCAACCGTCCAGACCATAGTCCAAGCCCATCCCTTCCACCCTCTTACCTTCCCCATCCCGAGCCAGTTCTCCCAGACGCCCTCCATTAAAACCCCAACACCCATCATAACGAAGAACATCCCCACCGTACGAAACTCCGTTCCACGTCCCAGTCCATACATCGACCAATCATGGAAGATGGAAGATAGGATGAAGGCACCCATGACAGCACCAGGTCTCCCAAAAAGTGGAATGAGAGGCTTGGAGCCAACAGCGAAGAGTACGCGGCGAATAAATCTCTGCCACCTGTTCCCCCAAAAGTCTGCGATACTGGTGGATAGCCATGGACGGTTCGTAGGCGGTGGCCATTGAGAGGGCGAATATCCAAGGAGAACGCATGCGGACACTGCAGCTGAAAGGTAGGTGATGTCTATGGCGCAGTAACCGACTGTCCCGACGATCAAAGTCGTATAGACGGCGCAAGTGTAACGTTTGAGAGGCGGGAGAGTAGGGTCGAAGATTGTCACGTCTTCTGGTGCGTCAACCACAGGGTGCGAGTACTGGGCACAAAAGAAGGCAATGCCGACGGTCAAAATTCTGAGTAGTAGGGAACGGGCCAGGTTTGTGAGAGATTGAGAGGGAAGGTCAGGGAAGGGGTTGCGTGACCATGACCAGCCAAGGCCGCGTTGGTTGAACGTGAGTTCGAGTGCGTCCTGGAATAATTGATACAGGCCTCGCGAGTCGTTGTCGTTGCCTTGAGATTCGGTCATTTTAGACTTGTTGAGCCTCAATCGCCTATAAGGTTCCGAGGCGAAGGTGAACTCCGTCGCTCGCAGAGGGATGTATAGCATCAAAGTCTAGGAAAGGATGAGCAGGTCTTCAGCAAGAATTTTGGGATATGTATACTCACCACCAGGGCATAGTTCCAAGCCCGAAAGCTGTCGTAGTCCTCCGTGCCTGCCACCAGCACTATCTGCATCGCCAAATCGTATCTCGTAGCAGTGTTCCATGCAGTCCAAAATATGATAGGAAGTAAGGAAAGCTTCAGAATAAAGGTCCGAGGAAGCTGCACGAGGAAGGCCAGCACATAGTAGCAGATAAACAAGGGTGCGACTACAGATAATGTTATGGGTTGTCGCAGAGCTGGGTCTGGAACAGTAAGAAGAGAGGACTCTGAAGTGTTGTTCATTTGTCGCAATAGCCTTGCAAAGTCCATCATGATGAGTGCGGAGCGCAAGTACGATCGAGCACCTAGTCTGAATTCAAGGGTCTACTTAGATTTCGTTCCCTCGAAGTTTCAAGCAACCCTGCCATCGGCTCGATGAATGTTGCAGGATGCTCTTCATCGCCGTCGGCGCACACGATGGTGGCGCTGGCGCCAAACATGCGCTTTGTGGCGCTTGTCCCATCAATCAAATTCAAGCTCCGCTAAATGAAGGGGCCTCTCAGGCATCCCTGCAGCCTGGAGGCCGCTGTCAGCCCAAACCAACCTTTTATAAAGTGCTGTAGGCTATGACTCTACTTTGATCTTACCCACCTCGCCAGGTGGTCCTTATCGTCGCCTGTGTTCTCCCAACTCGCCGCTAGATCATCACTTCACCGAATCTGCCTAGAGCATGTCCATCTTGACTCTTCCTAACGAGACCATATATGACATTGTTCTGCTAGCTTCGTCCGATTGGATGAATGCAGATGGCAGCTTCCGCGGCATACGTTACGTCTTCGAGCCAGAATCACCAAGTTGCTGGAGTCAAGATGCGGATGGCTCTGCTCGTCATACGACTGCCCGCGTTTTCTGCTCGGCTAATCGACGCCTTCGAGGAATATGCCTTCCCATTTACTTTCAACGCGTGACATTTGCCTTCGCCTTCGCGCCATCTGTACTACATTGTCTTCGCGATGTAATGACTCAAGCAGAAACCGTAGTCCGCGAGGGATGCACTCGGCTTGAGGACACCCTCCTATCTCACCCGGAAGCTACGCACTATCTTCGGTTAGTCACGGTCTTTCACTCTTCAGCCATGGAAAAGACGTCTGACCATAGATACAGTCGCGGACACTCAAACACGACTAAAATGGGATAAATTGATAATAAAATAACCGCTCGTGAGATTGGCCCCAAACTTCGGGACGAGACTGGTCTCATGAAAGGGAGTCGATTGGCGATTTTCCCACGATTTTTGGAGCAAAAAGTGGTTTGGCCAAATTTTTTGGCCTTTCAGGTCGCGTTATGTACCCCTTTTTGGGGGCTCCGGAGGTTCTGGCACCTGGAATTGTCCCAGGATCCTACATGGGCCGGCAGCAGGGGGAACAGCTCCCAAATGGCATGATTCGATCAATGCCGAAGTGCACGGTATGCCATAATTCTCGATTATTTTGCGGGTGAACCGTTCGTCGAATTCTTTCCATACTTCGGTCTCATGATGAGCTCCTCAAAAGGAGTCGATTGGCGCTTTTCCCACGATTTAAGGCGCGAAAACAGGGTTTGGCCCAAATTTTTGGGGTATGTAAGCACTAATCCCCCTTTTTTGGACGAACGGCTCGTGGAATTTCGCTGAGAAATATTCCCCAGCCTCCCCTCACCGAGATCTATCGATTCCGAGGGTAATCGGGGATTTCCCACGACCTTTTGAAAACTAGCCGTGTTTGAGTGTCCGCGACTGTACGATCTAAACTACCAGGGAGGTGGATATTCATCACAACAGTTACTTCTTCGAGCGAGGAAAGGCATCCGTGGTATCTTTTCGCCGCTTCCTGCGCAAACTCCTCAAGACCGCTCCGAATATCATCTCTGTCAGGTTACACGACAGAATCAGAATCCCGCTATCCCAGCGCCTGATCTCTGCTATCAATTCACATCCTACATTACAGGCCGTCACATACGACTATATCGCACAGCTATCCCTTCCTCTGACAGACCTCGAATTACTGGCAAACAACTCATTGCACCGCATCCGTTGTCGCTCTCTTAATGTACAGAAAGAATCGGCGCTACCAGAGGAAGAGGTCCTCGAGACTTGCTTCCGCTCGTATGGCGGCATGGGCGTTGGTGTCCTCGTAGGGCACGACGAGAGCAAGTGGCAGATACCAGATCATTGCGTGTTTGGTGGACTGGATCGCATCGATATCTCATCGCCGCAAGCCCTCCCTAACGCCTCCTTTATTTCCACGTTCCTGCCTCGACACCCTTCCCTAAACACGATCTGCCTTCGACAACAGTTCCAGCCATTACGGACAGCTCCCAGACGTGGAGACATCCTTCTAGCTTCCTTGAAGCACCTTCCATGGTGTCGCGATTTCTACGACGTCGCCGCGAAATCAAAATCCCATGATATCATATCGTTTGGCATGCTGGAGCTCTCTAGGACGTCCGAAGGAACTTGGACGACCTCTAAGGCGAACATGTTTGTCAGCTCAGGCGATATCCGAATCCTATCGCTTTCGTTGCCTATGTTCCACTGTGTTCGAAGGTTGCGGATCAAGAACGACTCGATAGGCCCAGCGAGTAATGTACGTCTTACATCTTTCTCAGTCTCCATTCAATGATTTCGTCATGTGAAAAGCGAGCACTGACTCAACGCATCTTCCTTTCCCTCGTGAGCAGCACGACCTTCTTACTATGCTATCGGAGCTATCATCTCATCTTCACTCTATCGACGAACTCGAGATCTCAGGCTTCGCGCTCTGCGACTGCATCTATGGTCTCTATCGACCCCGACCCAATCAAATCACTCTCGCCAAACCAAAGATGTCGGTACAAGAATGGGAAGGGTTGAAGCCTGAACTCTCCGAGTACGCGGAGCATTTGAGTGGAGCTGTTGAGGTTTTAGCGGAGAAATGTCGCTTTCTGAAGGATGTTACGGTGTTCACCCCGGAGGGCGGGCTGAACGGACCTTGCTTGAAATACCATAGGAAGGGCACTACCAGTGATGGGACACGGACGGGGAGGATGAATACGTATGTTCTGCGACGCGGTAGTCTGAAAGGACTCGGGCCTCGACTTCGTACGGTGTCGGCACCACGTACCTCGCCGTGCCAACTTGCCATTGTATTTTACTGACTGTTACTGCCACTACTCATACCATGTTTCCTCATGGACAATGTGGCACTTCGTAGGGTGAACCTATGCCCACATGACGGAAGCACGCTGTGGCCACACTCGAACTTGTTCTTGACAAACACCCCGTTTAATCCGTCCAGGTTCCCAAGACAGACGCCAGACGAACTAAGCATAGTAGTCATACACAAATCGTAAGAAAATCGTAGAAATGTTCGGAAGGATAGGTATGCATAGTGGAGTGACTGTCCGGGAGAGCATATGAGGAGATAAAAGTTGAGGAGGTATAAACTAATACGTGGTTCTAGATATCGACGGACGGTCCGGCTCATTAAGGAATAAGATAGATCGAAATAACAGCGACTAGATCAAGAACAAGCAGCAAAAGATGACACAAGGGATCGGGTATAGAAAATTCCGCCAAACAAACAAACAAACAAACAAACAAACAAACAAACAGACGACAGAAGATCAAAGACAAGCAGCTCGTAAGAAGCATATTCATCGACTGCCCATCGATCGGTCACCGTCTCCCAAAACTCGTTACACTCTTGTTATCCAGCCTCCCCAACGCCGCTTTCCCACTCAACCCTATCCCTGTTGATGAAATCCCAACACCCATTCCATACCCGCCAGGACTCCTATCCTTGTCCTTATCCTTCTTTCCATCCAACGAGAAGGCCTGCCCAACAACAATCGGCATACTCAATCTCCTTCTCCACCCCTTCTTCCCGGTATTGCTTGTTTCAGGGGGTCTGAGTTGATTGCCTACAGCTTGATTGGCCTCGGCCGCGGCAGCATAACGCTCGACCGTACAAGCGGGGCAAGTACACGAAATTGGATGCGGTTGCGCCGAGCTAGTACTATGTTGTGAAATCTCGGGTGAGCGGGTCAGGGTGCGTCCCATGCCGGTAGGCGTAGGCGGTGCAGCCAAATTAGCAGAGCTATTTGAGTAACGACTGGGAAGGTTCGGTGTCTGAGGTTGTGGCTGTCGTAACACATTCTGGCCATACGACTGGGAGTATGGTCGATGCGAAAGCTGAGGCTGAGAAAAGCGTTCTCGCGGCCTTGGAGAAGAGAAATCCTCAACTGATGGCCTGGTTGTAGCCCGTAACGTCTCCACGCGCTCCCGTTCTCGCTCCCTCTCCCTTTCCTTCTCGCGTTCTCGTTCTTTCAAACGACCCTCGAGCTCGCGTTCACGAGCGCGCAGTTCCAAGTCCTGTTCTCGTCTTTCCAGCTCCTCCAGCTCCTCAATCCGCTTCCGTCGACGGGCTATCTCGTCCATGGATTCCGACGAAGCGGATGTCGTTGATGAGGTAGACTGGTTGATGCCAGGGGGAGGTCGAGTTTCAGATAGCTTTGCACCCGCAGAAGCGTCATCCTGTTGGAAGTGATTGTGGTTGCCGGTGCTCTGTTCGCTGATGCTCGGGGAGACAAGACCGCGACGGGGTGACGGAGGCACCTCGTTAGCATTACCTGTGAACTTTGACGCAATCTCGGTGACACTAAGCGGTAGACGAGGAACATCTCGCGGCGGTGGAGATGCAGGACCGGTCTATCAAAGTACATCCAGTTTATCAGACGGCGTTCCAACACGTTGGAAGAGTCGCAGGTACCCACCGTGCGCGAATAGCGATCTCGAATGGCAGCGACCACACTGCTGCCAGTCCTGGTGGTATCAGATCTCTCCAATGTCCCACCAGCTGCATTAGTAGCCCTCCTCGCACCCTGCACCGCAGCATCCAAACTCCTAGTCTTTGTCGGCGAACTCTGACCTACACCGTCAACTCCGAATTCCCTCTGGTTCAGGTAATCGCCCTTCTTGATATCGCGAGCGTAGCCACTTGGATGATCATCGAGGTAGTCTCCCTTCTTCAACGTCCCGGTGGTATTCAGGGCATTGTAGGAATTGAAACGGGTGGCTGCCGTCGGACGATGGTAGTGGTCAGATTCTGAAGAGGATGAGGTAAGCTGGGCGTTGGATGAGTCGTCCTTGATAGGAGAGCTGATGAAGTCCTTCGTAACAGTGCGGTCTCCGGCCTCGGCGATGAAAACGTCTCGAGGACGGTCTTTCTCAATTCGCTCATTGCCAGGAGGAATGGCGTTAGAGATGGGTGGAGTCATTAGTGTATCGCTGGGCGTTATTGGTGACTTGGTATCATCCGTCAAGGGCTTCTCCCTCGTCGATGTCTGGTTATTCACATCCGCACGCTTGTCACTCACATCATCTCTTTCCGTTCGCTCGTTCTCTTTCTCACCAGCCTCCGCTACTTTTGGCATATGAACAGTCGTCCGCGGCGCAGAATTTGCCTTCGTGTCGCTCGAGTTCGAGATATCGGAAGACGTTGTCGAGATATTCGCATTTCTGCCATCGTTGGGAAACGAGTTGTTCTGTGTGTGCGCTTGCGTTTGAGTTTGAGACGATTGTGAATGCGAAAGATACTGTTCTCTGGATTGAGAACCAACTGATGGTGACGGAGGAATAGGTGAACCAGGTTTAGATAGAGATACCGGAGGAAGTGGAAAGTGTGTCGGTGGTGATGGGAAGGATGCGAGGTTGGCGAGGGACGTGGGTGAGCGGGCACGACGTTCCACCTCTCGGTCAAGGTCTCTCTGTCGGGCGCGGTCTCGATCTTTCTCGGTATCTAGAGTAGGAAAGGGACGGGGACCAGGGTTCGAGTGCTCATTGGTGCTGCTGTAATGGGGTGGCTGAGATGAAGGCCCTTAAAAGTAATACTAATCAGTACTGGATCTAATCGTGGAGGTGAAATATAATTTTGTATTCCATACCTGATTCACGTTCGGGTGCCTCGTTCGCGTAGACCTTCTCATGTGGTGGTTGTGCTTTATTCTCCGTTGAGGGTGCATTCAGATCCGGCAACCCTTCAGGGAGTGCTCCCATCCACCCACCCTCACATAGTGAGCGCCATTCACCCAGCTGGCCAACAAGTGGAGAGAAACGTCGAACGTCTTCTACGGAGCGTAACCATTCAGCATCTGCAACTCGCGACAGACATGCGGCTACGGTATATGTGATGCTGATGTTCCGCTGGTTGACGAACACAGAATGATTGCTATATTTTCCCGGACGAATAAGGTCATCCAACGAGACATGACGGAGAGGTTCATGAGATGAAGACTGACTATTTCTCCTGTGTGATCTCGGGGCCGAGGGAGGAGAGGAGGTTGATGTATCGCGTGTGCTCTTCGCCGGCATCGTAACTAGTCTTCTTTGCCTTCTTCTCGTAGGATTGGCCTTGATCGACTTCGCGGTTAGGATCAGATTGAATACAGAACTGGAGTCGCTTTACCTGCCTGCTTGATCCTTGCATTGGCGTTCGCCACACGGTCGTCGTGGATTTTTTCCTCTTTCTATAACGTTCAAGACAGGTGGTCAGTATTTAGGTGGTCAGTGAACGACATAGGAGCGGGAAGGGCTGAGGATTCCTCGCAACGAATATTATAATGGAGGTGTGGCCCAACACGTACGCCACACAGATAGCAGGCCATCGCTCGAACAAAATATCGTTCCATGCAAAACTCTATTGACGCTCAAGCACGTATGAACGCAGCAAACCAAATGAAGACTCACCGCCAGCTTCTTGAACCACCTCCTAACCTCGCCGCTAACTGCATCACACTCCTTGTCCACGACCTTCGCAAACTTCGTATCCACATCTGACAACACCTCAAACATGCCTGCACTCGTATTGAACGCGTTTCCTATCACGGGCGAGGCCCAAAGTCTTTGAGTCAGCTCTCTAAGTCGTGCCGAACGAAACGCGCAAAGACCGACGCACCAGCAATCTCACCAGTAGCCTTCAGCCCTGCCGCATCCCGAAGCGCCTTGGACAACTTCTTCTGCAGCATAACGACGGCCCGTGCGGCCTCACAATAGTCATTGAGAAGATTGACCACCGACTCAAGCGATCTACAAGACTTGTGGATTTCAGGACGGTCTACGAGAGCTGGCACTGGCTGTGTAGCGCTCCCCATAGTGGGCGTTATAATCTAGAAGAAGGGACCTTGCGGTGGAAAGTGAGTCTATCAGAGCCCACTTTCGTGATTGTCGTTATATATATTTGTCGTCACAAGAATTTCAGTCGTGAATGAAGTTATGATGAGAACCCAAGAGATGTGAAAGCAAAGGTGCAGAGAGAAGTCGAAGTTGAGCCTAAGGACATTCGGCCGCAGTTACAGGGTAAGTATCACGCTAACTGCATTTCCTTTTCCGGTCACCTCTCCCCCTCGTACTTTCCGTCGTCCCACGTTTCATGGGCTCATATTTAGATCGAAAGAGTTGGTTGAACTTGGGCGCAAGATGACGATTCTGCTAGGCCGAAATCAAATCCAGATGATGGGTATCCGTATTGTGTGTTATCGTCGTCCGGATGGCGCCACAGTGGCGTAGCGGATGTGAGTGAATGTAAGGTACAGTAACGATTGTGGTGTTGTATACATGTAGTTCAGTGGTACCCAGTCTTCCAATAAGACATAGTAGAAATCAAGAAAGAAAGGAATGTATATGCAAACCGCTCAAACCTCATCCGAGTCGTGGGATGTCCAAGTTCGAACTCCCGTAGCCCGAGTCCACGCACCCCAAATTCGTGAGCTCGACCCCCTGGAGGAAACCCGTATCCTCACCGTGGATGTGCGTCTGTGATGAGGAAGAAAAGTTGTGTGTATCCGGGTATTGTAGCATCTTAAGGGTACTGAGGATTAGTCGATAGCCCTGGTGAGCACGAAGTTAGAGATTGGGTCAACGAGAAGACGCAAGGTATAGATTAGTCCGGAAAACATCATGAAACAGGCGTAACGTACCGAGAATGCATTGATAGTGGTGATCCATCTGGAAGATCCAAGTTATAGAGGCGGTGTATATGAGTACAATCGCGCTATGATAAGTTGAGCCGGAGGCAGAACTTACGAGCTGCCTGAGCCAATATATTCCCCTCCAACAGTGTTGAGCCCTATATTCAGGATGAGCACCGCTACCATGTCCCACACCCATGTCCGCATAGGTCAAATACTGGTATGCTTCAAGACAGCCCTACGAAACGCACCTGTAGGCAATGCAAAGGCCCATATCCCATCTGTCATGAACTTCCTGATGACGATCATACGTGTCCATCCTTCTATTCGCAACGATACGAAGAACTTGTACAGTGTGAGAGCAAATATCAACGAATCGTAGGCCAACGGTGGGGCTCTGTTCAGCAAAGTTACGGGTCGAATCAAATATTGTTAGCCCGGCTCGTGCCAAGGGTAGACTTACCAGCGAGCAAGTGTAACTGGAAGCACTCACGCAAAAGCATACTCAGCGGCTGGCAGTGGCGGAGTTCCCATCCCACAGAACCCTAAGTAAGGTTTCGATATGCCGAACAAGGTGAGGATACATATGATCTCCAGGACATAGAGAGTACGAAGGCCGTGATAGAGTAGTTTAGTGTCCCTGTATAGAGCACATACTTTCATTCACGTTGCAGGATTTAGCAGATGTGAAAGTTCGACATGTGAGTGAAAGACTTGCTTACCTCGTAATGTCGTCACAAGTTGTGAGAGAAACATGAGGAAAGAGGATGACAAGATTTGGATGTTCATTACAGCAAGACAGTGTGGTGGTAGCTTGATGATTGCGATCCAAATGTTCATACTAAAGAGTAGCTCCCGCCGTAAAGGCTCGAAAGTCGATTGCAGATAGATGTGCAGCGAGAGCACTCACGACTGTGCAATAATAGCTAACACTCGAATGAGAACGTACAAGGACTTGAGATGCGACCATGGCACGCTATCATCATGTCACGGATGCTTCAATACCGTGGCCATCTGACAGTCAATAACATCCTCCACACACCTCCATATTTGCTCGGCCTGTTCAAAACATAGGTATCACCGTTTGTCAGGTCGAAATTCAGGTAACCGAGACATACCTCATCTCCCAATGTAATCAACATGTCCCAAAACTTCGTATGTGCCACCATATCATCGTCGAGAATTATAAAACACCCTCTCAGTCTGATGTCCGGAGCATACAAAAGCGAGACCACTCACTAGAAATGCAGTCGCGACCACTGTAAGCAGTACAGCAACATGGATAGATCCACACCACGTAAGATCTAAGTGAGCGTATTGAGACAGGCATTCAAAAAATCAAAACGTACCAGTAATCACGACGGGGGGCTCGACTTCCGATATCGTCAAGTAGGCCGCAGGGCCAAACCCCGCAACAGCAGCATAGGCATCACCTTCGTACGATGTCATAGCTATTGCTTCAACGCCTATGGGCACCGTACGATACAGGCGGACTTTGAGCCGCAGTGTAGTCCAGCCTGGAAGAATACCTGAAAGACCTGGATAGACGCGGAGAGCAGAGAACTGGGAGCGATAAATATGTAGTTTATGAGGGCTTCACTGCCCGATATGCCCCCATAAGCTCTTCGTAGAGAAGAAGAACAGAATCGCGCGGCTCATCGTCCGAAGCGAAACGGTAACAACCACGCGCCAACGGAGATGCGTACCGACGCAGGACATCATCTTAGCGCCGCATTGATATGTGCCTGGCTAAAACTGAGGTTTGAAAAAGCTACACTTACATACCTGTAATGATCGGAGGCGCGATTCACAGAAAGACCAGCATGTATGCCTGATATTTCTACGCCACAGCGACTCGTGAAGCATTTGGTTGTAGTTCTGAACGATAATGTCCACCTCGGGGCAAGCCTCTCTGGCAGGGTTCGACACGAAGGGCCTTCCGAGTTCTAGCGGTGAGAGGTGGTCAACTTTAACCACGTTCGCAATGCGCTCTATAGCCAATCCTGGTGGTCGAGGTTTAGAAGAAAAGCTTTTGCCGGCTATTATGCTTCGCCAACGTGGTCAAAGTCAAAGCTCCGAGTCCGCCGGCTCACTTCCTGTCCTTCTCACCAAACAAGTTACAGGTTAGTCAACAAGTCATACTTCCACGGCTCACGAAGGTGGGTGAAGGTCCCCCCACGGGTCCACTGCTTCCTCATCTCCTTCAAGATTTGGTGAAACTTCTCGAGACTTCCCATGATCCTAGTGCTTATTGCAAGCTCATTGTCGCATGCATGCCGTGCAGATACGATGAGAGAATATGATGTAGCTGTCCTAGTCTGAAGTGGCAGCCCTACAGCTCGAGCTCTCGGAAGAATCAGGCTGAAGGGGTTTCAAGTCGGCGAATAGAGAGAGATATATGTAGCTTCGATAGGTTCCGATCATCCAGCGCCGAGCGGTTCGCCAGAGTCACGAGCGTGGCGCGCCACACTGAGCTGTTTGGCCGACGTCATGGTTCGCTTGTTGACCCTAAAAATAACACACAACGCTTTGACCCGATTTGCGCAAGATTCGCGCGTCGTCTCCTCAGATCCATTCACCGTCTCCTCTTCGAGTCCGACGCTGTCCGACGGGACGCGACATGTTCTTCCCACGGTGATATGATGACGGTGATCATATAAATAGTCGTCGCAGCGACTTGGCCTCCGACGACATGAATATTTGCACGATTAAGTAAAGCTATAGTCCAGATGAGTGTATGTACAAGTATGCGGGTGTGGGTGTGGGTGCGAGTGTGGCTGAGTATGTATATCCAACTTTACATATGCGATGTGCAACAAAAAAAAACAAAAGCTGACGAAGATATCACACAAATCGAAACCGAATGAGAACAACAGTGGCCCTGCACAAAAACATGTAGGTATCATCGTACGGGCGCCGCGGGTATAAGATTTGGGGTCGAAGTTATTGAGGAGGAAGAGGAGAATGGAGAGTCTGATTCGAGTTCGGGGGTCATGTAGATGGCGGTGTAGAGGTAGATGAAGCCGAAAGAGAGGAAGAGGAAAGCGCCGCCGAGGGTTACTGTAGAAACGGGCAGAAACAGCGGTTAGATTTCTGCTATGAAAAGATCGACAATAGTCGTGGAAGGGGATGGTACGAGAAACGTGGGAGGTAGGCAGCAATGAAACATACCATGTTTTGGGGAGATTTTGGTAGAGACATAGCGACCGCCGATAACGGCGAGCGCAGTACAACAAGAGTGTCCAATAATTGTACCTATCGAAACAAGGTATAGATTCTTTACGACCCCAGTGAAACCGTCAGCATACGAAAGGTATCGAAGATAGAAATGGAAACGCACATGTGCCGCCGCCAGTGCGATCGTCGCAATCTGACTTCTGTCTCCCCACTCGCCCAAAAACGTCAACGCAAACGCCTGCACGAACACCGGTCCCAAAAACAAACTGAACAAATTCCTCGTTCCCTCAATGACACCCTTCACCCACGACTCTTCCTTCGTCTTCCCGCTCGCCACCGCCGGCTCGATAACTCCCTCTCCCGCCTCGATATCCTCCAACGGAATCACTTCTCCATTCGCGGTCGTCTGTCCCGTCCCATCGTGCTTGGCTGCGTCTCCTTCGATCTCCTCCTCTGCCTCCCTCATCTCCTCCTGCATCTTCTCCCCTCCCTCCATGGCTCTTCCCTCCAACACCATCTTCCCTCCAAACGCGAAAAACAGCACCGCAGCAGCAAACTGTGTCCACCGTTTCGGAATCAATGCGGGCAGGACGTGGCCCATTATGGCGGAAAGGAAGGACATGACGACGAGTGAGCCGAAGGCACCGGCGAATACTGTGAGTCGTGGGTGGCGCATGGCGAGGATAGCTGCGATGAGGAAGGTTTTGTCGCCGATTTCAGAGAAGATGATCATGAAGAAGGATTGGAGGACGGCTTGAGAGCCTGTGGGGGATTCGAGGTCGCTGGGCCGGCCATTTAGGGTCTCCATTATGGCGTGAAGGTCGAACACTGGTTTGGCGAAGACGAATGCGTATGGGTGTGGCGTGAGCGTGTATGGATACAGAAGTGGGTGGGCGGGTAAGCAAGCGAACAGGTCAGTCGGTTGTAGTTGTGAACGGTTGTGTGGATATGAAAATGGGAGGTAATGATATGTCGTAAGAGTTGCAGGATTCTGGAGTAGGTGTTGGTGGAAAAAGCAAATGATTCGAGTAACGCACTCTTTGTAACCTTTTGACGTTTGTCCAAGGCCTAACCAACCGTCCAATAAACGCAAAGCTATACAGAATCGAAACCGAGAACGAGGGTGATGCTGCGCAAGTCCGTCAGATGATACGCAGCATGAAGTAACGTCGGCTGCGACTCTAGGTGCAAGTTGCGTATGCGAGGTGTGCCCAGCAAAATATTGTAGTGAAAGCGAGTGTGGGGATGATGGTTGTCGAGACTCGCAGCAGTCGACGTGTTCTTGGCGCAAGCTTGCAAGCCCGGCAGTTTCCGCACACCCAATGAGCGGTGGCGTGTTGGGTGGTTCATCTTGCTTCCTTCGATTCTGCTGCGATGCTCGGACGTCTTTTTATCAAGAGGCCGCCGAACCTGCGCTTTGAAGAATTATTCAGACGGATCCAACTGATTCAGAGGCACAGCATTCAAACAGAAAAACCCTACATTATTTTTTAGAGATCGAAGTGGCTGCTGTCTCGCCGCCACAATTTCACTCAAAATGACGCAAACAAACGGACGAGTTTGGGCTTCTAGGGAAGCTCAATATTACATGGTATGACGATGAACTCAATTAATGTGCGTATGAATTTGAGGTATATGTGCTGCTGCGCAGTCTCTGATAGCACCGATGGCCGCGATAGGAGTGTATCTAGACCTCCTAAAAGAAACCCGCGATGAAAGGAAAGGGAGCAACATCGCAGCCCAAATGAACGCGGGGCGGCCGCATATCACTGGTGTACAGAAAACTAGGCGGAAGAAACCGCCATATGATACAATTGCAAGAACTGGTAAGTAACTCGAATGCGGGAAAAATACTAGAAATACAGTGATAATTGACTTTCTTTTCTTCCCTAGCTATTCCATACCTGCATCTGATACTATGCGAAACCACGAATGACAAGAACCATGAAGGATATTCGTACAAGACACCTGCCACATCAACATGTCCTTCCAAGTTCGCACTTACATCCCATTAGCCGAGAAATTGCCCTCCATTCCTTGGATCTTCTCGTGATCTGCGAGGTTGGCCTGCGATTCGTACACTGTGATGACCGGGTCTTTCTTGCGCTGTTGATGGACACCGGAAAGACACGACGAAACAAAGGAAAACAGAAAAGAAGTCAGCCAACCATTCAAATCCGAGGAGGGGCGACCGCTTAAACGCACCTCGCTCCACGATCCCATAAAGCCGACATAATAGATCCTCGTCGTTTCCGCTCCCTGAGATGCGGGTATGAAGAGGGTCACAGATGAGATGTTGGGGAACTTGGCAGCTCTTTAGACAAGGATAACAAAGGTCGGGCATCATTAGAATCATCGCCAATAACGTCCACAATAATCGAATCGCAAGAGACGACGGCGACATGCAATAGGAAGAGAAACAACAAAACCTACTTGAGCTGGTATTCACCCACATCCCTTCCCTGTGGTACAGTCAGCTCCTGAGTAGGGGTTTGGTCCGCAATGTCGGAGAAGTCCATCGCATCCGCGTTTGCAAACTGTGAATTGAAGCGTTAATGGGTGAAACCGAGGGAGGTCGTATCATAAGTACGCACAAGTGCAACTTTCTCCGGCGTTTGGTCCCCAGGACCAGTTTTGAGAAGGATGGAGCGAAGTTTGACGGAACCGGTGAATGGAATTCGGATTATCCTGATTGCACAAGCATGACCATGAAGTTTTACTTTCCTAAGTGCACTGATACTCTGGAACGTACATCTGATCATCCGCATCCGACTCCAGATACTACATACAAACCGCATTTTGTTAGCGTTGCGCGAACCAGATAGTTGAAGTAAACCATGAACTCACCACGCCTTCGTCTAATCTCTCATGCCACGGCTTGATCACCTCCTTTCCCTCACCGGTCGTATTGAGTGCAACGACATTGGACCTGTCGATATGAATGAAGAGATTATCTTGCGGTCCAGTTGCTTCAGAGGAATGGTCGTGCGAGTGGTCATGATCATGAGAATGAGATTCGTCGTTGCAGGAGCCGCCGTGAGTGTGGTTGTGAGACATTATTCGAGAGCAGATGTGATGAGTGCTTGTGAGCGAGTGTGAATTATGCTGGGGTGGAGCCCATACGAGAAACGATGGTTGGTTCGAGAAGAAGGAAAGAAGTGCCACTAAGTGTGGAGCCACAGGGTCTTCGGAGTGCCGGATTTTGCCGCAATCGTGGGAACATTGCAAAGCCATTTCCTTCCGCATTTTCCTCCTTTTTCTTGTCTCCTTCCACGTCGTTCTCTTCGTCTTCGAGGCTGACCTTCGCGTCATCAGTGTATGTACCATAGATGGGCTCACATACGATTCGTGCGTGGTGCTGAGCTATCGTTGGAGGTAAGCATCTGTTTCGTTTCTCTAACTTTCCGTCGATGCCAGTCCTTTTCGCATGATGTTGTACTAGTAATTTGCGTTCGATGGCCACCGTCCTCACACCAAAGGGATACACCGCCATGTATCCTGGGGTCGGTGGTATGAGACAACCATTACACTTTCTGAACCTTTCTTCTCTTGTTCTGTCCTCATTCCTGTTGAACACGGGTGTTGGAAGAACGAGTACTGATCTCAATATCTCTTTTCTCTAGGGTGATCACGGATCTTACACGGCGTCATTATTTGAGTAGGGCTAAGGATGTTCGATGGGCAGAAGTGTAGGCAGATATTGAATTTTGTACCGTACTGGAAGTTTCTGGGTTCCGTCTGTACATTACCTAAGCACTATACTGACGCGTACCGCGTCTTGCAATGTCATCCAAGTTCTCTCTCTATCCTTGCTTGGTTTCCTGTGTCCTCTTGCGCCCATTTACTCTTGCAAGAACTTGACTACAATGAGCTCTGAAGCTGTTCCAACACAAATTAATGAACCTGCACCTACAAACGTACCGACATCGCAATCTGAGGAGACTGCAGCTGGGGCCACTCCAAATGCCACGGGCCCTACACCTACCCATCTTGCTTCCACATCTCCAGCAGTAGAGGCAGCAGGATCCTCTTCTGCTCTAGATTCTTCATCCTTCAAAGTCTACAATCCACCCCGGACGGCAGCTGCTTCACCTCGTGCGCCTCACTTACTATTGATCTCCGTTTCATGGCTGACTGATGATTCATATCTTTACTCCCAATATTCACCCTCGGGTCCAATGTTCCTACCATGACCTTGCACTGTTCTACCTCAACTATAACTGTGAACCGTTATTTGTATCCGACCAGGCGATCTCCCAGACTCCTACTTCGAACCCTCCGCTGCAGACATCAGATCCGCCCAAGCAGCCCTTCATGCGCGAACTCAAGCTCTCACCGACGCACCGTTCCAGACCAGAGCTGCAAGGGAACAGGCGGAGAAGAAGAAGACAGAGAGGTGGCCTACGGTACATAAGATCAATCCTACTATTCTATCTTGCGTCCATCCTTGAACACCCTCTTCGACAATTATTTTGTCATGCATCTGCCATGTGGCCCATTATTTTTGGCCTTTTGTGCGCTACATGGAAGAATTACTGACATGGCTGTTTCTGGTGGTAACCTCTAGACAACTATACGAATCAAATTCACGGACCGCACACAGCTAGAGAAGACATTCCCTTCGACAGACAAGATACGTTCCGTGTACGCGTTCGTCCGTGGGTCTTTGCGAGAAGACGTGAAGCCTGTCAAATTCGTACTATGTGCGTCCACTATTCACGTTCGACGTCTCCACTTCTCGCACCTATCCCGGTTTTTCAACCCACTTTGTTCGGTCTAATTTCTCATCGGCCCATCAATTTACATCAAAACTCCCCACTTTCTCGTTCGGACTTATATATATATTGGGTTATATCTCACAGATCAGCCACCAAAACGCGAGCTCAAGGTCTCAGATCCCAACGTCCGCGACCTAACTCTCGCTGAGCTCCAGCTTGCGCCGTCCTCCATCCTCCTCGTCAAGTTCCTAGATGAGGATCTTAACCGTACGTCCCTTTGTTCAAGCCAGCCTATTGCACACGAACCTCCTTCCTGCCTACTGTATCTCTTCTCCACCTACACCTTCACCCCCATGGTCATAGCATCCGCCTTCGTCCTCCTCCCGGACAAGACCATGCTGACCAATCTAACCGACCACACGACCATCACAGATCCGGATTACCCAGCCCCACTCGCACCATCAATACTCTCCCTCGCGACAGATCTACCAACACCGCCTGATTACGACCGTACACCACCGCCATCTACTCCTTCGAGCTCGTCTGCGGCGGGTGGATCGAAGAGTTCGGGTGGCGGCGGCGGTGGAGGATTGGGCGGGGAGAAGAAGATGCCGAAGTGGTTCAAGGGAGTGGGGAGTACGTCTTCTGCGTTTTCTTTTCTTTTTTTTTGATTTAGTGTGATTGAGCTGACGGGTTTGGTTTTGCGTCTTTTATAGAGAAATGAAACTAAATGCTTGCGTGTAGCTCAGACCGTCATTCGTGAAGGTCGACGTCATATACGGGCGTGGTACAGTTACAGCGTCGGGACGTCTGCCAGGGGGAGGACGGGGAAGGGCGAGGGGAGAGCGAGATACCAGGGCTGGACGGTCGTGTTTAGTTTGTAGTAGTCGTAGTAGCGCTCAAGCTGGAAGTAAGAGCACGATAGAAGTTGTATCTACACTGTATTGTATACCTAGCAATACAAAACAAAGGTCTCCCCATCCTAAGTGCGCCATAATCTCGAAATACAGACTCAAAGATCGAGGAAGACAGTCGTTCTCTTCAGTGCACCACGCAAGTGGCTCCTCCCGGAACCCCGGCTGTTCCCGTCCCGGAGTTTCTACGCGGAAAACTTGAACTTGCGCGCAGCGCGGCCGCCGTCGCGCGTTCAACTCGAATGATCATCATGGAAAACACCTAGAGAGCAGCGTTAAACTCCATGTTCACCACATAACCAGCCGTTCATCTCTTTCGGTACCCCTTCCAGCTCGTTGCTGGCGACATAGATCAGATCGGGCACAAAGTTCGCGGGCGGTGTCATTTAATCTCTGGGTATCATCCTCGCCTCTTCGCCCACAGGAATATCACAATCGTCGAACATGGCCTAAGCTCGTGCTCAGTCACCAAACTCTTGTCTATGCGCGTAACTAAGTACTTAAGATTTTTGTTCTTCTTGATGCCAGTCCTTCTTAAGTTCCTGAGCCTGAACTGCTTTAGACTTGACCCAACTTGGTTTGCTTCAAACACTTTCACAAACGGTCATAGTCCTCAAGAAACCTCCGGCCTTCTCGGAGCTGGCTCTACGTACGGTTTTGCAGATATTTAACAAAGAACTCAAGGTCGCGTAGAGTAATTCAATCTAACATCACTGCGCAATCATTGTTCCGACCAAGCCGTACGTGATTACGTCTCTACTTTGTCGTGTGGTTTCCTTATGCTTATTCTCAATTCCCTCTCCGTCCAGCATGTTGATTGATTACTTCCCGTGCGTTACAGCCTCCGGCCTCCTTTTCGTTCTGTGGATTGAAGCTGGCGCTCGCTTTTGATATTTATCCCCTTGCTGTCTTTTGTTGCACTGGAATCCCCTTCACAACGATCCAACACGAAGATGGCGTTGATGCGCATCATGGTCATGATATTGGACCGAGCAGACACTATAAAACGCGACTTGGAGGGCATCCAGCTTATTTATACTATTCCATCACTTTGCATACAATATCACTATGGTCAACCTACAGGCGCTTTACTCTGTTCCAGCTGCCGGCTTCAATCATGTCAGTCTGGCATCTCCGAGCACTCCCAGGGTACCAGGACACTTCCCGGTCCCAACACCTCGAGACTCTACATCAGATATGCAGCCTACAGAGTTGACAGGCAGGCCAAGGATCAACAAGGCAGGGTTAATCGTGACTGCTGAGCTGGATCAGGCTATTTCGAGGTGTCGAAGCAAGGTTCAGAAATTGGCGAAGGACTGTCGGAGAGGGAACAGACGATACCGGCGAGTCCATTTCCGTCGTCTGCCCACGGACACTCTGATTTCATGTGCTGAATTCGATGCATGTCGTAGGGATATCGATTTCGACTTATTGGAGGATCGAGACAACTGCCTGCACGGTATCATTGTGGAACCCAACCCCAAGAAGTATACACCTACGGAGGCCCTGCGCGTTACTCAGATATTCCACGATCCTAAGTTCTTCGTGGATGGTGCGACGGCAAGCGATATTGCACAAGGCTACCTGGGTGACTGCTGGTTCCTCAGCGCACTGGCTGTGGTGGCGACCGCTGGACTGATCGAAGTAAGAGCGATACAGTAATCGTGACGAGCTTCACTCGATGTTCTGACATTTCCCTCGTATAGCAAATATGTGTGGAGGTCAGTCGTCGATGGGTACCACAAAGCTAATCTGGTATTAATTCGTGATTCGTGAACCAACAGAGAGATGAAAAAGTCGGTATCTACGGTTTCATTTTCTGGAGAGACTCGGGATGGGTGGACGTCATTATCGACGAGTGAGTTATCTCATCGGGTCGTTATCATTGTAGATTGCTGACTGCACTCCTAGTCTTCTCTTCGTGAAAGTTCCCCGCTGGACGGCTCTCACGGACAGAGTAAGTCTTCGAGATCACAATTTATAAAATGCAAAAGCCGATTCACTAGGTTATTAGGAGCATATGTTGTATAAGAACGACCAAGATGCGTATGCAAAAGACGCACGAAAGGGAAGCAAAGCCCTTTACTTCGGAAAGTCTCGGGAAGAAAACGTATGCTCGGCTGTCATTTGTGCAAAGTATCTTTGGCGTGCTGACGCTCAAACTCAGGAAACTTGGGTGCCTCTAATCGAGAAAGCTTATGCTAAGCTGCACGGAGACTATGCATCCCTAGAAGGTCAGCAAGAGACAAGTGAACATGGACTTGATAAGCTCTCCAAATACTCACTCTGTTCTATAGGAGGATATACGAACGAAGCAGTGGAAGACCTGACCGGGTAAGCCGTCTCCTTTCGTAACATTACCATGCCGCTGACTTCACTTACACAGTGCTGTATCGACTTTGATGTACACACAGGTCCGTCTATATAGAAACGGTGTAGTGTATTAGAGCCATGACTGACGCCGAACTGCTAGGACATCCTCGACCCCGACGAATTCTGGAAGAGCGAACTACTGAACGTCCGAGAAGATCGTGCCTTTGCTTGCTATAATCCGAATACCATGAACATGACTGGCACGACTCTTACGAATGGACTCGTCGTAAATCATACATACTCTGTCATCAAAGCCATCGAGTTCAATGGAAAGAGGTTCCTGAAAGTCCGAAATCCGTGGGGTATGTATGAGTGGACTGGAAGGTGGAGCGATGGGAGTAAGGAGTGGGAGGGACAGTGGTTGGAGGCGCTTTCCGCTCTCGACTATAAGTTCGGAGACGATGGAGGTATAGTGACATATTATGATTGATTCTTCATCACTGTTCAATAACCTTCGATTACAGAATTCATCATGGAATACTCCGACTTCCTGCAAGCTTGGGATGTTGTTGAGAAATGCCGACTATTTGACGAGCAATGGTCCTGTAGCCAGCTCTGGTTATTAGCAAACCTGGCAACTTACCCGCGACCCACGAACTATGGCGACGTCTCCTTCACTTTCTCGCTCTCCAAAGATACAGATGCTGTAATCGTGCTCGCACAGCTTGATACCCGATACTTCCGCGGTCTATCGAGCCACTATACCTTCAGTCTGCACTGCCAGATCTTCAAGGAAGGCCAAGATGACCCGGTCTCTATGTCCACTCACAACAAATTTTGGGACCGGAGCGTCAATTTGGAGGCGTTTCTAGAGGCGGGCGATTATGTCGTGCAGGTGCCTAACTTCTCATGATTTCCAACCCATTTCCACTAATATGGCATTGGAATGACGCCTCAGATTAGAGTAGAGAGGTTGCCTCCAAATTTCGCCCAAGAAGACATGGTCCCGAAGGATCCGGCACAGGTCATACCCGAAACTCCGCAGAGGAAGATGCTCCAGAAGACGTCGGAAGGACTACGAAGCATGTCCATTGCTGCCAGTACGTCTTTCACGTTCCTTCCGGTCGTAGCAGTCAAGTAAACTGGGATTGACATCAACCTTCGTACATAGACTTCAGACCATCGTATGTATTGTTCCTTCCATCCGTCAGTGAAAGACCACGCTGAATGATAGCTTAATGTAGTGACTACGGTGAGGACATGCCTATCACCGAGGAGACTTTCACTGGCATGGACATCACGAAGATGGAAATTCTCATGCATAGTCTATACGAAGAACATCGTAAGAAGCGCGAGGCCACCTTCCGTCCACCAAAATCCACTTCTAGTAGTGTCACGACTACTCCTGCTGAAGGAGTCGTCGTGGCCGCGAATTCCATTTCTGCTACTACCCCGGTTGAGATCACCGTGTCTCCTCAGGCTGTTGGTTCCCCATTCGCTTTACCGTCGGGAGTGACGGAGACGTCTTCTGCTGACAAGGCTGCAGTGGGAGTGACCTCTACCTCGACGGTGCACCCGATAGATCCGACGAAGAACAAATCGGCAGATGGGTCAGAAGATAAGGGGGGTGGATTGAATGGTACCGGCACGACGGAAGGACAGCCCAGCAAGGAAAATGGCCACGTCGTTGAGGAAGAGGTCAAGAAGGATGCAGACGTGAAGCCATCACCCGAACCAGCAAATGTTCACATAGGGTATACCTGCAACGGATGTAAAGGCTCTATCGCGGGATCGAGATTCCGTTGCCTGGAGTGAGTCCCGCCCATGTCCATCTCATTTACATTTCTTGTACTAATTTTGACGCATGTGTATGTCACAGCGTCGTTTGTTGCGGACATGGTGGATTCGATTTGTGCGAGGATTGCATGAAAAATAATGGGCACAGGACGGGGCACCAAATGCTGGAGATCACGCTCGCTGACCCCGAAGTTCAGGAGATTTTTGCGGAGGATGTAAGTTTCAATTTCCCCGTGCGTGTCGGTTGTACTAGCTCATCTTGCTCTGTTGCCCCTAGGACAATCCCGAGAAAGAATCCGTCATTGTTGGCCTACGGGTGTACACACATAAGGAGTGTGCCGCTGTCATCAAAGGCCAGCTGAGGTATGTTCTGCGATACGATTGTAAGCCTTTTTTCAAGTACTAACGCATATTTACGCTGTAGACACGGCAGCATAATCAGGAACTACCTCACCATGTCCAAGATAATTTGAAGGTGGGACCTTCACGTGTTTGGCACCCTTGTGTTATTCTTTTATCGTCATGTCCATACATCACCATTGTTCTCAAAACGAGTGTAAGATCTCTGTGTCTATCATCTCGACGTAGTACTCAAAGTCGACAATACCATCAAATGCGGCCGTTCTTCGTAAACGCATATAATCGAGGCCAACGTTGTGACTCGGCAAGAGGACATGAGGAAGGTGCTTATTCGAAGAAGGCTCTAGCCAGAAGCCGACGAATATCCTCCGTATCACTCTGCACTCCAGCGGTACTGCTACGCTCCCGAATGCGTCGATAATAAGCCTCCCGAACCTCAGGTACCAGCTCGTCCCACATTGACGAAATTCAGACCAATATCAGTGCAGTTTAATAATGATTTGTGCAAAATAATCTTACCACTTCCATCCACTTTCCCGCAAGGAATTCTCATCCACGTCACCATCGGAAGGCATCGGTTGAAGCCGCTCTTTGTCCAGAGCCGCGTTCGAAAGCGCCATATAGAGAGGCCGCTCTGCGATGCCGTACACATAGCGAAGTACGGGGGATGTGACAGTGAAATATCGCATCTTGTTCACGACAGCTTTGCCAAAGAAGTCCCTTCCATCCACCATCATCCAAGTATTCTCCACCGCGGGGTCGTTCGTCAGCGGTTGTGAAGAGGATGATAAGGCACACGGCCCTTCGACGTCCGTCACGTCGAATGGGATGGTCCAAGTGTGTCGATCACCGACTCGACGGTTGCGCTCCACATAAAAGGACTGGTTGGGCCAAGTTGACGAGCGTACGGGACGCCACCCACGATCGTGATATTTTTTGAGAACCACAAGTTGGGCATACTTGTGGCGTCGCATGGAGAGAGTTAAACGTCGCTCGAACGTTGTGTAAGGATAGAGAGAGTACGCAGCATTGTATGCAATAAAGTTCATGACGCATGCTAGTGAGGCTGAATGTCAGACAACAAAAGCTAACGGAATACCGTAGCACATACTGGAATGGAAGCCAAGAATGCAAGCGAAAGGTGATTCGTTCGACGATATGATCTGTACGGACAGTGTCTTATCTTCTTTCTCCTTCTTGAATGTGTAGATAGCATGGATGCCGGTGCCAGGATACATCCCCGCCATAGCATCCTCGACGATCTCATCGATCTCCTTGCGTTCATGGAACGGAGTCCATGGTGGTACGGCTTCCAAAAATGTCGCTGGCTGCTCCGCTGATGGAGCAAATACGAAGCCCTCCTTCTCTATCAACCAGTGTCCCACCCTCTTCGCAAACCCCGGATGTGTATAGACATCCATGTCGGAGTCTGGCCAGATGGTTCGATCCATGAACTGCAGAGCATTAGATCCAGAGATCAACGTCCCGGTCTGTGCTTGTAGTGAACGAAACCCTAGAGGATCATGGAAAAATCGGGATAGGTGACGATTGATACTGTACGCCCTGACAGAGTATTCCTGAGCAGCTGCGTGCAAGAGACGTGACGTGAAGCTGACACGAGTGATATCGACGGCAGAGATGCCAGAGAAAATACCATCGTAGATCGGTCTGCGGGAAAAGGTGGATTCAATGTACGCTGGTGTAGCATCCATTTCTCAAAAGTTTGCTGATCGTCAGAACGATGGGACTGTAAGAGACTGATGTCCAAGTCACGGTTACTGGTAAGTACGAAAGAAGGTGCATAAAGGCTTAATTGTGTGGCGGTAGGTGGCGGTGGCACTGAAGTGATCGGTACACGTCATACCAGTTGGCAACGTGGCCTCAAAGTTGGATCTTGACACGAACGCTCTCATAGTCGAACACAGACGGGGTATTCAAATCATTATCAACGGCGATCCTCGTTACTTACCGCCATTGATTTCTGGTGCTGAAGCAATATTCTAGCTCATGTCTCGTATCGCTCTTTCCACTATTCAGGCATTAACCTTCTATAAAGACTCTCTGACCACCTCTCGGCGAGGAAAACCTATTCAACAGCTACAGTGCGTCGGAGGACCATGCGACCTTTTCGAACCTGATGTTGTACGCTGTGTCAATCAAGGTGGTGAAGGAGTTGACGTAGATTGGAAGGCCAGTGTTTACTATAACATCTTAGCCGAATGAATGGGTCACTCGCACTATTCTGACCTTGTGGTTCGTTCGTACAGTGTGAGGCGGACCTTCCAGAAGCATTGCGTTTCGGGAGAGTACAAGTGTCTTGCGAAGGGTGGTCTTCTCCCGGAGACTCATATGTTCTCAAAGGTATGTCTTTATTCCGAAGGACTCGTATAAACTTGACTCCCAAAAATCACATATATCCAATTTAGGCTCCTGCGGCCTTGAGTATCGCTTGGTGCAGGTTCCAAATAAACTTAGAAATACTGGAAGCGACAGACAGTCTTACTCTGATCATAGTGATTGGTTCTCCTGTAGGTTGACTTCCTTTCCATCCTCGTATGTCTTTTATTCTCCGCTCATTTATTTTGTAACTCGCAGCGGAGAACTTGGCTTCCCTTGTCTTCTACGCTCTTTGGTTCGGTATATTGGCATTCATAATTTACGCTTTCTTGAAATCATGCTTGGGCGAACGTCCACGCACGCCCGGTTCTTCTTCTCAACATCCTCCTGCACCTGGTCCTTCCGGTGGTGGATGGTTTCCAAACCGCAGTCCTTACAGCGATGGTACGGACACACCGCCGCCATACTCGAAATACCCTTCGTCTTCCACAACCGGGCAGCCCTCTGCGGGTGCCAGCGGTCTAGGAGCGGGGAATTTCTGGACAGGTTTGGCTTTGGGCGGTCTTGGGACCTACTTCATGAATCGCAATCGCGGCGGACGAGTCGATACCGAGTTCGATAGGGTTCAACGTGAACGAGAACGAAGGAGAGAATGGGATTGGGAGCGGGAACGTAGACGGCCGACTGCGTCGAGTAGCGGAAGGCTCTTCGGACGGCAGCCGAGTTCGGATTCGACGTCTAGATTCGGTTCGACGAGTCTCGGAGAGGGGGCATCGGGCTTGGGCTCAATGAGGAGAAGCACAGGGTATGGTGGCTCCAATGTCCGGTAGACGAACTTGTGATGTAAGAATAATGTGGGTACGAATATGATTCTTTTCCTAGATTGAGCTGACATATCTTGTACCAGGTGAATTACTTATTTGTAGCCCATCAGTTGTACTGGGCTTGATTCCACTCAACGCCCCTCAGCCTAGCCAAGACCTCTTACCTTTGTATCTACTGGGTCTAGATGATGGTCGAACCTTCCAAATCGATATTAGGGAAGGTTAGACCTCGGGCTCGCTCGAGATACTTCCAATAATCTGCCGGATTATGTATTCCGGCCAGCCTCTCTCTTGCTTCTTATTTATGTCTCATGCGCTCCCCGAGCTCCTTAACTATCTTTGTGCCTTTGGCATAGACAGTCCGAGTTTCTTGCACGTATCTTAAGCCTGACATAGAGTGGGATGAATTATAGCATGCTTGGCATGCTCTCCGAAAAGCTCATGTGCTCGATTTTTCTCTCAAGATGTCTCGGCCGCTACTTCTCTCAAGGTGATGCCACGTCTACGTTTGATCTGCAAAGACGGTAACTATGTCCGAGGTTTAAGCTTCCTATTTGACATATCTGGAGTACACTGACTTGCCTCGTGATGGTCGCTCGGGACTCAAGATGGGTGATGCTCGGATTATTGACGGTTTTGAGAAACAGGTCACGCTAGGTGTGTACTGCATGCACAAACTGACGGTGTATATAACACCAGCGAGGGCACGTAGCAGTTGTGTCCCCTTTCTACCCGTCATCGTCGTATACCTCCTGGGCATACGTCACAATGTTCAAGTCACTTACCATATCTCTCGTGGCCTTGGCCATGAGCGCACCGGCTCTTTCAGTATCGTATGTCTTCTTTATCTTTCGTGCTTGGATTATGACAAGAAACTGATGTATTTCTACGCAGTATCTATGGACAGTGTGGTGTACGTATCTAACACTGTTTACAAAACTCGCTGAAGGTCGTGAGGACTGACATATTTCTGTGTGGTTCTCAGGGTGTCGGATGGACTGGTATGATGATCATCGTATTCTCTTTTCTTACTTCACTGACGGCCTTGGTTGTGACAGGGGACACAACCTGTGACGCTGGCCTTGTCTGTACCCACCTCAACGACTGTAAGTTTCAGTATTGACGCTTCGTCGTCATTCGTTGTCCGCAATAGTCACTGACGAAGTCACGCAGACTACTATCAATGTCTTGCTGGCACTTCCGCTACCACTACCCCAATCACTTCGCCGTCCACGACAAGCTCTGCCCCGGCTCCCACCGGGTCCACAAACCCACTCTGCTCGAACGCGACTACTAAGTTCCAGTACTTCGGTGTCAACGAATCTGGCGCTGAGTTCGGTAACACCGTCATCCCCGGCGCTCTCGGTGCGTACGATGACTTGCCTCTGTTCTTCTCAAAACGATAGACTGAACCGTCATAACGTATAGGTACGGATTATATCTGGCCCGCGCCCAGCAGTATCGACGTGCGTTTTTTTCTCTCATCCCTTTTTTCGAAAGATTGCTAATGTATTTCCGCTCCGACAATAGTACTTCATGAACCTTGGCTTCAACACCTTCCGGGTTCCATTCTTGATGGAGCGTATGGTTCCTCCCTCGACCGGAATGACTGGTGCCTTCAACCAGACTTACTTCAGCGGTCTCTCCTCGGTAACTTGGAATTCAATCTTTGTCTATTTCACTACGCTGACTCCCCCGTCAGACTGTTAGTTATATCACAGGAAAGGGTGGTTTCGTTCTTATCGAACGTAAGTTCTCAAGGTGATCGAAACTCTGAAGAGGGTTACTAAGGTCATCGTATAGCGCACAACTACATGATCTACAATGGCGCCACAATCACGAGCACTTCCGAGTACGCTTTTCCTCCTGACACATGCGATCGTGGCAGCTGAGTTCTAATCCATCATATCCAGCTTCCAGACGTGTCAGTTTACACAAATTTCCCCGGTGTTTGGCTATACTGATACTTTTTTTAGTCTGGACGAACTTGGCTACTGAGTTCGTGAGTGCCTACTTCGCCTTCACCTGGATGTTAGTATCGTGGCGACTCATTTTCATGCCACAGAAAACTAACGACAACGTCATTTTCGACTTGATGAACGAGCCGCATGATATCCCCGCCACGACCGTTTTTGACTTGGTAAGTATACTCAACGCTTTCTTGATCGAAGGAGGTACCTATCCGTCATACCAATGCCTGGATTTCGAAATCCTTGTAGATGGCGGCAGGTATCAAAGGTGTTAGGGCCGCTGGCGCAACCACTCAGCTCATCATGGTTGAGGGAACCTGTACGTACCTCCGTTGTCCATCCGTGATAACCATCTCATGCCTTTCTTTGCCGCCACTCTTCAGCTTGGTACGTCACTTGGCCCTGCCGGTTTAAGGAAAGAGTCGAATGATCCTAATCTTTCTGCCTGTGCCATGAAGGACTGGGGCGTGGACCTGGACATCGTCAGGAAACGCCGCTGCTTTCACAGGCATCAATGCAGCCGACCCAAACAACAATGTCGCCATCGGTGAGTACACGCCGGAATAACCCTGCCAATATTTGTTGATGGTCTATTTTCTCTCCCTTCATGAAACACAGAAATGCACCAATACCTGGACTCTGACGGCTCTGGAACTTCCGATGTCTGCGTTTCCAGTGATATCGGCGCCTCCAGGCTCGCAGATGCCACTTCATGGCTGATCGCGAACAACATCAAGGTAAGCCTCATTGTCAAGCATGATTGTTTCAAGGAGTGCCTCTGACCAAGGCTTCAGGGCTTCCTCGGCGAGATGGGTGCTGGGTCGAATGGTAAGTTCTCGGCCTAGATTCCTTTGCATATCCAGAATGCTCATTCTTCCCCGCACTCACCCCGCACCCCGCATTTCGTATTCCGCACCCCGTACCCCGTACCCCGTACCCCGCAGATGTTTGTATTGAGGCCGTTCAAGGCGCTCTGTGCACGCTTCAGGAGGCAGGCGGAGTGTGGTTGGGCGCTCTCTGGTGGGCTGCGGGGCAATGGTGGGGCGATGTAAGTTCTCGCCTTTGTATTTTGCGGCTGGGTCGCTTGCTTATCTTCCGCTCTCTTTATACAGTACTACCAATCGATCGAGCCTCCTAGCGGCCCTGCCATCCCATCCATCCTGCCACAAGCTCTCGAACCATTCTTGTAAACCGTCATCGATGGGTATGAACGATGAGAAAAAGGGGTTAGAACAGCTTCGTGACGATGCGATTCATGATGAAGTTGACTATATACAGTGTACCTTGGGGTTTCTATCTGTAGGGCTGCAAGTAAGGATTTCTACTATTAGTCCGAATGGAGGTGCGCGTGGGTTGTACTGACACAGAGGCAGGAAATACATTCTTCCCAAAGATGGTTTGATAGCTAAATATGAGATGCGCTCACTGCGCTGCGCAAACGTAAGTACAGTGCAAATGTAGCTTGCGTTTTCGATTGCGACCAGTCGGCACTGTAGCAAGCCACCAATCACCGTTGTCCGGGGCTAGCCGGTATGGTTAGTGCCGAGTTGCTTCAATCCGACCTCTATGATACTCACGACGACTCCTTCCCCGATGAGACTTTTTCGTTGGATGCTTCGACTTGTGCAAACAGTGTAAGTAACTGATAAGTGGAGAGAGTTGACTGACGCAAGAATGATGGCGACGATGCGTCTCTTGCCGGACCGACCTCACGCCGTGTCAACGTTTCTTCCTCGTACCCATGATGCATCCGGATAGACCCTAGTACGCCTTAAGCTTCTCACAGAATTCTAACGCGGGGCGGGGTCTGTTCCTTGAATGTACCAGCTGACCTTGAGAGAAGGCAAAGTAGGTATATAAACACAATGTTCGGCGTGGGGGTTTGTCGAGTCTCCCTTCCGACGTTTCTGCGGGCCTTAACGAATCCCCAGTAGTTCGAACTCACTCTAGCACGCACGTCATAATGGCTGGTGGAGGAGATGTTTCTGCAGTCTCATATGCTGCTACCCGTAGGAAAGCACTGGCCGGCCAGTCAGGATGGGTACGTCCAACCTCTACCTATGGCGAGACTATTTGTCTTATCCGTCCGCTCGCACAGGCTGGTTTGGTGCACAACCGCAGAGTATTCGCAACTGCGGTCTTCGCATCTCTCGGTGGCTTGTAGGTTTCTCTTAACACAACTTCCAATGTGTCCGTTCTGACCAATATTCGTGTAGGCTTTATGGTACGTTCTTGACTAAGCTTGACTCGACACAGTTGCTTGACGCACATGTGGTACGATAGGTTACAATCAGGTATGTTGGTCACTGTAGGATCTAGTAAGATATACACTGACAGCCTCATGCCAGGGTGTTTTTTCTGGAGTCCTTGGGTACGATGCTTATTTCATGGACAAACTTCTCGCGATCTGCTCACCTCGTTGGACAGGATGCATAACTTTGAACAGAGGATGGCGTCAGCAGTTGATGACACTAATACCAAGGGCTGGCTTGTGTCTATCCTGGAGTTGGGAGCGTGGTTTGGAGTCCTCGTCAGCGGGTTTCTCACAGACAAATTGTCCAGGAAGTACACCATTCTACTCGGTATGTGGGTGACTTCTGAACGAGTCAGGACAAAAATGATGAAGTGCGCCCACAGCCGTTATCGTGTTCTGCATTGGCGTCATTGTACAAACCGCCGCCTTCCAGCCGTCATCCATCTACGGAGGTCAGTGAGTTTACTCTCTATATAAGGGCACTCCAATGACCACGCGGTATGTCACAGGTCGATTTGTGACGGGTATGGGTGTGGGGGCCTTAAGTGCTGCCGTCCCCTTATACAAGTGATTTATTTTTAAATATAATATCATTGATCCGTACCGCTGACGTTGTTTATAGTGCGGAGGTTGCACCTCCCGAGGTTAGAGGCAGTCTCGTAGCTCTCCAACAGCTTGCGATCACCTTTGGGATCATGGTATCTTTCTGGATCGATTACGGAACGAACTTCATCGGTGGTTCTGGCGACACACAGAGCGAGGCTGCATGGCGTATCCCCATTGCCTTACAATTAGTTCCCGCCATTATTCTCGGCGTTGGCGTGCTTTTCATGCCGTTCTCACCGGTACGCCGTCCTTATCTCCTCCGTGATCTCCTTCGCTCACAGTGGGGTGTGGCCAATCATTAAATAGAGGTGGCTGATGAACAAAGGACGTGAAGAAGAGGCCTTGACCGTTTTAGCCCGCGCACGCTATCTTCCCGTGGATGACGAACTAGTGCAGATTGAGTTCTTGTGAGTGGTCCGGAATACGTGTTTTTCAATTTCTTTTTATTCTTTTTTTAAAAAATATATATTTTGTTTCAGGGAGATCAAAGCCCAGGTTGTATTTGAACAGGAAGTCTCACAGGAGAAGTTCCCTCACCTCCAAGATGGCAGTCGCAAGTCAGACTTCAAACTGGGGTTCTATAGCTATCTAAGTCTATTGACAACGAAGAGTACGTTTTGACGCTTTTTGTGATTGCCGTGCAAATCATTAATGCCCCGTCTTTAGCTCTGTTCTTCCGTTTGTTGATAACGACTCTTACTATGTTCTTCCAGCAATGCTTGTATCTGTTCTAATGTTCCTGCTGGTGCCGATGCTTACTCGTTGATTTTTACAGGGACGGGCGTCAATGCGATCCTGTACGTGTCGTGCGATGTTACTTACTTCTCTGAGCCATGACTCATCAAGCCCACCAGTTACTACGCACCTACTATCTTCCAAGAACTCGGCTTGACCGGCAACACAAACTCGCTTCTTGCCACCGGAGTGGTCGGCATTGTGTGAGAAATGATCATTCACCACTTCCGCCCGCCTCGCTTCTGAGATGTACGCGAACTTCTCTTAGGATGTTCCTAGCCACCATCCCGGCTGTTATCTGGATTGATAAAATTGGCCGCAAACCCATCTTGATTTCTGGAGCGTTCATTATGGCTGCGTAAGTGGTGTTGTCGAATACTGTGGCGGCAGTCTAATCAACGGTGTTGAGAATAGGTGTCACTTCATCGTCGCAATCCTCACCGCAAGATTCTCCGACGATTGGCCTGCGTGAGTCATTTACATCTATGATTGTATAGATTCAAGAAGTTGACCACAGTGTTTCGCAGGCACCGTGGTATGTGGCATTTTGTTCTTTCTGCAATATGGAGGTTGTTCTCAGTTTTATCGTACAGCCGCTGGATGGGTTGCATGCGCATTTGTCTGGGTCTTTGCGGCTGGTGAGTTGTGTTGATACCATCCAGGCGATATCACAAGCTAATAGACATGCAGCCTTTGGTTATAGTTGGTGAGTTTTAAGAACAACTCTATATATTTCGGACGAGATAAGCCTAAAAGATTTTTCGGACAAAAGGGGGCCCGTATCATGGGTAGTCGTGGCGGAGGTCTGGCCCATGAGTGTCCGTGGAAAGGGTATTTCAATCGGCGCATCCTCAAACTGGGTCAGTAACGCGTTACCATATTCGTATACCCCGTGCTGACGTTTTATCCTTAGATGAACAACTTTATTGGTATGTGCAACGCAGGTTTTTGTGGACGACTTATTGAACAGAATCGTTTTGACAGTCGGCCAAGTCACCCCCACTATGCTGGCTCATATTGGCTACGGGACGTTTGTCTTCTTCGGCGTAAGTTATGTCACCTCCCTCACAATGTCTCACTCGCTGACCTCTTACAGCTATGGGCTTTCCTCGGCGGCGTTTTCATCTGGATGTTTGTACGTTGCATTTTCCAATCATTCATATTCTTCAAGTCCCTAACAATAAGCGATGTACAGGTGCCCGAAACTAAAGGGCTTACCTTGGAAGAAATGGACGAGGTCTTCGGCGACTCTGCAGGGACAGCACTGGCAGACCAGCAGCGACATGCCGATATCAGCCGCCGCCTTGGTCTCGACAAGGTTGGTCAGGATCATGGAGATGTATTCAACAACGACGACAAGAGTTCCCAGAAAGAGAAGGTTTGACGATACTATAATGAGATGGATATTTCCGCTGTCACCCATTTGCTCAATAGTCCCGTTCTATGCCATGAAATGATTTCTTTCAACTGCGTACCTAAGTTATCTGTCGAATAAAGACGGATTGTAATTGTCTTCGTATTGCCAATGCTACAGGCCGCATCGTTTACATTAGCTTTGATGCAGACCCTGCAAGGTCGACAGTTCATACCTCTCTGACCTGACTCTGAAGTCTACAGCGCGCCCAGTCGTCCTTCGATAGACATTCACCAGCTGCAAAATATCCGATAGTCACCCCCGATCCATGAACTTCGACTCTCAAAGAGCCATCAACAATAAATGGATACCGAAGGCGCAGCCCCCATCGGGGAGTGCTTCGTTGTTGTAGACAGCGAGGGTATTGGGCACTATAAAAGCTGTGGCGGGCACTTGTCGAATACTGCTTCCAATACATGGGTTGCAGAGGGACGTCTAGAGCTTGTCGACTGGTAGGCTTTGTCGTCTGGTTCTCAATGTATGTCCTTTTGCCCCTCCGCTCTACAGAAATGGAGAAGGCTCGAAGTATAGCTGTACATGTGCACGCGGAGTTTGAAACAACCTTCTTGATCAAATTTCCTTTCTCAGTAACACCGTATACTCAAACCGTTGCTGCTATCAGCGAAAGCCATCCAGGAAATCACTCGAATGTAAACCCAAAACTTGCCACTGGATGAGAATATCCATTACTGGGCAACTAAAACAACAATCATACAAAAAACCCGAAAAGAAATGTCCGAATTGCTCGCCACACCATACACCACACCTCATGCTCTACAACTCCTTCTCCGGAGTATGAATATGGCGAATCCCCATAGCCCTTCGCAAGGTCTGAACGAATGATCACGATGGTAAGAGTGCAGGATGATAAATGATGTTGGCGTCAACAAGACCTATAGGCAGATGGTCAGCTGCGTTTCAATGAGCAGGTATTTGGTCGCACGAACGAAAATAAACGTACGGATCTAAGCAATAACGCAATAAGTCGAGTTTCCACCTCCGCTCTCCGACTCTACGGGGCCCGATGGCAGAGACGTGACCTCGCTCTCTGTGGTGGCGGCAGAGGCAGAGACAATGGTGTCGTTCTTGAAGGAGTCCATTGGGAGGGTGTGTGAGGTGTTTGGACGGAGAAGTGATTGAGTGAGAGTTTGGGTTGGGTAGGTGGATAGAGAGTGTGTGGAAGAGTGCTTTCGAGTTGAGAGCTCTGGAGGAATAACGCTCACTCGAGGTGGCTTTATATACATTTTTTCGACCACAGTTCAGGAGTCGGGACGGCACAGGAAGGCAATAATGTGTTCATTATCAAGCACCCATAACGGTATTGGATTGAAGTGAAACAGCGCGGGACATATGGCGAGCGGGTCCTCTTACCGCCCTGGACAAGAACAATAAGACTTGGTGGTGCCAACGGTGGGAAGACGACTGGGAAAATATAATTTCCGCCGGGCGGGCTGTACACACAGTCGAACAAGAGCGGAAGTAACGAGCGACAGCTAGGGCAGAGCTTCGCAATTTCACAAATATCTGTAATTGCGGAAGAGTAGCAACAGTACGACCACGAAGGAGGCGTGTGAGGACTGACGCTGTTTCGGTGAGGACGATGTCTCGGAGAAAGAGAGGGGAATGTCCCACACCACGAACCTAGATCACAAAGCTCTTTCGATGACGGTATAGCGGCCAGAACGTCCCTGGCAAGATGGCACAGACTATACAGAGATTATTTCCTTACAAGACACGACGTGTCGCCTGTGTTGTACAGAGTGGATGCAAACAAGCATCGTCTGTTTGCCGGTGGGAACATCGAAAGTGGTAAACGATAACTAGCCGCCCGAGCACATGCGAAACTAATATGGCAATGCCGGTGTTTCATAACACGTGTAAGCACTGCACAGTCGCTTGGGCACAGATCGGGCTGGACCTGGACGGAGGGTACAATGCCCGTGGACATTGGGATGAACAAGACACAATGTCTCACCGAATTCCCATGGGAGAGTGACGGAGGTATATACGGACAATAACAGCCCACATCTGTCTTCCACATAGAACGACTTCCTGTTCTCAGAAAAGGATCAACAATGGGCAATACTCGCCCGAGGTCCAGCAAGAGAATGCCCAGGCCGTGATTATATGTTCCGGGAGTGTGAGCCTGAGGGCCGACGGATTCAGATACGAGCCCGTAGAGGTATTTCAACCGCGCAAGCTGTCGAACGTCACGAAATGTTGACACAACGGACGAACAAAGCCTTTTGGTTTCACTTGGTACCGGAAGCCCGGCACGACCGTAAGGGTCGATGAAAGTTGCTTCCGTTTCTGGATACCGAGGCTTCCCGGTGACGATGCCTAGGTGGCTATAAGCGAAATAGAACGAGAGCGCGAGTGAGATAGTTCCGAGATACGAGCATAATTTGAACAGCGCCGACAACGACTCGGACACCGTAACTTCGAGGAAAACGCAATCCCGAGAGTGGCGAGAAGACCATGCCAGAGAAGGTGAAGTCAAAGCAGTCAGCGAGCGCAAGACGTTCAGTAACGGAACGCAAAGAGAAAGGAAAGAAACTAGACACAAGCCTCAAGGCATCCAAGTCCGAGTCGAGAGTTGACAAAAATTCCCGCTACTTCAGTAGTGGGTCTTATAGGAAGTATCGATCGGTTTTTGGCTTGTAATGCGACGACCTTCCCTATATGGTAGATGCTGACCAATTTCTGACTCAGCTTTCACACGCAGGCCCTCGCCACACTTCGTGAACATCCGTTTTGTCAACCCACTCCTAGTCCAAGTTATGAATTGTTTCTAAAGTATTCATGTCTGTTCATGTTTTTGAAAGCGTAACCTCGGCAAGGTGTGAAGTGTGGCACTAATGTACTATGTCTGGGTCACGAAGCTGCTGGGCGAAGCCCTGCAGCGGCAGTGACCCCTTGCTGGAGTGGCACATCATGTTCTTCGGACGTTGTTAGTCCGTCAATCGCTGACCCTCAGTTTGCTCCGGGAAACAATTCGAAAGCATGAGACCAGTTGAACATTTTATGCTGCTCGTGTCCAATATGTTAGACTGGTACATTAGGAGCAGTAACTCAAAGGAAGTAGCGGGACCTGCCGTTCGCCGGCCTTACGCCTGCGTTATTCCACATGAAGGATCCCCGGCCGCAGCAGTAAGTTGACCAGCGGAGTTTGAACCAGAACCGCTAACTTTAAATCACGAAATATCCTGACGCCACTGTGGCACCGTTGTCCTGGAACAGAAATTCAAAGAGTACGGTTATAGTGCCTTTCGTATCCTCTGAAGAACACCTACCTTCTGTCTTCTGTCCAAGAATAACCAACATAGAATACATTTTTACTTAGCCAAAACTCCAATCATCTTCCATCACACACACACGCATGTGCAGACGCCAATTCGACAGCAACACTAGTCACTTCAAGTTGTCATTCAATCTGGATTCGGATTCGGGTTCGAACTCAACGTCGAGGCAAACCAGACCTCGACAAAACAAAAACAAAAACAAAAACAAAGCCAACCGGTAAAACTGAGAAGAACAAGAATGAAAATAAAGGATAATAATGCACAGTGGAAGATGAAGGATGAAGGATGAAAGGTGAAGATGAAGATGAGAACAAGGACGAGGACGAGGACGGGAAATACTTAAACGTAAGGGGTTGCAAGATGAAGGTGAAGGGGAAGATTTGAAGGTGGAGGTGGGGGTAGCGGGGAAGGTAGAGGGGAAGGCGAAGGCGATGGAAGCAGTGTGTGGCGCGAAGCTTGAAATGGAAACAGTAATGTGAGACCCCCAAACGGAGGAAACGGAGGAAAGGTCAAGCTTAAGGGCCCGGGATGGACAGTCCCAGTGGGAATAGAGGTGGGTAGAGTGACTAGCTCAGCCCAGTCGGCAGTATGTGAGTAGCCATAGATGATAGCAGATGTGCAGACAAAAAAAAAACCAAAAAATTCGTGGATACGGTGCGAAAGAAAGTAAACAGGCATGGTGTGATGTGTTGTGATGTGATGCGAGCAGCAATACAGAGATGAGTAGTGTTCGTATGTAAGTAAGTAAGTAAGTAAAGATGTGACGATTGCAAAAAAAAGAACAGAACACATGGAATCACGAGAATATCCGGATAGGAGGAAGGTGGCAGTGATATGAACGGAGGAGCCGACGGGGGGGGGGGAGGCAGGCAGGCAGGCACGAAGTACGAAGTACGGGCAGCGGACAGGGCGGGGATGAACGAAAGACCGAGCGCAACGCTGCCTGCAGTGAATTCATGCAGTGGAACAGTGAACAGGACAGTAGATTGAGCTTCGCACTGAGGTTACATGTATTGTAAAAGAGCTCGATGGTGTCAATGGGAAGTATTTCGGTCATCGTGTTATGCCATGCCATGCCCGCGGCACGCCGTATCCTCCAGCCGTCGTTATGTACCCACACCCAAACGCCGACACAAGCCGCCATTAATCCATCAATAGCCCCTCATGCGATCTGGGGGCCCGGGCAGACGCAGACGCGAAACATTCATCATATCGCACGACTGATTCGCAGGGGATGTTTAGCGATGACTGATCGCCGGCGCCGACGTCGACGTCGACGGTTCCGGCGAATATAGCAAATCCGTCGACTCCGGGTTGATGACAGGAAAGCGAGGGAACATAATGGACGCGAGAAAGTGAGGAGAGAGTGGAATGCTGGAAGAGGAGAGAATCACAGCGAAAGATGGCGTGCGTTGGCGTTGTATGGTCTCGGGAAGTGTGGCGGGGAAGACGAGCGAGGTGACGGTGACAATCCGATCGCGTGAAAAGTTGAGGATTGGCGCGAGAGCGAGACGAGGCGGGGTGTGTGTGGTGTGTGTAATGCGAAAAATCTACAATCGCTGCTCATACTCAAACCCCCTGTGGCGTCGGCTGCTGCTGCACCACCGGATGTGTACCGTGCGTATTATGCCCGTTATGCGTCGTATGCACGTCTCTCGATTGCTCCTATGGGAGGGAGAAGAGAAGAGGCGCGTCAGAAGTCAGAACCAGTATCAGGATTATGAGTAGGTTGCAAGATGGAAAGCATTTGAACGAAAGTAAAAAGAAAACAAAGTAAAGAAGAAGAAAGGCCTCCATCCATCCTCAACCCATCCACGACCCATCCACACACACATACGCTCGCCACACCACGCCAAGCCGCCTTCCCGCCAAAGACGTGCACCAGAAACACGAAAAGCGAAGAGGAAAAGCGCCCTCTCATCTCCCACCTCGCGCATGGGTCAACCGCACAAACCATGGGCGCAGCCATGCAAATCGAGCGTCAAACCATACGAATTGTAAACCGGGCGCCCAACCGCAGACCGAGCGCCCAACCACCAAGCAGACGGACGGAGGGACGGAAAGGACCAACGCCCCGCATCACCCCCGAACCATGATCATCATCATCATCATCATCATCATCATCATCATCATCATCGTCGTCGGTTCGCATCTCAACGAAGGCAACACACATCCCATCAACCATCCAATCGATCAAAGGTTGACCATGAACCGTGAAGCAACCAAACCCGCACCCGCACCCGCACGACCACGAAAACCACATCCAAGAACTGCCCCCTCCGCCAAACGAAAAGGACAAGAAATAAAAGAAAAAGAAAAAGAAACTCAAGAAAAACTCACCATCCTCTGCTTCTTAACCGGCCTCGGCCTCACCCCTCCAGTCCCCGCTTTCGCCTGAACCACCCCTGTCCCTCCTGCTCCACCAGCACCACCAGCACCACCCGCACCCACGACGGTCCTCCCATTTCCGTTCGTATTTCCATTTCCATTGACAGTGACACCGTCCTCCCGCTCCCGCTCGCGTTTGACGCCCCTCTGTCCTTGTTGCTGTACAGCCGTCGACGGCGTCCGTGTCCGCTGTGGTTGCGATTGTGATTGTGATGCTTGTCGAGATGGCGCGACCGCTTGCGGTTGTGGTTGTGGTTGTGCGTGCGATTGTTGTGCGTGATGAGAAGAACCGGTAGCGGACGGTGCAGGTGTCGGTAACGACGACGAAGGTCTCGGTGTCCCACCACGCGATGCTGCAGGTCGTGGCGTCTGTGCTACTGTAGGCCGTGGTGTCGACGACGCAGACGCGCGCTGTGATTGCGATTGCTGTGGTTGCTGTGGTTGTGATTGTGATGGAGTGGATGGCGGTAACGAAGAGGAGAGCGGAAGGGGCAATCCCTGCGCCTTTGCGAGCTTCTTTGCCTCTTTGCGTTTTTTCCTGTCTTCGCGGGCTTGTGAGGATTCGGAGACGAGGAGGTGGATGTTCCACTGCGAGAGAGGACAGGGAGGATGGTTAGCGCGATGAATGGGTGATATAGGGAGGAGATGAATGAGGTTTGAGAGGATGAAGATGAAGATGAAGTGTGCACGGAAGAGGGATAGCGATAGATTAAAAGCAGAAAGCGAAGGACGGAGGATGAAGGGAGGATGAGCGGAAGTAACGCATCGGAGCGGAAGGACGTCGGGGAAACGCAGGGACAGTGCCGTGAGATGCGAGAGAATGACGGAGGCGAGGGAAACACTCCGACATGTATAGAAACAATCCCCATCGAACAAATCCAAATCCAAGAACAAGTGAGAAAAGCCAACTCACCCCCTTGAGCCCCTCCGAAGACACGTTAAAGCCCTCCTTCATCTTCTCATTCGAGAGATCGAAGGGCTCGATCGGGATGCGCTGTTTTGGAGGCTGCATCACGAGGTCCCAGAGGAAATCGTCCTTTTTGGTCGAGTGGCGGCCTTGGTGTTTGCGAACACATGTCGCAGAGCGGGCGAAGCAGTAGATGAAGCAGAAGTAGAGGGAGCATGAAGTGGAGGGAGCAAGGGAGCAGGGGGAGCGGACGGAGCAGAGGGCATAGCAGTGGGAGGTCGGTCATCGGGCGGGCGGGCGTTACGGAGGGACGAAATTCCGAGGGGAGTCAACAAGCGCGGGTGAGAGTGACCGTTGACCGTTGACCGTTCGAGTGCGTGTGTGTGTTGTTGTTGGAGGCAGGAGCAGAGAGAGACAAGAACACGGATATTCAATATAACCGTTTAATACGTGATGGGCAACGCAAAACATTTGGATCGGGATCGGGATGAAAAGGGCGAAGAACGAAGAAGAGAATAATCACCTGGAATACCCTTAATAAGATGTCTATACGTATTCTTCTTCTTCTTTCCGTCCTTCCCCACCTCTTCCTCGTCCCCGTCCTGTCCTCCCCCTCCGCCACCACCACCAGGCCCGGGCGTCGCGGGCATGGGCGTCGCAGGCTCGGCGGCGGCGGCAGCAGCTGCTTTGGCCTTGCCTTTACCGTTGATGTTGACGTCAGGTGTGGGAGCATTAAAGGGCGGAGCGGGCGTTGGGGGGTGGTTGGAGGATTGGCCGTCTTGTCTTGACTGTTGTTGTTGTTGGGGTTGTGTCGGTTCAATGAAGGGTTTCACGAATTTATCATACGCGGATTGGAGACGAAAACGACCGACGAGGTCCTGAGAGCTGTTGAGAAACAACGGCGGGCGAGGTTCACCTTCAACCCAAAAAAAAATTAGCAAAAAAGAGCGAGGGAAGGGGAGGGAAAGAGACGAACGGGGCGGTGGGAGATAGAGACTCGGCGGGATGTATGTCGGCCTTGCAGGCTTCGGCTGCGACGACGGCCCAGCGACGTTCTGCTCGTTATCGACGTCCATGGCGGCGTCGGTCATCGTGTGCGGTGTGAGAGGTATGTGAGCGTCGTTCGTGACGATGGCGGTGGATGTGGTGGTGGTGGTGGTGGTGGTGGACGACAACGACGAACGGTCAGTGCAAGCTTCCGTTTGTGGCGCACCACATGCGCTCTTCACGGCTCCGGCTCCGGGATCCCGGGTGCCTGCCGTGTGGCGTGCCGAGTCGAGTGCTGTTCAGTGTGGCCCAGCTGCCGATGGCGAGCGCTTGGCAAACGTGTTGGCGGCGCGGAAACGGCGCGCGGGTCTCGCCCGCCAACTTATCGCGTTGGGCCACACACACCACTCACCCACGCACCACCGTCCTTTCACTTATCGCATCCTATCCATTCCATTTATAATCCCCCAGCCTGTCCGTTTCTAATTTTCTGATTTCGCCCCCTTTCTTCGCCCTACCTAGCCAGGAGCTATACAACTCACACCTAGCGACGCATATCACTATAGACGGCCTTTGAAGGTGAACTCGAACTTGAGGCAGGGTATTCGTACTACTCGAGTCAGAGTCAGGACTGGATAACACCATCTATATATACAAAGACACCACACACAAAGTCTTATCCTAATCCCACGCACGCGAACTTAACCTTCCCATCATCCTCCGAAGTCTCCACATCTACATCTACAACATCTAGCTTTTCGGCCAACCATGGATCCCTCCCCGCCACCAGCGACGGAGCGCGACCCGCTGCTGGTTACGTCTCTCCAGGACCAGCAACAGGAAGGAGAAAGTGAACGAAGGGAGGACAAGAAACCGTTCTATCGTCCCAGGCCGTTATGGTGAGTCTTTGTCTCTTTCGTGCGTTGTCTAGTCTCTTGCGTCTTCCTCCTTCTTTCTTTGTTGCTTTCATTTTGCACGTGGAGGCAGGTATACAGCGCATACGCAACCCTCACTCTCCTCTCCTCCCCAACACCTTGCTCGAGGACGCCGTGCCGCAGTGTGCAAGCGCCTGTGCGCACGGCAGCTTACCAGTTAACCATGACTGACTGACTGTGTGTGGCGTTACCGCCGACGTCATGATGGCGCACTGCGCGCTCCGTCCTATCCCCATCTTTGCATCTCTCAACTTGGTGTAGCACAGTGGGACTGGGACTGCGGTTCTTTCAATTGGTTTGAGAGTACTAGTCGCCGACGGTGAGTGGTGAGTGGTGAGTGGGCTTGAGGGCGACTGAGTGTTAAGTAGGTGTGTTGGACTCATGAGTAAGTATGTCGCGACTTTCGAGGGAACTGGGGTGCCATCACGCCCTGAGTATTTATCTCAGTATCCCAGTATCCAAGTCTATCATAACACATCACACATAACAAACATAAAGGCCGCCCATACCCTCGATTGGGATAATAATATGCGGGTGCGAGCATCATAACTCCCTGAAATCTTTGGGGAGGGGTTTTCGGTGGGGTTTGTGGTTTTGGTTTATGAAAGTCCTCTTCTGAGGTCTGGGGTGCCGGTGATGGCTGGCCAAGCATGACTACTAGTGCTTATGATGAAGCACTCGATTCGAGTGCTCGTGCTCCGAACGGGGTGTTTATCCGTACTCGTGCTCGAGATGGGTATGGCTATGATCGTGGTCATACGTCGGTTATGGATTGATCAGGGCGTATACCTTTGCGATTGTGTCTCACGTTCCTGCGTAAGATGAATTCTGGTGGTTTGGAGTGGTATTGAGTGGTGCGGAGCGGGCCTTAATTTGCGTGTACTTGATATTCGGGCATAGTCCGACCAGTTTTTGCATTGTTTATGCATTGACTTGTTTCGCGGACACGTATGGGCCATCCACTTACTCATCCGCACGCATTCACTCGCATGCGCATTCTTTTACTTTCTTCGGAATGAATGGAACGGGACTGGATTGTCCTCTATGTATGAACCATTGGCCCATTCACCTTCTCATCTACGTGACACCTACCTTCTGATGAATACGTTTACTCCATTTTTTGTGTATTCTTTTAATCCATTTGCGCCGTATCCGTCGCATTGTGTTGGATAGAACTCTCGCTGACTATACTCGAACTTCATCCAGGCTCGTCCCATTCGCTATCATCGCTTCTATCACCGTACGTACCTCCCTTCCCTTCCACTCCCCTCCCATCATCTGACCTTCGCTCTTCGCCCTAACAGAGAGGAATGACACTCGCCCCCCGCGTCGAAGTCTTCACCCAACTCTCGTGCAACGCGATTCATAGCCACTATAACCACACCTCGGGCGATAGCACATCTCTCCTCAGCGTCTTCATGCCCTCTTCCTCCCTTTCTCTTGACCCTTCCTACTCTTCCTACTCTTCCTCCTCATCCCCTTCATCGCTCAATTCCCTCAGCATCCTCTTCCCCTCCTCCTCCTCTTCCTCAGACGACTCAGACAACGAAGAAGACCCCCGCAATCTCCCCTCGCAAATCTGCCTCTCCGACCCCGCCGTGCAAGCCGGCGCGGCGCGCCTCCAGACCATCATGACGACCACGATGGGCACCCTGAGCGCGCTGACGACGGGGTGGTGGGGTAGACTTGGGGAGAGGGTGGGGAGGACGAGGGTGTTGAGCGCGGCGGTTGGGGGTATGTTTTTGACGTGAGTTTGCGTTATTGCTTTTTCCGACCCCAACCCCCCTCATTGGCGAAAAAATCGATCGTACTCCGAACAAACACTGACCTGACCTTCCACCCTCGGAATATGTATCTAGTGATCTAACATTCATCCTCGTCTCCACCCCCTCCTCGCCCCTCTCGCACCACGGCCATATCCTCCTCCTGCTCTCGCCCTTGATCGAGGGTTCACTTGGAGGGTGGTCGACGCTGCAGGCGACGGCGTCGGCGTATGTGAGCGATTGTACGAGCGATGGGTCGAGGGCGCATATTTTTAGTCGGTGGGTTCTTTGTTTTCTTCGCGAATGTTTCCTCCCACCACGCCACGCCACGCCACCCCCTTCCACATATCCCATCCAACCTCCCCTCCCATCCGACCTCCCTCCTCCCTCACCCCCCTCCCCCCCGGCGAATGATCACGAGCGTCAGATTTACTGATTTTATGTGTCTCTTTTTAATCGATGCAGGTTCATTGGCGTCTTCTACCTCGGTTTTTCGCTCGGCCCCATGGTCGGCGCCTACTTCATCCGCAACCCGCTCCCCATATTCTCAGCCATTTCCCCTTCCTCGCCATCGCACTCCTCCAACCTACTAGAAACATTCGCATCCCGCGCGATCCCGGGCAGGAGTGGCGTCCCGAACGTGACCTCCGTCTTCTGGGTGGCCATTCTCTGCAGTTTCGTGAACTTGGTGTTCGCCATGGGCTTCCTTCCGGAGAGTATGGATAAGGTGAAGAGGAGGGCGGCGATGAAGGCTCGGGAGGCGGAGGAGGCGGAGGAGGCGTTGCGTGCGCAGCAGGAGGAAGTCGACGAGGACGCTGTGCAGGAGGTGGACGGCGGATCAGGCGTGGCGAAGAGCGTGAGCAAGAGCCGGAGCAAGGGACGTTCTGTGGATGCGCTTATGAGGCGGACGGGTGCGGGAGGGCGTGCGACGCTGAAGAAGCTGTTTGGGCCTTTGGCGGTGTTTGCGCCGAGGAAGGTGTATAGGACGAGCGATGAGAGCGGGAGGGTTGGAGGGGCGAGGACGGATTGGAGCTTGACGCTTTTGGCGGGCAGTTTGGCATTTTATTTGTTGAGCAGTGTGAGTCCCTTTTTTTTTCTCGAGCGTTCTGAGGAGAGGTGAGGTGAGGTGAGGGAATGGGAGGGCTGACGCGGTTTGGTTGTGCGGAATAGGGTATATTCCAGATCAAGTACCTCTATGCGGAACATCAGTTCGGATGGAGCGCTGAACAGGTGAGTAGAGCGATCGTGAAATCCCTGCAACTGAGGGGATCATGGCTAATGTACGACCAATCCAGCTGAGCTACTACATCTCCTTCGTCGGCGGCGCGCGCGCGATCTGCCTCCTCTTCGTCCTCCCCACAATAATCTCCTACTTCAAGCCCAAGCCAGTCCCCACCCCAATCACAGTCGCAGTTGCAGACGGTGCCTCAACCTTGACCTCTACAGCAGCAGCAGCAACGACAGCCGAGGAAGCGCTCCACCATTCCATCACCTTCGACCTCACGCTCGGCCGGCTCTCCCTCGTGCTCGACATCCTCTCGCACACGCTCGTCTCGCTCCCCATCTCAGATTCATCGTTGCGCTTCGCGGGGCTCACGGTCATTTCGTGTTTTGCGTCCGGCATGCATCCGGCGGCGCAGAGTTTGGCGGTGTGTATCATGCAGAGGCAGGCGTTGAGGGGCGTCGGGGAGGAGGGCGACGATGATGGACACGAGAGCGGGCAGGGTGGGCAGAGGACGACGAAGAAGAAGGTGGAGGGGATGGGGCCGTTGTTTGGTGGTGTGGCGGCGTTGCAGGCTATGGGGCAGATGATTCTCGGGGTGCGTTCCTCATTTCATTCCTTTCTCTAGATTATAATCGAAACTGAATACTGAAAAAAATTGCGTGGAATTCCAGCCTCTCATTTTCGGTGTCCTCTACTCATCGACGGTCGCGACCCTCCCCAAAGCGATATTCATGCTCGCAGGCGCACTCGCCACGGCCTCGCTCGTCATCCTCTTCCTCATCCACGCCGAACCAAAGTCGCATTATACATCCTCCTCCTCGAACGCTCAGCCATCCGCACCCGTAACTCAACGATCCAAACCGACTTCCTTCTTCACGTCCTTCGCGTCCCTCTTCTCTTCCCAGCCTTCGTCATCGTCTTCTCATCGTCGCTCGACCAACCCCAACGCCCGTCCGCGCTCTTCCCTCGTCGCTCCCTCTTCCTCCAATTACGGCACCATATCAAGCCACGGGAAAGCCAACGGCACTGGTACCAGCGGGAAGAGCAAAGGGAAGAAGAAGGCGAGGTTTGGGGTCGATAACGAGGATGGAGAGCCGGAGAGGGGAAGGAGTAGGGTCGTTAAGCGCGTTGGGGACGCTGCTGGGGCGAGTGGGAGTAGTTGGGATGGGTATGGGTCTGGGTCTGGGTCTGGGTATGGGGAGGGGGTTAGTGTGGATGTTGTGCCGGCGAGTGTGAGTGTTAGTGAGGGGAGCAGTTGGGTGGATAAGAGTGCGAGGGTGTGAGTTGGTAGAGGTGGGTGGTGGGCTCGATACGTGGGGAGGTCAGACGGGTGATGGGGTTTTGTGAGGGGAAGTGTTGGGATGAGCTGGGCTGGGTTGGGTTGGGTGGGTTCCCGTTCTTACTTAGGCGAGAGGCGCCACGTTTTTGAGTTTCTTTCCTTTCATGTCGCGGTCAGCGACTACACACATCTTTTCTACCACGACCGTACAGTATCTATCCATCTACCCATATGCGTCCTCTTTAGTCCGTTTAATCATCTTCACTATCCATGCTACCACTTCACATTTTCATTCATTCAACTTCCGGATCGCTATCGCTATTTACTGATTCTCAGTCACCCACGGCATATTGCATCGTGCCCACGTCCGACCTCTTCTCTGCAAAGTCAATCGGACGCAGCCCCATCTTCTTAACTCACAGTGATACATCACATACATATCCACGTTCCTTCTTTATCCTCACATTTCTCCCCATTTCCACTCCTATTCCCAGTCCCATTCCTACCGCCATTCGTAGCTCCATTCGTAGCTCCATTCGTACCTCCATTACTATCGCTATTGACCGAACCCACGGATTTTGAGGCATGTATGATATTGATATTAGAACAAGGGTGTATATATTCAACGGGTTTAGATTGTTGGATTGTTGCGTGCAATGTTGGATGGAGGGGCGCCACAAGTAAAAATTCCGGCCGGGGATCCTCGACCTGGAATTGGATGAGCTCGCACTCTTTGAGGCTTGTCTCCGGTTTCCTTCTTTTTTGTACTCTTTTATCCCATTACTGAACATGTTGAGCTTGACTACTACTGCGACTCCACCCTCATAGTCTTCTCTCTCCTCGAGATTGTCTTGTCCTCGAAGTCACGGTATCGCTCTCGACGCTGCTGTGCCCGTACCTCCATACCATTCATTGCGGGACATGCAGAACAAAGACAAAGCGTGTATTCTAACTTGTTGAAAATCGAGATGGAGAAACTACTTACATATACGTCAATTGCGGAAGATCAAAATGAACGAAAGAAAGGTAAGTCCGAGAAGGAACAAACGACTGGTCCCACAGACTCACCTCACGAGACCATTGATTCAGACAAACCATCCCGCATAGCGAACTCTAGAGCCCTCGTGCCTCCCGTTGCACCTGGCACTTCCGCAACCACAGCATCTTCAAGTTCAAGTTCGCCCACAACTCCGAGCCCATCCGCAGAATATCTCACCCACCCTGTATACCGCCCGAAGAAAGGGATTCCATTGCGCATGCCCAGCAAATCCGCAATAGCGTATAATCCCTCACTTCGAGTCCACGAGAGGATGTTATATACATTTCCACGCCAGACCAACACATGGTGAAACTCGTCGGGATACCGACAGATCCGAGTCGTCATGGGCCACTTCGGATCGATGCCTCTCATGGGGACCAGTTTATACCATTGGCCTGTCGTGGAGTGCTTCAGCATAAGTCGAGTCTGAGGTTGAGAACGTTGAGGTTGAGAGCGTCCTGGTTGAGATAGGCCGAGAATGGTGTTCGTCAGGTTAAGTAGGGATGGGTTGGCATTTATTTGAATGTCGTCGATGAGGTCTTGGGGGTTGACCGTGTTTATCATCGCTTCTGGAGGGTAGATATCGCTGAATTCAAACCCAGGGACTGCGGATCGAAGGACGAAGGGGCGCATGAGAACGCCTGCTCCGGATCTGGGAGCCTCAGGATGATCACGGGCTGGGCGTTCGCCAGAGGTTATGTCGAGAGGTTCACGAATAGAGAGAGCACGAGAGATCGTTGGCTTTTCATCCAGAGGAGCGCCATGCTTGTCATCACGACCACCAAAGACCAAGCCCGTAAGAATCCATTCACGGCCGGGTATCCGATCCTGGAGTGCGAACAGATATATGCGAAAATATACACCATCACAGAACCACGTTGCTCTTCCCATCTTATGGATATGTGTCGTTACAATAAGCTTCGAGAAGAAAGGGGATGGGTGAGGTGTACGTACTAGGCTTTTTTCCTTTAAATGCAGAATGAGAGACATGAAGTCGACATAATTCCGTGCCCGACTGTAGGCAGGTTGCGTAGAGGCAAACATGCGGAAGGCACCCCTGCGAGTCGGCATATCCCGCAATTCCTCGAAAGGAACCGTCGCCGGGATCGTCTGGATGGTCATCAGGGACGGCCATAGATGCGCGGCACTGCACTCTACGATAAACCAATGAAGTAAAAGAGAACAAAGAAAAGAAAGGACGCACATCGACCCGTCTAAGTATCCGTCGATAGCATTTGCCTCAGCTCGACCTTCCGCCGGTTGGTCTTCGTTGGTCGGGATTGCCCATTTCCATCGAAGGACCCCATTCCAGAGTGCTAGGTTTACCGCATGAGTGCCACCTACGGAAGAACACACTTTTCGAGATACTTGAAGCAGTCCTTCGAGGCGGGGCAAGCCCTCAGTTTGGAGGTGTTGGATCTCAGCTCTCAAGAGACAAGCTTGGTCAGTGTTCCCAGACGCTAGAGCGCTATCGAGAGCCGAGAGAAGACGAGTTAGCCTGGAGCGATACCTGGAGGTCTCGTTGATCATAAAGCGCTCGAAGGGGTACGGAGTGCATGGAGGTACGGGCATACTGAGCTCTGAAGAACTGAAGCGAGATGGAGATCAGATTCGAGAACGAGAGGGCAGTAGGGTCTTGGTGTCTCCTGAAGGAGAACAACACAGGCTTTATATGTTGTCGGAGAGTAAAATTCACGACACCTCATGTGACGTGCAGACATCTTCGTACATGATGTGGCCCTTTCGTCTTCGACAAAGACACTAGGTGCCACCGTCAGTCACACAATGATCTTCGAACTAAGTAACGCACCGTCGTTGATGTCACTCACGAACCACGGCGATAAACAGCGATAAACAGCTCTCAACAGCGTGACCGCATCCATTGCGTGAGAATTCGATCTAGGGACATCGATACTTGATAGACGAGGTCGAAACAAAGCAACATAAATAAGCGGACAAGTTGTTTGCCGAGACCGTACTAATTCCGGTACTGCTCAACAACGAGAGTCTTAAGAAGACCTAACAAGGTAGGCTGTGAGTGTGGCTATTGTTGGAGGAGTTGTAGCCTGAGTGCTTGTCGAGGTCAACCCTTCATTGGTGTTCGAAGTGACACGCCGACAACGATATTGATCTTGTTGACGGTTATTTGGTGCCGCGTGGCCACTGACGCCACCCAAATACTTGCATAGACTTGCATGCGTCGTGTTGTCCGCACGTTTGTCTGCCCCATCATCAGTGGTGCCACTGTTCCCAACATCTACCTTCAGAACTACGTTTTATAGCTGGTGAACCTGGTGGGGTAGACGAAGATCACACATCTTAAACATCGCTTCACGGCGATTAATCCAGTGTCGGACCGAGTGAGTTCGGAATCTACGCCATGCTCTGTTGGGCTGTACTAACTCAGGTACAGTACTTGAAGTCAGCTATGCAGACTCTTCCGGTTGAGCTTCAAACGCACATATGTCATTTGGCCCTCAACGAAGATCTAGCGAGCCTCTCTCGTACCTCGACTCACTTCCTGGATGTCGCTCAGCCCGCGCTTTATAGGCATGTGGTTCTGAAGATCGATCCGTGAGTACACACTATGGTTACGCCGCTTCACAATACAACTGAATGCGCAATTCGTGAAGATCGGGCTATCAGGAACAATCACAATCGCCATGGAATCGCTTCCATGACACCCTCATGAGCCGCCCTCTCCATTTTGGGCCGATGAGCCGCTCCCTTACGGTAGTATATGGTTACAAGGGAGTCCCTTGGAATGAGCTCGATGGTATTCTTAAGGCTCTGCCAAAGCTCCTCCGGCTAGATTTTCGAGGCTGGGATGTTTTTCCAGATGTACCCAACCTGGCGAGCCTGTCCTCCCACATCAGTCCCCATCTGCTCGAGCTTAACTCCTTCCCCACAACCCTCGGCCCCGCCCTTCTTCATCTACTCGACTCGCTGCCAACCCTCAGAGTTTGGCGTAACAATGCAGAGAGTATCGTGTACAGCTCCCAGTTCACGCTATCACCCTGTCTTAAACGCATAGAAGTGTTTGAGGCTGCACTGGTCGACGATCCGCTCGTATTCGCGCACGTCCTACGCCATATGACCAATCTGACCCATCTCACGATATCGCACTGTAATTTCGGGCCTCGTCGATTTTTAGAAGCGGAGGAGCGTCGACGGGCGATCCTCGATGCTTTCTCCCGCTGTGGCACCAAGCTTGTCAGTTTCACGATGGAGGATTCACCGGCTGGCAGCAAGCATCCTGCACCACCGGCAGGTAGCAGGGAGCCCGCACCCCTCACATGGATCCTAGCGAACATCGTTCCGCGAATGCCCAACCTGCGACGGCTGGAGCTTCTACCGGGTTCAGAAGCCTATCGTACTATAGCCTTTGACCGCAAATTCCGGTACAGCGACTCGGCCGTCAAGGAAAGCGACAGCCCTGACCCCACCGCCCTCATTAGCATCGACCCCGACGAACTCTCAGAGCTCGCGATGCCATCTTCACTTAGATTCTTCACGTTGGTCGGTAGTGAACGCATGATTGGCAACTACCACCGCGGTTCGAAAATAGAAGGACTGTCGCGTGCGGGATGGGCCAATGCCAACATCATAATGACCCTCTTTCCTTCCCTACCAAAATTCGTCTATATCGAACGCGGGGCCTTGCATGTGTTCGGACGCTTCAAGAATGGGATCTGCAAATACAATGGCGCGCGACGTTGGAGGCACGGTTGGAAGGATCTCGACAGTGATACTCTAGATGGCTGTAAGCTTCTTCGTCGGTTTGGCTTTGTTCATCTATCAATGTTGGCGACTCATGTCATTGTCGGTTCACTAGCTTTGTGCTATAGTTTATCTCCTCATGAATTCCTGGATACAGTTCCGAGTCGTGCTTCATCGGCAGAACTAGATGGTATACCCTCCCCGTTCGACAGAGAAGGTTGAGGGCTACGGTAGGTCGGCCGCAGAATGCATTAGATCTAAGGTTTTCGTTCCAGAGTAATCGAGTTGGCATTGTTTGCGTTGTACTATACCTAATTTGATTCAAAAGGCCGCTTCAGTTCTTTCCCAAACTCGTAGACGAGAGTCTTGAGGTCGAGTATCACACCCAAGGCACGCAGCAAGCCAAAGATACAGCGATAATAACGTCTGAATTCAATCATCGCTAACGTAGAGTACACGACAATCACCCTCTAGGGGACCCTTGACTATCGCGTTCTCACGACGAAGGAACTGGTGTACTTGATTTACGAAACTGAGGATGCACTGGCACTTTAAGAGCAGGATTGGGTAGAGGGACATGCGAATCAGCGCTGTGGACGACATAAGAAGTGGAGATCAGCATAGGAAATATGCACCTCATACAAGGCCAAGCCTACAGAGGCTCAGCTCCAAGCCTCAGCTCCAAGGGCCACGAACACGGACAGGAGGCCTGCAAGGGGAAACACAAAACGATCGATATCAGTACGGGAGAGGTGCCGCCGTGCTCCAGCGGAGAGCAATACTGAGACCGCAGACGAGATGGTACGAATACTTACGGCACAGAACAAGCTCATCTCCTAGTGCAGATGAAGTCGGCTCTATATAGCATCGCATTCGCGTAATTGCAACACCTCGCACCAGAGGGATTTTACCGGTGACGAGGCCGAGAAACTCGTCGCGATTGCACGGTTGAGGCGCATCGGCTAGCCATAAGTCTTCAATCCTCCTGGGACCAGTCTGTTCTCGGATGCTGGACCTGCGAGCGAGGAAGAATAAAGGGACATCATATATTTGACCATCAAGTCTAATCAGGGATGTGGTGATGGACAGCTTGACTGCAGACGCACCATTCTCCGTATTCACCCTGTTCGCTACCGATGACTTGACAGCATGCTTGAGAGGATGAATAGGTCCAAGAACTGGACATAATCCACAGGTGGCGAGGACGAATGGCCGTCGACCCGCCGTGGCCGGACAGACGACAAGCCCTGCAGTTGCACACACAGAAGAGGCACTTTAAATACATTCGGCGGAGTCTGTGGGCGTTTGGATGTCCGCGATATTCAGTTTTGAGTGGCGTGTGGCGGTGACTAGTGTCCCTCACAAGTCCTTTGCATGCATTACGAACCCATTACGATACGAGCATTGTGTGGTTCTGCACTATAATTCTAAGGCTACAATATCTTGTGTGAACACGCATAGCTACAAACGGTGATACTATGGATGTTCAATACATGGGGAATTCCGGGTCTACTTCTTTCGACCATGCCCTCAAACCACCTACAAGATCCTTCACTACATGTGGCACAGTCGTATTGCCACTGTCGACTGATCTCAGTGCTTCAGCGGCAATCTGAGAGTCGTTACCAAGGCGGCAGACCACAAAAGTCTGCGAAAATGGGGAGGATTGGATGTACTTCGATGGGTAGGCGACGACATCCGTCAAGGGCACGTCTAAAATGAATGTAAAATCAGAGGTGGATACAGTTTTGACGACGGGAAAAAGACGTACGGATAGATCCAGGCAATGCACAGATCCCAAACTCAGTTCTCGGTCGAACGTCGATGATTTGAACCTTCCCCGACGGTGCACTGTCTTCTCCACTTAACACGCGTTTTAACTCGGTCGCACGGATCCTGGTCTCCTGCAAGCCATCAAGTAACCCACGACTGACCCAGTCCGGCCGTTCTCCACCACAGAACTGAACGTAATCCATCCCTTCGTTAATGCTTCCAACCTTCTGATCTTCGATCCCACATGCTGGACACGTCGGACGGCGCGTTCGCAACTTGATGCTACGGAATGGAGGGGTGCCAAGGGATGAGTATATTAGCAAGCCTGGCTTGCCCTCTGCTCATAACTGACCTTGAGCAAAGAGCTCTACCTTCAGATGAGTGAACAAACGCACCATGCATTCCCGTTATAATCTTAATCGCCTCCAGAGCCTGTAAATTCCCAATAACACCCGTCACAGCGCCCAAGATCCCCGTCTCTTCACATGTCCCTACTGTCTCCTGAGCCGGTGGTCTCGGGAACAAGCATCTATAGCATGGCCCGTCCTCGCCTAGGTGATATACGCAGAGTTGACCCTCGAACTTCTGTGCTGCGCCGCTGACGAGAGGTTTGTCGAGTTTGACAGCAGTATCTGATAGGAGATAACGGGTTGGCGCGTTGTCGGTGCAGTCGAGGATGATGTCGTAGGGTTCGAGGATGGATGTGGCGTTGGAAGGGGAAACTGCTTCGATGTGGACATCGATTTGAATACGGGAGTTGATCCTAGATGTTGATTGTGTCAGTAGGAGAAGTAGATTGGGCGCAGGACACGAAATTAATGACAGAACTCTTTCAATGCTTGGGCGGCGGACTGAGCTTTGGGTTGTCCGAGACGAGACTCGGTGTGGAGGATTTGGCGCTGGAGGTTCGATAGCTCGACAGTGTCATGGTCAACGATTCCGATCTTTCCTATACCACAAAAAAAATGAGTATCTGTTTTTGAGAGTGTCGTACGAGCATGGACGCACCGACACCGGCAGCAGCAAGATATTGAAGAGCTGGACATCCCAATCCACCTGCTCCGACCACGACGACGGAAGACCTCTGCAACTTCAACTGGCCTGAGAGCTGGAAGTCAATAACTATTTTCGAAATGCAGGATTAGGATGAATACCTGGAAGGCCGAAGCCATCGAGAATCATTTGTCGGCCATATCGCTTGTAGTCGTCGATGTGGTCGAGACGAGAGTTGTTCTCCATTTGTGTCGCGGCGCGTGGCGCGTCGCGCTTTCAACCTGACCGTCGTGATCTTCGAGCGATGTGTCTTTGTTTCTTACCACTCAGATCTTCCTGGCGTTGATACATTCGCCAAATTTACTCGTACAGACCTGGAAAACATTTCATCCTAAGTGTCGTCAACTTACAGTCCTCATGTCTGCCGTGCCACCTGCTCCCCAGCCTGCACAGTTCCATCCACCTATTGAAGGAGGGCCTCTTATACATCCTGGTAGGCTCCATATACATTTTATATATTGTAATTCGATGGAGCTGAAGCCTCTGGCGGCATCGTTTTGTCTATAATCCGCCCGAACAGGAAGATGGCCCCCCAACCTTCCCTGGACGGACATTGGACACCTAGCCAAGTGGTCCGTCTCGTCCTTCAAGTTTGGATTTGGGCCAGAATGTCTACAGGACAATGATCCAGATACTTTTTGGCAGTGTGTAATGTTTTGCGTTTTCAGTAATCGGTGAATGGAAGCACTTATATGTTGTGTGGCCCCGTTCCACGATATGGCTATAGTTCAGACGGTCCGCAACCGCATTTCGTGACCATCGAATTTCCTCGAAAGATGGCTGTCCAAGTACGTCGTTTGACACACACCCAGACCTCGGAAGACTGACGATGTCGCCGCCACAGAAAATCAGCCTCTTCCTCAGCTTCCCTCTTGACGATTCCTACACCCCTGCTGCTCTTTCCATCCGAGCAGGAACAACTGCAAGCGATCTTCAAGAAGTACGCTCGCTTGTTCTCGACAAACCCGACGGGTGGATCACGTTCGATGTCTCGGCCGAGCCATCAGACGATGGCGAAGGGTTGTAAGCACCACGTTGCTCGCGCTTCCCCTCTCTTGTTCGCTATTTCTAACCAGTGGTGTCCCGTGTCGCTGTAGCAAACCTGTGAATGTATATATCTTGCAAGTCATCATCATCACGAACCACATGAACGGGAAAGACACGCACCTCCGCGGGATGCGGATACTGGGCCCTGTAGAGTTAGTACGCCTCTCGTCATGCCGATGGGATGCGTTTTTCTCATCCCTCTCACTCTTCATTTCAGAGAGCCAACACCATGGGACGATCCTTTTCCCTTCGTCAGCGTCAAATTCAAAATGCATGAATTCATTCGATGATCTTGCGTCGTATTCCAGTCCCCAGGGAGCTTTCGCAGTGTTGTGGAGATAATCAAGTGTATGTTCCTTCATGTATACGTTTCCATTATCTTTCTTTTCACCGTCATGCTACGCATAATATTTTGAGCCTTGCGTGCTGTCGAATTTCCGATCAGCGAACACGCTGCATGCAGCCTGTGATACACAAGTAGACGTCTGTCGATACATTTAGCTCGGATCCCTCTGCCGTACTAACCACTACCCATCGTACAGCAAGAAAACTAGCAAGTCACGTCTACACTTGAATCAGCATCATCCGGGCATTGCTTATCTCCCACCCACGCTGTAGCTGCTTCGCAATGTCTTTTGCGATCCTCAGACTCTCTCCGTCCTTGATTTGCACCTGCAGCTGCACAATCCGATGACATTCTTGGAACCTCGAGAGGGTTTTCTCTGCATCTTTCGCCTGCTCCGGGATCTTCTCCTTCAAACTCTGAAGGATATTATCGAAGTCTCGTGCGCTGGGAGCTGGAATACAAAGTCCAAGGGACATTGGCGTTCAGCGCTCCGAAGATGGACATGGGCAGATCAATAAATTGCGAAGCTTACGCGTCAATTCCTTCTTCTCCATCAGGACTACTGCGCCTTTGAGCACATCTGCCCCCACAGAGAACTCCATCCCACGGTCCGCCGACTGAAATGCGACTTTGCTGATCGTCGCAGCCGCCATAAGGAGTGTAGAAAACACCTGAACAATCTTCCTCAGCCACATCCACGTTTTGGTTCTCGACAAGGTCCTCTTGTTCTTCTTCTGCCCGGTCTCTACCGTCTCGACGAGCTCCTTCAACGTTTCGCGCATGGTATTAACACTGGCGGAAACCTTGGCGGACAGATCGTCGATATCATTGGCGAGCCTTTTGATCTCGATGTCGTAAACCATGACCCCGCTGTCGGTGGAGCGTTCGAAGTTATCCGCGACGCAGCGAGTGAATATTTGGTGGGATTTGACGATGTCTTTGGTCGCTGAGAGGGTAATGGAAGAGCCGTTCTTGAGCCTTGTGACAAGGTCCATCAACTTGAGCTCGAGACTGGATGGCCTATTAGATGACGACCTAATCGGAGAACAAGCAGGCATTGACCAGAGCATTAGGACGGATAATACTGGCATGCAGTTGTAAAGCACTAACTTCTGTAATTCGTCCATCCAATCGCTGAATACACCGTAAGTGCAGTGCATGTTCATGACAGCACTCTTCATGGCCTCGCGAGCATCTTCCGTCATCGGCTGTACATCATCATACGTGACATCCCTTTTCTGTGCACTCTCTTGCTCCGCCTTTTTGGTCCACTCTGTCAGTGCCGACGCATTGATCGGCCAGAGAGTCTTAAACGCACCTCGGTGGTCCCTAACAACTCAGCGCGCAGCTTCAGGACTGGATATTCAAGGTCACTAGAGCTATCGTCCAATAGGGACAGTGTATGCTTGTACCATGACGCAGTCTCCGGGTCCGTCTCCCACCACTCAGCCATGTCGACGAATATCTTCGGGAGAGACCTGGACAGAGCCGTGAGACGTGGTGAGGAGGAAGAATCGCGCACAGCCTGAGAAAAGGCGACTCTGATCGTTGGGACCTTATGTGGGGTCTTGTCGGACGCCTTCGCTTGTGCAGGTACACATTCGTGCTCCTTCTATTGAAATCAGGACGGGACTGGCAGATTATCAGAATTGTGTCGGAATATACCCGTTCTAGGGCACGAAATACCATATAAGATGTTTGTTCGGTTACCTAGGTCGAACCCCGCGCGCTGACGTTTACGATTATTAGCAGGGCGAGGACCAGTTCCAACATGTTTCCACTCTCTTTTCTCTTAATCTCGGAGGGCCTTCTGTGGTTCAACGAGATATATGCGACCTATGTTTCTGTACTACTTACGAGACCGACTTTGAGTCGAGTGAGACAATACCGTTTCTCGCACAAGGTGGAAGAGAGGTTTTGTAGACGCTAACGCTCTAAGGCCGATGCTCACGCTGTGTTGCAGTCGCGGGTTTCTGTCATCGGGATGTATGGAGTATTTTCTGAATGCAGCAATGAGTACAGTTCCAAAATAAGTGAATGTGTAGGCTTCGACTAATTGTTCAGCTCCGCGAATTCTCCCTCATACCTGAACAGAGCTGCAAGCAACCGGACTAAGTAGACCATCGGGAGTGGCTGAAATGCTATGTAAGACATTGAGAGCTTTAAGTATCACTGCTCCCGCCGAAATCGCTCCTTTTTTCAGCTTCCAGCCCGCCGTGATTGCCACAGAAAGCAAAATATTACCCCGAAACCCAATTCCCGCAATCAGATTGATGCCGACGAGCAACCGACGAGAGTTCGAGTTCCCAACGTCGACCAAAATTGGCCATAGAATTGCTCATTTTGTTGAGCGCAGGTATGAAATCTTCGCACCGGAAGCCATCTGACCGACATCTATGGCGAAAGTGTTGATAGCACGAAGACTGGGCACCCCCAAGACGCCACTGTGGCGACTACGCGTAGTAAGTAAGTTGGGTTCTGGCGGAGATTGAACTTTCGACTATATTACGGCACTGGCACTGGGGCTGGCACTCGATCGAGTGCCAGTCTTGCGTTGTGCCACCATCCGCCGAGTGTCAGATCTTCGCTTACCCTTTCATACAGCACGGCGGACTTTCGAAAAGGACACGCCATATTATGCCGTCACGATTGTCCACAGTCTCTGAAGGCAGAGGCAATAAAGAGGTTGCTCGGGCAGCGCAACAACCACTGTTCTCAGCCCCTACTACCGACTTTGAGCCTGAGCTCCATCTTCACCACTCACCGCATCGAACCCGATCTTCAGGAACTATGTCAGTAGTACACGAATTGGATCTTTCGGAGGCTGTCACAGCGCACGAGTATGAAGGATGGAGAGGTCTTCAGGCCTCTCCGCTCTCGTTCAAGCCTCCCGTATCCCCGACCGTGTTCGACCGCGAAGTGAAGCCCAGGGATCGAGACAGTACTATCGAATTCGTTTCGCTCGTCAGGTTCCCTGACTCCATAGATGATATAACGACATGCCCCCCACAGCTAGCCATCCATACCCCTACTCATTACACTTTACGACTTTCGCTTGCGAACCACTCTACAATTCATCTTGACATGAGGCCGAAACTGGGTCCGAGCGGAACTGATAGTGGAACTTTGATAGTCGCAAGTCGGGACGCCGAGTTCATGCAGACACACGTTATATTCACTGCTACAGCTCAGTTTATCGACTTCGTCCAAGTCGACGGGACGAGGCTCATGCGAAAGCCAGAGGTTCTTCCCGGTGATGTCGACCAGTATCCACCAGAGGCAGTCCCCCACTGCACGACGAAGTGGACACCGAACATACTGCTACAATGGCTACTGACTCACAAGGTGGACCGATCGAAGTACGAATTCCATCCCTCGGGAAGTGGGAGCGGAGCTTGGTGTGTTGCTATTCTCGCAGGTTTGGACAACAACGGGGTGCTGAGGACTGGGACTTCTAAAGCTCTGCAATGGGTTGTCGAGCAATGTAGCACGAAGGCGGTAATTCCTGACAAAGTAGGTCTCTGGATTGGTGAGTTGATTAATAATGGATTTCATGATCTTCCGCTTACTAGCTGCTGACACCGTTCTGCCTCACTTGTAGGGTAACCGGTGAACGTTTTTGGCAATATGGAATCTTTGTTGTATTTTTGTTCATGATGGTGGCGTATCTTCGAACACTTCGTATTTTGCGCTTCCTTCTCTGTGTCTGGCCCCATTCATTGTTTCTGTAGGTTGGCCATCGCTGAACCTGTGTCAGATACATGCACAGAAATTCAAGTTCCGAGTGTCATTTCCCTGATCACACTCAGATGAGGGTGAACGCGGTCGTCAATTGCCAGGGCCAACTTATGCTGAATGTTAGGACTTGGAATCCGACGACAAAAAGTTTGGAAGAAATAAAGAGGTCAAAAATCACATTCCTAGTGAAGTGCACAGCTCGTTCGTAGCAACGTTTTCTGCTGCGAAAAGGTGTTCGAAGAAAAAATTAGAGTCTAATCGGATTTTCATGCTCCAAAGTATTCTTTGAGAAATCATGAAGGAGAAGAATTTTTTGCACCATCGTCCTCTGTTCTTGAGGCTCAAGAGATGGACGCGAAGGGCGCTTTTCTTGCACCGGAATACTTCCTTTTCCCACCGACTTATAGCCTTTGTTTCAGCTTTGTTTGTCAAACAAAGCGAAAGTGTCGAGCGCTCGGACTTTCCCGTGGACCGTCCACTCGGGATATCGAATTGTGGCGCCGACCGGGCCGAATTGGACACCTGTTCGGCCACTCGCCGCCATGCCCAACTTGCACCCAACTCTCACCTCGACAGACGTCTAACCGTCTTCTTGGTCTTCAGCCTCATGAAAGCATGTCTAAATTCGTAACTTTAGCTGTTCTGGTTGACTCGAGTCTTACGCTAGGGTCAGAATGGCCAACTCTTCAGAAGGAGTATCTCCAGCCCATCAATGCCCGCGTGAGTGAGCTGCATCCTAAATCACAGGTGCGTGACAATGGATTGTATCATAAAGCTTAAGACACTGACCATGTCATATGTGTACATTATGAATGGCTCGACATATGCACTTACGACGGCATTAGCTTCGCATAGCCTGGGTAACATACGGCCCAGGAGATGGGTACTACAGCCCCATACTGACGACACGCTTCTTCTCATTACCGGAGTCCATTACCAACGAATGCTTGCCGGAGAACACGAAGGCACTTTGTCTGGGGGAGACAGGGACTGGTGGTTCGACGGGAATGGCAGCCCTGGAGGGCTATGCTGCGCTCCTAGAGGTGTGTTCGAAAGCTTTCTGTGGCGCCACATCGAGGTTCAGACCTATTGTATCCACATGATGTTGACGAATGACCGTAGATGCTCGATATATTTGACAAGGAGAAGGAGTTCAGACCATTACGCCCACGGAATATGAATCAGCCAGCAGAAACGGAACCTTCACCACGCGAGATCCCTTCATACTTTGTCCACTTCGCTGCCGGAACTCCAGACGGTGTTACACATCCTCAGTGGAACAACTCGCCTGCCCTCGACTCGCTGTCGTGGGCTACACTTCCTGCGGAGCTTAAGAAGGTAATATCCGCTCCATGCACCAAGTTCATTCGCGGTAATATGAGCTGAATCCGTGTATCGCAGCGTAATGTTATAGTGAGCATGATCCTCCTGCGACCCATCCCACAACTTGCAGAAGCTTTTGCTGTGGTACGTTATACAACGCATGATGTGTCTACCTACCAACCGGCTGACCCGAAAAACGCATCTTATAGTTCAATGGCGGACGCCCAAGCACCTGGCCGAAAGCAAAATCACACCATCAAGTTCTTGTTTCTGCCGCCCTGGTGTCTGCTACACCAAGCAAAGGTCAGTGTCTCTTCATTCATTGAATCATCTAGTACTTGGCTTGTCGACACGAGTGCGATGTCGTGATGCCTTCGAGCACCTACCCATTGGCTACACACTGGAGTGTTCTTCGAGTCTACTAGTCGTAACGTTGCGGGTAAGGGATGAACACTGCGACATAACGAGCGGTAAGGCAAAGGCGTGCAAGCGTCGTAGCATAAACGCGACGACGTTGCTCTCGATCGCAGGTGCAACGTTCAACGTGTCTTCGTTCCCGCCGCCCTCCATGAACACTATATAAACAGTGTTCATCATGCAGTTCATTCCTCTGTCATACAGCGAAGCAAGGCCCTCGTTCGTCGGGTTGTCCAGCTAGGACCGTTCCACTTTTCTTTCCATCTCAACTCCGACCTAATAACCATGCAACCTAACATGAATCCTAACCTCGAACTTGTCTACTTTCTATCAGGACCTAATAAACGCCCCGCCGACACTTCAGGTTCACCCACCACGCACAAACGCCAACGCTCTCAGGCCACGAACGCAATCGCATCTAACCAACCACCCCAGAATAGCCCCAAGACTTCCAATCCTCAGCCGGCCTCACATCCCGCCCCTGCCCCTGCCCAACGCCCGCCATCAGCAGTTGTACCAGCACCTATACCAGGACCGTCATCAGCCTCCATACCTCCCCCAATCCCTCAGACGTCTAGTCCTCCGATCCCGCCCCATCCTAACTCTATGTCTCTACCACCGAATCTTCCTGCACCTATGGTGCCGTCAAACGCAGCGGGAGCACCAGCCGGGGCACCTATGGGTGCGCCGACGAGAGGACCTTCACCTGCTAAGCCGGCGAAGGGTAACAGACATCCTACACCCGTTCTTTCGAATCTCCCTGTTCCCAATCTTCAGCCTCCACCACACGCTCAGCCACAGGCACAGCAACCGCAAGCACCACACCCACCGCAACCTCAACCTCGTCCTCAACCACCTCCTACCCAGCCCGTCGTATCCCAGGCGCAACCGCAACCGCAACCGTCATCGTCCCAGCCCACTCAGCCTACGTCTTCTATCCGGCTTCCTCAATCTTACGAGTACACGGTCAAGGAAGCCGCCATCGCAAAGGGTATAGCCAACCTCCCTCATCCGCAACTCGTCGAGCGTGTTCGAGCCATGGAGGCCCAGTTCGAGCCGCTCAGAGAGGCACTCAGGAAGGCGAATGATATGGGCAACGTGCAAGTTGCACAGAAGCTCAGAGACGAGATCAAGAAGAAGCAGGATATGTTCCAGACGGTTAAGACGATCATACTGAAGTCGGTGGCGCAAAAACAGCGAGCACAACAATCACAACGACAGCGAGAGCAGCAACAGCAGCAGCAGGGACAGGAGCAAGGACAGGGCGGACAGCAGCAGGCGGGTCTCAGTCAGAATCAGGCCGGCCCTTCGAACACGAATCAGCAGCCTCCAAAGCCTACTCACCCTTCATTCCTGCCCCAGTCTCAGCCTCAGCAGTCTCACGGTCCTCCACACATCCAGCAGTCGAACAGCAACAACGGCATCGGTGGCTCAGGTGCCGTTGGTCTCACTCCAGGTGTAGGGGGTCTTGCCGGTCCGAATATGGGAGGCCTTGGATCACTCGGCCCGGCTTTCAGCATGTCGCCGAATCTTGCCGCCGCAGGTCTTGCACCAGGACCCAACGTCCACGCAGGCCCATCCTCCAATCGCGGACACGATCAGCAACACCCACAACAACCACAGCAGCAGCAGCAGCAACCACAGCACAACCGAACGCCTTCGATGTCCGACATTCAGGCGTTCCAGAAGTCATTGGCGGCGCATACTGCTCAAAACCCGTCCGCAGACGGTCGAATTCACAATCTTCCACCAGATCTTATGGCGCAGATGCAGAAGCTGATGGAACATCGGGGGATGCAGCCGCCTGGGGGACAAGTACCGAACAACACGTTAGCGGCTCTATTGTCGCAGATACAGCAACATCAGAATCAGCACGATGGGAGCGGAGGTGCTGGCGGCGGCGGTATGGGCGGTTTGGGAGGACTCGGAGCATCAGGCCAGTTGCCTGTGAACTTGACGACGGTGAACAGGGGAAATAAGTGGATGGGCTTCGTCAGTTGGAGTGGGACGGATACGGCGACGCAGGAGAAGAAAGAGGTCAGGGCGCAAATTGTGGCAACCGGTGTGCCAGGCAGCGCCGAGATGTACGTCCTCATTACCTCGTGTTCTCTTCCTTCCTTTGTTCCCCGATTGCGATCATCCAGGCTAACTGACGTGGATCGATCGATGTAGGCATTCTGAGACTTGGCCTCCAGTGCTGTCGCTCGCTCCTATGAGAGACCCGCCAGTGACGCATCAGGTTCTGGACATGTGGTTCAAACAGCACAAACCTGCATTGTGTAACCTTGAGGCCGCACCGAATCTCGGTACAAACACGAATACCAATCGTGCACATTACCAGAAACTCGTAACGCTCCTCAAGGAACGTAATCTCGTACGTGCACTTTCCTTCATCCTCGCATTTCTCACCTTCTCATTCGCGGTCTCACCATCAACTCAAATATTTCTCGACGACAGTACGCCTTCGCTAGTTGGGAACTTCCCGGTCAAGCTCGCACGAACAAAATGCTCATAACCTGTTTCCGAGACAACCAAGGAAATGATAGCCTTCTCGCCGCTGTCTTTCCCCTGGGAACCCTCCCAGAACTCCCGAAGTCGAAGAACGGAGCCGTGTCATCGTCGGTGCTTCACATGGTCTCGCAGCTCCCGGCGCAAGTGAGAGAATGGCCGCAAGAACAGAGAACACAGTTTATCATGCAGTTGTTGCATCGGCAGACTCAGCAGAGTCAGAACCCCGTGCAGCAGGGGTGGCAGAATATGATGGGATTCATGCCGGGCATGAACGGAGCGAATACGGGCGGAAATGGTATGGGTGGTATGAATGGTAATGGGGCGGGCGGGATGACTGATATGAACGGCGCGAGTGGTAGCGGTGGTAATGGCATGGGAGGCGTGGGTGGGATGCAGCAGAACCAACAACACCAGATGAACGGGGGTAATCAACAGATGGGAGGCATTAATGGCGGGCAGACGATGATGGGCGGGAACAACGGTACACCCAAGTTGAACATCAAATCTGGGGAGTTGAATCCGTTCATGCCAGGCCAGGCGGCACCGAACATGGCTGCGATGCTGAACCGGATGGGAAACATGTCCGGGCAGCAGCAGCAACAAGGAGGAAACCAAGGTCAAGGCGGGAACGTAGGAGGCGGGATGGGTGGGATGCAACAGTTCATGCAACAGCAGCAGCAGCAGCAGCAACAACAGCAACAACAGAACATGATGGGTATGGGAGGAGGCGGAATGGCCGGGATGGGTGGTTTGACAATGGGTGGCGGTGGGAACGGAATGCAGGGCGGCGGTGGCGGGCTTGGCGGGATGGGGGGATTGGGAGTGGGGATGAATACGGGGAATGTGGGAAACATGGGGAACATGGGAGGGTTCAATGCGGGTGCCGCGCCCGAATACACGCCTGCGATGATCCAGCAATGGATGCAGAGGAATTCGGAGGGAGGTGGAGGCGGATCGTCATAGTCGTCAAGCGTAGAGGTCGCAATGTCAGTGATCTAACAAGCGTGTTCTACGTGGATGAGGTCGGAGGCGCTGTGTGTTGCAGGGTCGATGTAGACTATCTATACGTGTATACCTATTTGATTGTCTCTGTATTTTTCGTGTTTTGATTGCTTTCGTTGAATATACTCGTGGGTCTCGGAGTCTATCTTATCCATTTCGATTGTGGCAATCACTCGGTGATTTTAGCAGACCATGAACCAAGCCATCCTCGACTTACACTTATTCATCGCCATCGGTCGAGGTCAGCCCGGCTGTTCCGAATTTGAGGAGAATCCGCTTCGTCTACGTTGCGAAACAAATCTGGAGCAGACGTACACTTTGTTGTCACGATGGATCACTTAGGCTCACAACACTTCCTTACTAAACGCTAGGCACTAGCTGTAGCACATAACATTTCCAACCAGCTTCATAAAGTGGGTGTGTAGATGATACAAAGACTGAAATAAGGAACGAAATACAAGATTGTGCAAGAGTCTACGTAGACACACTATTTCGGAATGGAACCAGTCAGTGACCTCTACGTTCAAATAATCTTAGACATGGTCAGGTAGTTCCGCATTACATTGCCGTGCCTGTGAAGTGTACATTTGTCAGACCCAGGCCGCAGAACGTTCAATCGAATTGTATCTGGCATACCTTAGCTGGCCTTGAATGACGGCCGCACAATCCTTGTGGGTGTACAATCGCAAACCTACGATGACCGACTCGTCCGGAATGTCACCCTAGAGCGTCACAAAGGGTCAGGACAATCAAGCTGTGCAAAGATCTTGGAACCCACCTCCTCTACAAAGATATCTTGATCAGCTGGGTCTGTGATCTCGATCATTTGGTGGCCGGTCCTATGTCCTTGTTTATTCATACAATCCTCGCAGAGGTCGTACGAAGCTCCACTCGAAGCTCCACTGCAAAGGACGCTGTAACGGGGATTCATGGATGGTTAGAGGGATGCACACGTATTCGGACGCTCGGTAATACTCACTCCAGACAACGGAACCTAGATCCCGCAATAGGGCCCAAGCATCCATCGCAGCTGTATCCTTCATGAACTTTCTTCGTTGGTCCTGGTGGGGGCTGCGATTCGGTGACCTCTTCGTTGACTGCACCGTCTTTGTGTTCCTTGTCACCGTCCTTCCCCTTACCAGCATCCCCCTCGACCTTCCCTTCGGCTTCGGTCACTTTCTCTTTGGCTTGTTCGTCCTTCTCGACTGGCTTGTCCTTTTTCGACTCCGCTGGCTCTGCGGCAGGGGCTGGTATCGCCTCAGTCTCTCCTGCAGAAAATGTCTCTGATTTGGCCGATGGAGGAGGGAGTGTGGCGGCGCTAGGTGAAACAGGAATGGCTTGCATTGTGTCGTTAATGGGGCTGCCGCTTTGGACCGCCTGGTCAACGGCCGGACTAGTGGGAGCGACTGGGGCGACTTGGTCAGCTTTCGAAGGACCGTATACCGCCTCGCGCTGTTTACGATGCTCCTCGAATAGACTGTGCATGAGAAGCTCCATTCTCGTGAGATCCATGCCGGCGAAGGTTTCTGGGGCGATAGGCATCGCCTGACCATAATCACTAGTTTGACGGGGTCAGTGCGATGGAGGATAGGATAACGAAGGACACTTACGCTGGTCGAAAATCTTCACGGAGGAGTTGATATTAGATTGCCTATCACAACATTGAGTTCTGAACTGAAAGGACTTACTGGCAGCGATGGACATGCTCCGTAGTTTTTCTGATTGCTTCTGCAGCATCTTCCTTTTCGATGTCGGGGTTTCAGGAATAGGCGAGTATGGTCTCGAGTCATCTGGGACAAAAACCGGAGGCAGCCTCTCAACCCTGACCTGATACAACGAACATAAACTCAGAATCAAACTTCTCGCAGGAGTTCTACTCGCAGCTTCATCTACGCACCTGTACAACATAGTCGCCCGCCTCCAGGAATACTTCCAGATTGACGCTCCGGTCCCACAAAGAGTTGTGTGGCGAGATAGCGACGGGGTCCTCTTCGTCTTTCTTGAAGATCTGGCAATACAGGCTGAAGAGATATTGGCTAGATAAACCGCGGAAGTAGCGTGTATCGAGCTGAGCGAGCACGATCACAGCATCTGTATCTTTGGAAAGCGAGAATGTGAAGGAGACGTCGCCGAAGTTCGTAGGTCGCGGGTATGTGCCCAGGTTCGCCGACAACCAAAGCTGACTGCATGACCACTCCTTATTGAAGAGCAGGCATTTTTCGACGACATCCCAGGCTTGAAGGAAATCGGAATATTCCATGATGAATTCTGGAATAGAGAGAGGATTGAGCTATTATGAAGTGTTACGGAGGAGCACGACTATACCTCCATCGTTCCCAAACTTGAAATCAAACACAGGGAGCGCTTCCAGCCACTCGCCGTTCCATTCCTTACTCCCATCGCTCCACCTTCCAGTCCACTCATACTTTCCCCACGGGTTCCGAACCTTCAGAAACTTCTTGCCGTTGAACTCGACGGCTTTGATGACAGAGTACGCATGCCCTTTTACGAGGCCGTTTGTGATCTCCGGATTGGGCAGACCCATGTTCGTCACGAGCTGATCAGGGGTGTAACAAGCAAATGCACGATCCTCTTGAACGTTTAGTAGTTCGTTCGTCCAGAACTCGTCGGGGTCGAGGATGTCCTATCATTGTGACTTCAGCCATGACCTGTTCAGTTGTAACGCGTCTACTCAGGCTGACCTGCATGTACATCAAAGTCGATACAGCACTGTGTGAGCAAAGTCAGCGTGGGCGGTGTCGGCTTTGTGGTCGGGGAAAACATACCCAGTCAGATCTTCCACGGCCTCGTTCGTAAAACCACCTTAAGAAAAAAGGTATCGTAACAAGTTTAAAAGTGACCAGGAGTGACTGACCTTCTAGCGAAGAGTAATCCCCGTGCAACTTGGCGTAGGCCTTTTCGATGAGCGGTACCCATGTTTCCTGAGCTCAAGGATTACATTTGGGAAACACTTTCAACAAAAGAGGACGAGCATACGTTCTCTGCCAGTGATTTGCCGAAGTAAAGGACTTTGCTGCCCTTCCTCGCTTCCTTCGCATATATGTCTTGGTCGCTTTTGTACAACATACGCTCCTGGAAGATGATTTCAGTAATCGAGTGTTAGATGTTGCGTGATCATAGGAATTCACTCTGTCTGTGAGGTCTGTCCAGCGGGGAACTCGTACGAAAAGAAGACTGAGGGTTGAGATTTAGTGGTGTGTCATTGCATATGGGGAATGGGGTTGACTCACTCGTCGATAATCACATCCACCCATCCCGAGTCTCTCCAGAAGATAAAGCCATATATGCCGACTTTCTCGTCTCTCTGTCAGATCGACAGTTCTAGTTTAGCATTTAGCCAGTCGCATGGCATATCTGTCGAGAACTGACCTCCACACAGATTTGCTGAATATCACAACAGTTAGAAGCTCGTATCGTGGTCTGTGAGTCATCTATCTCACCTCAATAAGTCCTGCAGTCGCCACTACGGCCAGAGCACTAAGGAACCAGCAGTCTCCGAAGCAGTCTCCCTGCGCAATATCGCTCGCCGTCGCACCATCCACGAAGAACTTAGGGTCCTGAAATATCTGAGTAACACGCAGGGCTTCCGTAGGCGTATATCTGTGGAATGAAGGATCAACGATCCCGTGCAAGCAGTTCTCGCGATCCTCCAGGAAGTCGAAATCGATATCCCTGTAACATACGAGCGACTTTAGTCAGTGTAGATCTTAACATGGAATAATCGTTGAGGGAACGACGCACCGGTACCGCCTATTGCCTCTCCGACAAGCCTGCGCCAGCTTTTGCACTTTGCTTCGGCACCTCGAAATAGCCTGGTCTAGTTCAGCAGTCACGATCAAGCCTGCCTTGTTGATCCTTGGTCTGCCAGTCAGCTCAGTTGGTTGTACATCAGATCTAGAGCTCCGGGGCGTCGGACTAGGGAAGTTGCCTGGGATCCTTAGTGCCTCAAGCTCCGTCCCGTTCGCAGCATTTGAGCCAGAGGTCAGAATAGAGCCGAGCGATTTGAGGTTGACCATGGTGGGCTGTAGTTGACTGAGGATGAATGGAGGAGAGCAGGGGTGCAAGGACGCGCGTTCGGGTGGCGTTTTAATAGCGATTGCTCGGACCCATCGCCATCAATTAGCGCTAATGGTCTGGGGAAGGCAAATGCATCCGATAGATGGAATTTGATGAATGTGCGGGATCGTTGGAATAGAAGACCGTATCAGCGGATACAAGGGGCACAGCCAGTTTGATTCTGGAATTGGACGAAGGTTAAACCACAGCCTGAGGACGCCAGCCAAGGTGACTCGCGTGGTTGTTCGAAGAAGAGAGCATACTAGCAGATAGCGGACAAAAAATGGTTCTGCAGTTAGACGCTAGTCAAAAGTTAGTTGCTGGTGAGTCGGGTGAGAGAGCCCAGACTGCAGGCGGATCCGAGAGGGATACTTTTATCGTAATGTACACTCACCTGTGTCGATGGTCAACGCTAACTGCGATCACATTGTTATGTCCTGAATTCATCATTCGCTAAGAGTGTTGCGATGATGTCGATGAAAGCACTGTGGATCGATGTGATGGTTGCATCTTACAAGGCACCATGTTCAACGGCTATTCTTTTCCACCAGTTATATCGTATATAAAGGCTATAAATGGATATAGGGAGACATATGAGCGACCGTATAACAGCAGTTTGAGGAGTATATCGTGCTCTAGCGTACTCAGTGAATATTTTTCTGAGAGGCTGGAGTTGGACAAACGCAAAAAGAGTCGGCGCTTGCCGAAATAGGCACCGCGAAAGAATTCAGAAGCTGCCACAGTTGTGCCACAGTTCGTATCACCACCGATTTCGCACCTGATCACTATACCACAGGGTGAAAAGGGACTCAGAATGCTATATTAGTTACAGCCTTATCCCTGTAAATGTTTGTGGATATATCCAACGCCAAGTTGTCCGCAGACCACCAACGCGTGCCACATCCTCATACTTGTTTCTCCCCTCCTTTTCACCCTCAAGTTTCCTCTCCGGTCTTCTTCTCTTCCTTCTGATCATATCTACCACGCATTGCTCTGATATCATTGGGTCCATCGCGCGCTTAGGGGTACGAGCTCCAATATATCTCAGCGGATGTGTCCTACATAGATCATCACAGGCTCAGTGAGCCTGAGATATCGACTCGGCAAACACGGCCATCTTCAGCGACGTCTACTGCATTGACAGCGACACACGCATCATACCAAAGCTCCATCCTTGCAGGTAGCAAGCACCGATGAAGACATTCTTGATCCCGGCATCAGTTCGTAACGCTACTCACTAGAACAATAAGAAAAAAGCGAGGCAGGATTCAGAGGCTGCTTATGGACGGAGCATGGTCCGGTCACCATGCAGCGGGGATCGTCCTCGACAGCAGTCGCATGACTCACGCCTACGTACTTTATGCGGGAAATGTCTGTGAGTTATGGAGATCCTGTGCGCAGAAAGATGACAAAACAATAGACTGGCAGGCTTCCACTGCTCACGACCGGCATGCACTTCTTACAGCCCATATGCACTTGCAGCGATGGTACAGATCAGCGAGAGCATGACCACAGATAAACATACCTTTTCGAGCAGAGTCGCAGACGGCGTCAATGAGGGAGAATTTGCGAGAGAGACGCCGGGGCCGGCAAAGTGGCGTCTGAAACCGGAAGGCTATTGTTCGCATCGGGCATTGCCGGATGCTGTACCGAAAGCGAGAACAATGAACGGCATTGACGACGAGCATCGACCAGTCAAGAACAACAACAATGAGCGACTTGGCTTTCTCAAAAGGACGGCCCACGCGGGCTGTCTTCCCGCCTCCGGGTTTCCCTTCCTCTCCGCTCTTTCTGCTTGATACCCTTCTCTGGCCCTCCGTCGTTTGCACCCCTCGTCGCCGGCCGACCTATCATACCCCTCACGCTCGATGTCGATGCCAGTCACCTCACCCACCACACGCTGGATGTCCCCACCGCCAGTTTACGACAATAGACTTAATGTACCCGGATCGAACAACAAGCTCACACCTTACCTTCAGCTTCCACATCTGCTCTCCTTGACATGGCTCGCGTATCCGATTCTCTCGCTCATTTTCATCGTCTTTCGGCTTCAAATTTCGTCGGACTCTGCGCAAACTTCGATAGCGAATGCGAAGGACGACCTTCTTGCGAGCTGCCAGGCCGCTCAGACTGCAGGAGCTTCTGTTGTTAGCATGCCACGGTGAGTTAAATTTTTCGTTGAATTTCTCGGTGGCGGAGGAAGGAAGTTAAAACTTGGCCGGGTGAAAATATGGATGTTTGAACTGAGAGTGTGTGTGTCATGGTGGAGGGTAGTGGCAGGTGTTCTGTTGTTTCGTGCATTCGTAACACGGTCGGCTCGAGCTGTATTGGCCAAGAAATCAGCTCTGAGGTTACGAACCCCTTGTGGAAGATGCGTTCTCGAACTGCATCGTTGTTCTCCGGTACCCCTATGTCTTTGTTGGATTCGCTGCGTTTTCATAAATGCTCAAATTTGAGACTACACTTGGGCCACACTTGATAGTGTTCACCCGTTAGACGCGGAAGCAAATTATACTTCCGTTGAGGGCCACTGGTCTATTCATAGAAACACTCATCCTCTGTTCTATGTTGCCTGCTCGAACATCTTCCTACCTCACGCACGGGGTATCTCCATCCAAAGACCAACAAGCTTATCATAACTTGTTTCGTGAAAATTCTGATTGTCGTTCCTCATACTAGGTACATGGCTATAGCGACCAACGAGCAAATTTCAGATGCAGTCAACGGGACTATGAATGCTGCTCGTGCTGCTCTTATTCTCTCACTGACCATCATGGAGACTATCATCAACTTCCTCGTCGACATCTACCGTTCAACCTTTCTCTGCTTCGTCGAGTTGATCGTTCGGGGTGGATTGTCGGTTCTCATAAGCGCAGTTCAAGATGTACGCACCTCTGCATCCCCCTTTGATCCTCATCTCGTTGGCTGAACCTTTCACTTCAGATTTCAGACGCTATCACGAGTACTCTGAACGATCTTCGTACGACCATTCAGAACGACGTCAGTTCGGTGAATTCAGCCATTCAGACTGCCATCGACGCCATCAACAAGGTCAACCCCTTTGACGATATCACCGCACCTCAGTTCAGCATCCCTGATCTCGATGCTCTCTCGAACGTAACGATTCCGACTGATTTCGAGGATACTTTGATCTCGTTGAACAACTCGTTGCCGACCGTCTCGGATATCAAGAACGCTATCAATGGATTGTAAGCGGTCTCGCGTTTCGATGTCTCAAGCTTGATTCTTACGGCCTCGTTAGACTCGACACGCCCTTCGAAGCCGTCAAGGCGGATATTAACAACACCTTCGCCGGGCTGTCCTTCAATTCCTCCGCTCTTCCCGTTCCCGAACGTGCCACACTCTCATTCTGTGACGACATGGATACCTCCGTCGTCGACGATCTCGGACACGATATTCTCCAAATCGCCAAGATCGGCCTCATCCTCGTCATTGTCTGCATCTTCCTCCTCCTTGCCGGCAACTGTCTCCTCGAATGGTACAAATGGCGCACCCTCAAGCAACACCTCCAATACACCCGTGAAGCATGGATGTCTGACCCGACTATCGCGCACAACAACATGGACGCAGGAGCGCCCACCGTTCGCCTCTCGGACCACAACCTGCTCATGCTCGGGGCCGATTCCGCTCACCCACTCATCACGCGACTGGCGAACCAATTCTCTGCTTTCTTTCGCCTGAAACCACAGAGCCATATCAACCTCCGCTGGCTCCTCCAATACGTCTTCCATCCTCCAGCTCTAGCCTGCTTCCTCATCGGCTTCTTCGGCATTCTCTCCGTCGAGATCCAGCTTATTGCTATCCATCCCCTCGAGGCGAAGTATCAGGCCCGTTCCGCTGCCGCCGTCTCCGATTTCTCGAACACGGTAGCGACGTCCGTCAACCAGAGCATGTACAACCAATCCGCTTCCTATGCCAACGACATCAACTCCCGCGTCGACGCCATCCAAACTTCGATCAACGACGGTCTCTTCGGCTGGGTCAACGGCACGACGAGCACGCTGAACGACTCGCTCGTCACCTTCTATTCCGACGTCCAGAACTTCGTGACCTTGATCTTCAACGGGACGATCCTCGAACAGCCCGCGCAGGAATTCGTGCAATGTCTCATCGGGAGTAAAGTCGACGCTCTCGAAGAAGCCCTCACCTTCCTGCACGACAACCTGAACATCAACATTGCGAAAGTGAACGAATCCGCGCTCGTGCTCTCCTCGGATCAAGTCAACGAGGCGACGCAGCCCATCGCTGCGGCTGCGATTGGGGGCAATGGGAGCGACAGCGACGGTCTGGTGGGGAAGTTGGTGAATGCGTATGTCGAGTCGTTGAAGAAGGAGAGGATCATGTTTGCGGTGTTTTTGGGGCTGTGGGGGTTGGTGGTGTTGATGGGTCTGGCGGTGATATGGTGGCATTCTTATGGTGTTGAGTGGAAGGAAAGGAGGGAGAGGAGGAAATGGAGGATGGAGCAGAGGGATGGCATAAGGAGTATCGTGGTTCCGTTTAAGGAGAAGGGTGGAGAGGAGCATGGGCATGGAAAGAGTAGCGTGGAGTTGCCATCATTTACTCCTTTGTCGTCACCGAAGGCGAAGGAGCAGGTTTTGGAGGACCAACAACGGAAGGGAAGATCACGACACCCTCTTGGGATGCTTCGCCCTCGGTTCGAGAAGAGCTTCGACAGTTTCTTCGACCATCATACGCCGACTCACGAGCAGCAACAGCCAAACCCTCCCGAGTCTCACTCTGAATCCCCTCCCCGCGGCTTCCTCGCCAACATAGGCCGAAAACGTTCCACTCCCCTCGCCACCCCTAGCCCTTACACCTCTCACGAAGATCTCGAGAAGTCTCATTCCGCAGAAGAGACAGGAGGACCCAACGACCAACGTCCCAAACCCTCCTGGTTCAAATCCTTCTTCAACTTCTCATCCTTCTCTTCCGGTGGCGAGTCATCCTCAGACCCTCTCCCCTCGAGCAACGACAGCATCGTTCCCCGTCGTCGTCCCAACCTCCAGATCTCCACCTCCCACTCCCAGGAGTCCTTCCGTGACGATCCCAACAACAACCTCCCCGCGATCGAACGTACCTCTCCCTCCGAAGACTCCCACTCTCACGTCCCACCTTCAGCCTGGTCCACCTCCGATGACCCCGGCCAAACACCCAAAGCACCCCGCACCCTTCCTTGGCTCAACCCCATCGCTCCCACCGAACCGAAGCCCGTGCCGAAGCCCAAGCCCAACTCGAAAGCCGTAAGCCCGCCTATGGCACTCAGACCGAAACCGCGGCGCACGGCGAGTGTGCCAGAGGATGTCGGTAATTCGATGATCATCGATGCGGATTCGCCTCTGCCGCCTAAGGTTGGTGGACCCAATGGACAGAGGGAGAGCCAGCAGATGTATCCGCAGACGCATTTGCCGGTGCCGTTGTATCATGGCAGGCCGGATATGGGGAGGTATCCTGCACTTGTTCCTGTTCCGAAGCTTACTCAGGAGCATCAGGTGAGGACGCATCGGCCTCGTCAATCGTTCGTTGGGTCTGCGCTGCCTCAGCAACCTGCTCCCGCTCCAGGGAGACCTCTCGTGCCAGGACCGCCTGGTCTGCAGGGCTCACAGAGGAGGGCCAGGGAGTCTTATGATCCGTTCTCGACGCCGTTTGACGATATACATGAAGTCCCGAGGAATCCTAATAGGGCGTCGAATCCGTTTGGTGAAGGTGCGGTAGCGATGTAGTATGTATGTGCTCATGCGTGTCTGGACACGCATTTTTTTCTTCTACTGAGGTTTGAAGGTCATGAGCTGTTTGACGAACACGTTATGATTGGTGTATCTATATTGTTTCCACTTTTTGTCGTTTACTCAGTGGTTGTGGTTGGACTTACGATACTAGCGTCTCTTCACTTTTCACAATAATTCTGCATGGTTTATCGACTGGACCATTCTTCTCTTTATCCTCTCTCATTCACGAAACTCTGCTATAGCATTAGTCTACTGTACATCGAGTGGTGCGCGGTTCTCTCAATACGTACTGTATTACTATGGCTTCAATTGAAGCCTTCCCGTCCTTACTGTATCTTTCGAGTTGACGTATGTTGTACGGCCTTCGGTGCTGCAATATATAATTGTTCTTGACGTTGACTTGGTGACCCGACGCCACATAACTTACGTGCCACCTCTCAAATTTGGGCAAAATTTGGGTCGCCACACATTTTGTACCTTCGTCAGTACGACGATATCGAACATGTCAAATCTTGGGCTCAAACATTACACTGTCTTTCTAGGAGCGCCGCCTGCATCCTCTGCTTCCTCGAAACTGAAATATAACTGGCGTGTCGTGTCGCCTGAGGCGACTGACGATCTTTCCCCGGTGGGCTCGCCGAGTCGTTCGCAGCAACACGTCTTCTATCCTCCTGCGACTCTAGCAGAGGCTAGCCGGCGAATCTCTGTTCTGTACGAGAACATCATCTTCAAGGATACTTCTGTAGGCGATCTTGACTCTGTAGGAGATGACCGAGACGATGAATATCATAGTTCAATCACCCGTCCAAGAGATGGTACGAAGACTTCGACCCTTCTTCACGCATACCCTCTGATTACTGCAAGTAGACCAGACGACCATGATCACCTGGGCTCCGACACCGAGCGGGACCGGGATGCGCACTGAACCGTCCATGTACTTTCGTGCAGAGCCATCGCGCGTACAGACCACAACGGTCGGCGAAACGCAAGAAACACAGTCCTACGAATACTCAGACGCTTCCTCCATCGCCCGCTTCCCCGATTTTCAGTTTAATCTCCATATCCTCGCACCGCTCTCCGAATTCTCATCGTCTAAGCAGCGTGGTAAAGGGTCAAAGAAGATATCTACGCTCCTTGCGACTCTAGAGGTCGAGGGTCCGGATAGGCTGACTCTTCGGAAAGGAGTCGATTCAGGGAAAGAAATCTACGTGTTCAAGATGGTGCTGGGCGATGAGAACGGGTCTGTGTGTAAGTTGACGGCTTGGAGAGAGGTAGCGGAGATATGGGGAGGTGTTGGTCAGGAGACGGGGATAAAGCGCGGAGACATCGTCTACCTCGAAAGTGCGTCCGTTGCTCTCAGAAAACTCTATCGCCATACTAACACTCAAAGTTGTTCCGCCGAACAGACGTGCTAGTCGCATGGGAGGATGAGACCCCCCTTGTCCTCACGGCATCGCCCTACCTTAAGTCTAGGGCTGAAATATGCTATCGAACAATGCCGAGGGCTTCTTTCCCAGATGATGCGCGCTTGAGACCTGATTTACGACTTGGTTATAGCGACGCCACCGTACGGAGAGTTGCCTCGGTCGTTCACTGGTTCGAAGTCCTCGCCGGATTAGTGGCAGGATAGTAAAGACCAGTATCCTTGGCAATAACCCATATTGTGAGGCATGTCCACATCAACGACGCTATAACGTTTGTTAGCAGCCAGAGGCCCTCGCCAGAGTCCTACGGTGTGCCACAACACTGGTGCCTTTTCTTTTCTACCATAAACCTGCTCGGTGCCGCTGACGACTATCACTTAGTTTGTATCCGTGATCAACAGATGTTGCCCACCTCGGCGCTTCGAACCACCATCCACCTCAATGCCTTCTTGACTCGATGACCTCTGACTCAGGGACTGAGCTTGACCTGCGTGTCTGTCGTATGTAACCGACCCCCCCTTGAATGCCACTCCAAACCTGCCTCTGTGTCTTTGTCTCGCCGATGTTCAACAGCATATATGAACCTCCCAATTCCAGGCTCTAATTTCTCATCTAGTCAGCACTGTATAAACTCCGCTGCTCTTTACTTGGTCTACCCATCCCCCACCATGCTTGCCTCCTCGCCCCAACATTTTGCATGCGCTACCAGAGTGGTTCATGTCAGTCGGAGACGGGGTGGACTACGGGGTTCGGTCAAGGGCCACATATGTGCAGTTCCCTTTACGCGGTTCCGTAATTCAACTTGACTTGATTCACAGGCCACTCCGCGTACACTTCGGCAGACTCGTATAGCGGTACGGCAACTTCTCCTTCAGCCGCTATAGCTCATAGTGTATACGCAAATGCTTCGGCAGGCTGTAATCTCAGAAATGTATGCTACAACATCTTCATACGGAGCCGCAGGAGCTCTTTGTTTGGTCTTACTATCAATAGGTCTGTGTTTTCACTTCACTGAACATCTGCATCCCAGTTACCGCAAACACTTTTCACATACATTATGTCCACTCCAACGGCGACAACCACAACCCCCATCCAACTTCCGCAAACACACTCCACGCTCGTCGTCACCTCCACCTCCTCCCCTCTCACTGTCGAGCAACGCGCTCTTCCTACCGTCACCCCCGGTAGCGCCCTAGTACGCATTATCTGCTCCGGTGTCGTCTCCTACATCGGCGAAGTCTTCTCCGGTAAACGCAAGTACCCCTTCCCCACACCCTTCGTCCCGGGAACCAGCGCTATCGGCCGTGTCACCACCGTCGGACCTGATGCAACGTCGCTCAAGCCGGGTCAACTTGTCTACGTCGATTGTTTCATTCGAGGACGCGATGACCCGGACGCTAGGATAATGATGGGGATGTATGAAGGCTATTCGGAAGAGACGAGGAAGTTGATGAGGGGAGAGTGGAGAGACGGGACGTTTGCTGAGTATGCGAAGGTGCCGCTAGAGAACTGTTTCGTGTTGGATGAGGCGAGGTTGACGGGCGGTGTGGGAGAGGGAGGATTGGGGTATGAGGTTGAGAAGTTGGTGTATTTGTCGACGTTGTTGGTGCCTTATGGAGGGTTGAGGGACGTCGGACTGCAGGCTGGCGAGACGGTTGTTGTGGCTCCGGCGACGGGGGCGTTTGGAGGCGCGGCGGTGCAGGTGGCATTAGCTATGGGCGCGAAGGTGATCGCGATGGGTAGAAACAAGCAGAAGCTGAGGAAGATCAAGGCCGTCAGCGAGAGGGTGGAGGTGGTCCCTATCACGGGGGATATGGAGAAGGACACAGAGGCACTGAAGCAATTCGGGCCTGTAGATGTCTTCTTTGATATCTCTCCTCCAGAGGCAGCGACGTCGACGCACTTGAATAGTGGTATACATGCGCTCAGGCATGGAGGGAGGGCGAGTCTTATGGGAGGGCTAGGAAGGGAGACGGCATTACCGTTTTTCTGGATTGTGTTCCAGGATCTGCAACTGAAGGGGAAGTGGATGTATGAGAGGAAGGACATTGAGTCGCTGATTAAGATGGTGCGGGCGGGCGTGATGAAGCTGGATATGGTGGATATTGTGGGTAAGTTTCGGTTGGCGGAGTGGGAGAAGGCGTTCGAGGTGGCGAAGGAAAATGCGGATATGGGACAGATGGTGCTCATTACACCTTGAGCAATGATCGCCTACTTTTATCTATGGACATAGTACTGTAAACCTCCACTCACGCATAACTACACCCCCATTCAGCTTGACTTATGATGATCTCTCGACGAGAAATGTAGTTCCAATCTCCTTCTCTTCTCCTAAATTTTACCACCTAATGAATATCTCTGGGACTATATTCAAATAAGCCACCTCTCCTGTACTTTCGGCAGTAAATATCATACTCCAAAGTGTGGCCCATGATGTGGCACTTGATGAACAACTCCCGCGTGCGCCCCACGTGGTATGATGCACGACAGTTACTGTTACTGTAACCCTTGACCGATTACTTATTACCCTCGCACGACGCTTTGAACGTCAACCATGGCCTCGTCGCCATTACTCTCGACGACGCCGGCCCACTCACATCCACTTTCCAACGACGACCTACCCTCAGGTTCGCGCACGCGTCGTTCTCGCAATGGTTCATCGCAACGGCTCGATGCCCTGAGTCCCTCTACACCTCGTTCTCCAAGCTACCACACCCTCAGAGCAGACTTAGAAGAACGTGCAGAACGGGGGACACGTCACGGAAGAGCGAACTGGGATGGGAGTGTAAGAGGACAAGGGAGCAATGGGAAGGGAGGTCGGAACTTACCTTCGCAGTGGGAGCGGGAAAGCAAGCCGCGTCCTGCGCCTTTGTTTGTGGTGGGCTCTTCCAAAGACTTGGGACCTTCTATAGACTTGGAAGTGGAACAAGTCGAGGCTGAGAATGCCGACTTCTCTGCGGAAATAACTGGTCGTATCGTATCTACTCGCTGGCAAGAGTACTCAGACGAAGCTATTCAATCCGCCATCTCTGGGTTCAGTGTCTCCGACTCTCCGGCCTCTGTATCATCACATCCATATCACTCTGTCATTCGCATTCTTTCCTCTGCATATCATAACTTGGCGAAGGCACGTAGGCAGCTAGAGGAAAACCGGAACTTGCTGCTGGAGAAGGAGGCCGAACGGAAGGCGCGTGCGGAGGTGCTTTTGAAGGAGTTACAGCCTTCGGAGCAGGAGATAGCGAGGCGGGTCCTCCAATCTCTATTCACGGACGATGACGAGGGTGGTCACAGGATACAGAGGAAACAAAGCCATATGGTGAGTGCAATATGTAAATACCACAGACGCGCGAGAGGTTGACAAAAGTGTGGCGTGCAGTCTCTCTCTGAGACGCTTTCCGAGGCTATAGCAGACGAAGTCCCATTGTCACGCTCGGTACCAGACGAGCCTCATACGCCTGTTATGGCTGAGCGTATCACTGTCACTCCCCCGACCGCCACCACGGAAGAGATGCCAACGGACGAGGACGCCAGTGACGCTCGTTCCATCGCTGCTTCTAGTCTAACAGCACCGAGTATCGACACTCAGGCCAGTACGAGATCAGACCGCTCGTCAGTGAGTGACTGGATGGGTACTTGGTGGGGCAAGGGCAAATCCAAGGGTCGACCACTTTCCATTCCACCTGCGGCTCCCAATGGCAAGGAGGAATCTACACCGGTTTCCGAACCCGACGCTCCATCTACGTCTCTGACCACGCCACGTCATTCGCGGAAGAACAAGAGCGTTTTCGGTACGCTTGGTTTCTCGATCCTCAACCCTGGGGTGCCTAGCACAAGTAGACGAAAACGAAACGCGTCCATGTCTGACGCATCAGTCATCGGTGCTCCTCCACCATCCGATGCTACAGAATCCATACGCGCACCACCGTCGGCTCTTTCACCTGTCGCTGGCACATTCAGTCTTCCTACAGCCGCTGCTCCTAGTCTTACCACTGAACTCCAACGCTCAGGCGCCAATACACCAACACCTTCGTTTTCGTCCCCGTTTTATACTCCAGGAGAGAAACCACCGCAAGGATCCGCACTGCGTGCTATAGTCAACGCCACACGGATCATGACCTCCGACGCTAATAGCGTTCTCGCCGATGGCGGTCAGGATACCAGCCCTTTTATCGCTGGGCTCGCATTTGCACTTGTTCAGCATGCACGAGAGATCAAGCTGGAAATCCGGAACCCACCTAAGGAGAAGAAACAGAAAAAGATGGAGACTCCGGATCCTGGAAAGCCGAAAGCTACACTCACTACAACCAACGGCGTCAGCGTGACTACCAATCTCCAGCGCGCTCTCAGCGGTGAGGTCGAGAAGGTACAGAAGAGTTCCAGATCTGGCAAAGGTCGCATGCCGTCCTTTGCGACTCAGGGATTCGCAGCTGCAGCTGCCGCCGCCTCTGCCGCCTCATCGCCGTTATTTGGATCGTTCATGCCACAACAATCGAAGCGACCGATAATCTCAACCGATACTGCTAAGCCTTCCACGTCCATGGCCTCAGCGGATGCGTCGAACCAAAACGCTCAAACGGGCCCGCAGTCAGCACCTCCGGGAGCTCCATCTGTTCCTCTGGAATCCATTATCCCCGTCAACGCTAAACCTCCGACAGAGTACCTCTCCCGCACATACACTTCTCTCATTGCACGCGACTTCAAACCTTCCATCCCTCTTCCCAATGCCGCATCTCGGCTCACCGTCTATCACGATGACAAAGAGCCCCTTACAGATCGCTTCGGATTCATGTACGACGTCTCGACGTACGACCTCCTACTCTTGGTCCGGGCGAAAGAATGCAAAAGTACGGCGCCAGCTTGTTTGACCGGGGTGAAGATCGCAGATAGGAAGGAAGACAACGAGTGGTCTGATGACGAGGACGGGGACCCGAGGGACGAAATCGAGGTGGTGAAAGAGGCTTGCGAGTGCGACGGAGAGTTGTTGGACGATTCGAAAAGCCTCAGCGAACGTAGCAGGCCCTCTGTGAGGAGCATGGCCGTCGACGCTGAATCGCCCGCACAGTCGCAGAGCTCACGAGCCGTCTCGCCGTCTTCGACACGTACGGGGGCGTCTAATAGGAAGCGGAGGTCGATCGGTGGCGCGCCACAACAACCACAACATCCTCCCCAATCCTCTAATGTACATCGGTCGAAAACTTCGATTTTGGCCGTCGATGTGGATACGCCGAGACACGTGTGTGCGAATGTGGTGAGGAAGTATTTGCGCGAGCTTACGGAGATACACGATCAGCGACAGACGATACAACGGAAGGAATGGGACGCGTTCGTTAAGCAGAGGAGAAAGGCTAAGGCCACGGGCGGTACGAAACCGTCCAACACGTCTACCATCGCCGGCGGTGCAGCAGCCATCCTAGGCCTCGGAACGACCCTCACAGAAGACGAACTCTCACACAGCGAAGGACTCATCGGTTTCGCTCAGCTTGGACTGTCGAGCAATCGCGACGAGAGACGCGAGCTCGACAGGCTCGTCAAGTCGGGGATCCCGTTGGTTTATAGATCGAAGTTGTGGTTTGAGTGTAGTGGAGCGTTGGAGATGAGGGAGCCAGGCTTATTTAGGGATTTATTGGAGGAGGTGGACGGGGACGATGGGAGTGTGGTAAGGGAAATTGAGAAGGATGTGGGGAGGACGATGCCGCTAAATATGTTCTTTGGAGGGGATGGTGTGGGAGTGGATAAGCTGAGGAGGGTGTTGATTGCGTATAGCCGGTCGGTCCACTTTACGCACTCGAACCTGTCGCCATTTATCAAGTGTACTGATGAGTGACTTTCACAGACGCAACCCCGCCGTAGGTTATTGCCAAGGCATGAACCTCGTCGCTTCGACCCTTCTTCTCGTCCACGCGGACGAAGAGGAAGCCTTCTGGGTCCTCGCAGCCATCATAGAGCGTATCCTCCCAGAAGACTTCTTCTCACCCTCCCTGCTCCCTTCACGCGCATGTCCGCTCGTCCTGCTCGATTACGTCAGGGAGTACACACCGAAACTCTTCCACCATCTGAACGACCTCGGGATTGACCTTCCCGCGATCTGTTTCTCCTGGTTCTTGTCATTGTTTACTGATTGTCTACCTGTCGAGGTACGCCTTCCCCTTTCTTCTTTGCATGAGTGTAAGGAGGGCATTGATTGGTATTGGTTTGTTGTGGCTTAGACTTTGTTCAGGGTCTGGGACGTCTTCCTCGTCGATGGCCTAGACGTCCTCTTCCGCATCGCGCTCAGCATTCTCAGGAGCAACGAGCAAGAGCTATTGAAATGCGAGTCCATCCCTGCTGCTTATGTCGCTCTGGAATCACTGCCTACGCGGATGTGGCAGCCGGATAAACTCCTCCAGGTGCGTTCATGCTCTTAATTTTTTCACATTCAGAGATGATGCTAACTGGCTGGTTGATTGGGTGTGTTTGTACAGCTTGAAGCTGATCTCCGATCATCCCTCGTCCATGCCGATATCGTGAAGAAGAGGACGCAGCGCGTGGCGGAGTTGCAGGAGGTCATAACTTGACTACCCTAATTCTCCTTTGGGTGTGTTGGGCAGGGGTGAAGAGTGTTATATGTCGCTTTGTGATTGCTTTTTGTGTTCGGGCTCGGGTTTACTTTTCGTTCTTTCTTGTTCTTGTTCTGGTACTGGTCCTGGGTTTCAGTTTCTTTTCTGGGAGAATAAACACTCTATAGTATTGGGTTTACTTACTAGTAATATTATTGCGGACACGTATATACATACATGCATAGCCGCCTTTGTTCAAGCATTACTTACTATTCACGAATCATGGACTCTGGATGCGTTACATAGACTGACAGTCGGAGTGGGGTGGTGTGTACTATCAGTACTGGTGTGGTCTGTTTATTACATTACATGGCGTATTGAACGGATAGAGCATTTGGACATTCAAAGGGTTAGATATTGGTACCAGGTTCTGGATGTCGAGTGCGATAGATCACTCCAAACATAGATCTTCGACTCAACCTCCACTCATCATTTCAGTCTTCGTCAAGAACAGCTCGACTCCTCCCGCTTCCCTCCGAAGCCAAAGTCCGTCAGATCAGACAAGCACTCGATACTCAATACTCAATCATCATCCTCGATCATATTATAATCCTCGTCCTCATCAACGTCTCCGAGATGATACTCATTCCCCGGGTTAGACGTATCGGATCCTGCCGGGCCCTCGTCGCTGCCCTCGAAGATAGTACTACTACCAGCTGAGGCTGATTGTTGTCCCCACTTCACCGCCAGGAGCATCTGCTGCGTTTTGGCGTTGATAGTGCGATATTGGCGTTTCCAAGCACGCACGTCCATGTCACCGATATTAGAGTTAGCCATCGAGCTCGGGCTCTGGTTCAAGTTCTGCACGCCCTTAAGCCTCGTACCCATGAACTCAACATTCCTGCCTAACCGACCACCACTTATAGATCCTTTGAGTACACGATCATGATTCGCGGCGGTACTGTTCCTTTCTGAACCGAGGAAAGTAAGACGAGCGACGTGGTCTGAGCCGAATGAGAGATGCTGAGAGCCATTGTGAAAGGTGGATGTGCCTCGCCAGGTGAAGGTGAGTGTGAATGTGGAGGTGGCCGTGGACGTGCTAGAGTTGGAGGTATTCGCAAGGTAAGGAGGACATGAGCCTATGGAACGCATTATTCCGGAGGTGGACCCGAAGGTGAACGAGATCCAGATGTGGTGGCTTGGACCGAGGGAACTGCAGATTTGGAGGGAAAGGGGTGGGAGGTCGTCTGAGAGGTTGGTGTTGGTGGAGAGAAAGGGAGAGACAATGTCGTATTGACCGTGGACGTCGTGGGGAGTAGATTGTGTTGGTAGAAGGGTCACGTTAGAGTGGCTCACCGTCCTTACCTCGTCGTGAGAGGTGGCACCTACGTTTCCTGCTCCCGGTCTCTGCGAAGACGGGACAGAGCCAGTAGTGAAGGTCTTCACGGTGGCCTGATTTCTCCTCTTTGGGGGAGCGGAAACACTCGTACGAGCCTCATCATTCGCATCGTCCCGTGTCACCAACTTCCTCTTCGCCACCACCTTCCTCTGCCCCTTACCCTTCCCATTGCCTTCCGCCTCCTTCCTCTCCGCCTCCGCGTCCAAGGCCCTTTCATTCAGCTCCACATACCCCTTCAGTATCTCCCTCTTCAACCTCTCAATGCTCTCCGGAACCCTCAAGCCCCCTTCCTCTCCGAACGCAGCCAACAACTCCTTCTTCGCCGCTGCCTTCGTCTTCAACGCCTTCCTCCCATAATGCATCAACTGTGCACAATAGAATCCCTGAGACTTGTCCTTATGCGATGGTGGTTGGATTTTCGCGACTGTCCCTGAGCTGGACAGGATGGGACGGAGAGGCTCGGTGTAGGTTAGGAGAAAGTAGAGGTAGGAGGGGTCAGCGCGGGAGTAGCGCAATGTAGGGTCGGATGGGAGAGAGATGTAGAAGTCTTCGTCGGAGGGGCCGGAGCAGCTGAAGCCTTCTCTGGTTATTGGTGGGGCGTAGCGATGGTTGTATTGGGAGCCCATGTTGTGGTGGTTGTGGTTGAGAACAAAGACACTGGGGGAGCGCTGCCTTCGTCAGCAGCAACCTTGCTTGGAGGGGGGCGGGGCTTCTTCACATTTCGGCACTGCACACTCCTTATTACTATCCACACGTGTCATTTATTCTAGCAAATATCATAGATTTTCTCTTCTAGTTCAAGCAGCGTAGCAATCCGTACGAAGAAGAGGCCAGCAGCGAGCAATGCACAGCGAAGGAGACGACGACTGGGATCCGCGGCGACCAATACACGGGAAAAGGTGCACGGGCCATAGTCAACAACCTGCACCAAGCTATGTATAATAATGTGAACATGTGGACACGCCATGGATTAGGCATGACAAGGGTATGGTAACATGTACAGCACCAAACCTGCGAGTTCCTGCTAGGAACGACCGTTGCACCAAGGCGAAAGGAAAAGCCGTTCTAAATGACATCGAACCATGGAAAACCTGGTGACTCCAGCCACATCTCAAAGTCGAAACCATCGGCCGGCATCTAAACTAGGCGTGTGCTTTTGCCGGATAACGAATCGGTGTCCTTGCTGCTTTGTAGGCCTTGAGGGCATGACGGGCTTGAATTTTGACTGAACAACTCTTGACGACATCAGCGATGCCCGCGTTCGAGCCAGCGACACTGCAAGGAAGAATCAGCGTGAAGAAAAGGCGGCTCGCGACATACGACTCGAGTAGCCGGTCCGGACACGGAAATCTCCTCTAGTGAGTCTCTCGCACGGCCTCTTGAGATGAGTGTGCTGGTGCAATGGAAGGTGTAGATGAAGTGAGTAACGCAGTGACACCTTTCCACGACTGTTGTGTATGCATTCACATACCTGTTGAGCACAGGGCCAAATGATTTGCTGAATCAATGACCTCTGTCTTGTCAGGGAGTTTGACGAAGAGCTATTTCTGCAACCTAAACAAGCACTGATTTTGGGTGAAGATGCAGGGAAGAGGTGATGAACACGATTCATGATGGCGATTCTGGATGCGGAGATGCTGTAATACAGCGCTTGAGAGGAAGGACAGCAAATCTGAGAGCCCTTCGTGTTGTTTATCTTCACCAGGGTCATGTACTGTGCAGGGCTCGCGTGACACTATATCACTATATGATCTCAAAATAACTAGGATGACTAGAAGGAGAGGGATGGTACAGTGCTTACATGAGCAGCACGCCTACGAGTGCCATGTGCAGGCGGCACGAAACTTCACGGAGACACCACAAGAGGAAAGTAATCCAGCGGTGTCAAGGATGTCTTGGATCATTATGCGTGTTTTCTGGGGTTGACAGACAGATTTAAAACATCAAGCAAGAGCACCGGTAGGGAACGCTGGTAGGCGTTTCGATGAGAGCGTACAGCGTCCTCGGTACCAGTGAACGGTCCTCGAGCATGCCAGAGTGCAGGAAGGACGGCACACGCAAAACATAGTATGGGCTCAATTGCGGGGATCGTTCCGAAGGCCTCTGTGAGTACACAAGCTTGACACCAGCAGACGTTGGCAAATGCAGAACTGGACAACAGATGGAGAACCGAGGGAGAATCAGGACGACTCGGAGTGGCGCCAAAGTGGCACGCAGTGAGGATACGTAAGCTGTTTGTACTTGTTGAAACGGTTGCCCGACGTCATAATTACGGCGGTGCGAAGGACCTTGTAAGCAAGGTAATACACGATCGGAGACTCAGACAATGACAAGCGCTGGCGCCAGTTTCTTGGGTCCGACGCCACTGTGGCCATTGCCTGGTCGTGATCTCGATAATTGTGGTCTTTGCTGGTAATTATTTGGTGAACATCAGTGTTTGGCTCCGGAATAAGAAGAGGAGAGCACCATAGGCATATACTTCTCGTAGGAAAAAGAGAGATTACAAGCCACCCAACAAGTGAAGTAGAAGATCGTACCAACCGCGGACATACAGACCGACCTTGAACCGCCACCCTCGTGTTAGTATGATGGACAGTGGTAGAGCAATCGATTGGAGATGTAAATCCGAGTCCGAATTAGAGGGACATTCAGATGGCTTCGTCGGTTCTCGAAGGTGATATGATGAAGACGAAGGAGTGACGGTAGTCGGGCCACTGGTCTGACCGTCCAGGCGCGACGTTGAACTTTCGCATCAGCTATGAAAGTTTGACTGTTACAAAATCAATATCAATAGTGACTCCGTGAAATCGTCCGGGGACGGAGGAAGGGACTATGCTCGACGCGACCTACTTTCTTTCTCGGTTTTTTCACTCCTTATACTCTACCCATTTTCCTACTCTGTGATGTGAATGAAGGATGTAGGCAGTTATGTTTAAGGAATCTCTCAGGCTGTTGAATCCTGTTTGACCGTCACTGATGTTGAACGGGTATGGAAACGGAGGAACGTACCGGCCATGAGGGCAAGAAACAAGCAAGAAATCAATTTCGAGACGCGACGCGTCGCGCGTCAAAGTCACCTGATCATGTCACACACGTGTTCCTCTTTCCGGTCGAGACTAGAAAAATCGACAATTCTTTCTTCTCTTCAACTTTCACCACTACGGGGCATCTCAAGAGCATTTTGTAAAGTATCCGTCGTAAACATCACACCCACTCAACAGTGCCCGTAATGTATGCGGCTCCTAAGCATCTACTAAGTACTCTAGATTTATTCTGAAGACCCGGACGCACCCCATCATCATGTCTCTCGAAGCTGCGATACTGCCTCACCTTCTTCTCCACGAAAACCCACCATACCCGGAACGGGCGCCTCACAGAGCCTGGACTCTTGAAAATGAATTCATCGATGGTTCAGTGTTTGTAGAGCGGCCTCCATGCTCCTACATACGCATACACTACAGATGAACCTCTTTTCATCCGCCCCTGTACATCCGGCGTAAGTGGGCGAATTTCGCCGAGTCCTGACCGTCGTTCACACCGAGGTCATCTACCCAAAGTCCGTCTTCTGCCCTACGCAAGCTCGTCACCATTGAGCGCTCGTTTCCCTGCATACATAAACTCGTCTTCTGCCTGGTTCTCTTGGAGTGCGGCGTTTTTTCTTCTCCTCATCTACTCAGTATCTGAATCTTAGCCCCAGCGAGCTCGTTTCAGAATGCACATGCTTTCTAAGGCATCTACCATCCTCGGGGCTACTCTCTTGGCTGCCAGTCTCGCTCTCGCGTCGCCGACCACTGCATCGTCTCCTACACCTGTATACCCTGTGCTTGCTGATGTCGAGAGTGCGAAGTACACTTACAACATCAACACGACGCTTCCCAGTCTCGAACTCCGTTTAAGACAACGTACTTGTTCGGGGTATGACATAGCAGCTTTTAGAACGGCTCAGGCTATGCAGGGTTTCTATTACAATGCGACTGGGCATTATGATGGAGGGGAGGCGTGGACTGATGTCGTATGTCTTCTTTAGTTTTGTTCTGTCACCTTGCCTTTAGGATGGATGCTGATAGTGGAATGTGTAATAGAACGCGGTGGAGGATCTGTTGAATCTCATGCTCTACGATGATAGTACCGAGTTTGACGGCATACCAGAGGCGATCTTCACATACTGGGACTCGTATTTTAGGAGTGCTGGGGAGTACGAGGATGTCCAGGTTCGTGGATCATGATTCGTTTCAGGAGGCTCATATCCAACTGACACTGAATAACTTGATCGTCGCAGTGGGCTACACTCGCATCGTTCAAGCAGTGCGACTACTTGGCAGCTAACGGTCGCGATACCTCAGAATGCTTGGTACGCTTCTCAGACTTTTTCGGGGTGCTGTTTGGATTCTTCATTGATTTTAGTCGTCCGATCTAGACCCGGGCCTTGACATACTACAACTTCGCGGTTTATAACTCCGCGTGGGACGCTGTATGTGGTGGAGGTGGTGAGCATCCTTTCGTTCCAATGTTTTCTACCTTTCTTTTCTCACTTAAGGGCGTAGTGTGGTCCTCCAGTGAAAAGACCTACAAAAATAGTAAGGATTTGCCGTATCTGAACAACGTTCAGACTTACGGTGACGTGAACCAATAGCGATCACGACCGAACTGTTCCTCTATACGAGTGCGAGCGGGTATGCGCGTACGGGTCAACCTGGTCTGCTCAGTAATGCGAAGTTGGTGAGTTTTCTTGTACATCCACTGTTAAGAAGCAGAGTCTAGCTTCTTATCTTGCTCTATAGGCTTGGAGCTGGTGTATGTTGCTCGCAATGTTCTTACTGGGTGTTCCTCTGACGAATTGAGATTCCAGTGAACTCAACTGATCTGAGAAACCCTCAAGGCTTGTACGTTGTCTCCGTCCAATCAGCTACAATCACTATCAATCACTCGTTACTTCAGGTACAACGACGGGCTCGATACTTCTACGTGCACCAACAACGGCGAAGTCAGCCTTTTCCTTCCAAAGCTCACTATCCCTCACTGAATCCCCGATCTTCGCATTTGCAGACTGTATGGACTTACAATCAGGTCAGATACACTCCTGTTCGACGCTTGACGACAACCCAGCTCAAACATTGCACTCCCTTGCAGATGGTCATTGCTGCAGGCCTCGCTTCGCTCTATGATGCCACAGGTGACGAGAGTTACTTGACCGTAGCCCAAGTGTCTATCGATGCAGCTATCCGCAGCTTGGAGAATCATGGTATTCTCAAAGAGTCATGCGATTCTACGAGGGGAGATACGACGTGTACCAGTGACGAGGTTAGCTCTCGGATTCCGCCCTGATCTCTGGGATTCGCACACGGGTGAGGGAGTATTGATCTAGATATGCATGGTCCGGCACATTGCAGCAAATGTTCAAGGTACTCAAGATTTCATCCACGAACAGACATGTAGACTGTGTTTGATTGAATCTCTCGCATCACCCCATACCTGTTTATTAGGGCATCTTCATGAAACACCTCCAGTACTTCCTAGACATGGTCAACGACCCCACCATCACAGAGAAATATGTCCCATTCATCCAATCCCAAGGTTCCGCCGTCGTGCGCTACGCAACTGGTTCGTATTTCTCTAAAACTTATATTGTGGCGAGTGTGCCATGTACACGAACACTGCGTGGGCTCACCTTCAATTGTTCTGCACGCAGGGCCTGGGTATAGAGTCGGGTCGGTCTGGTATGGTCTTGAAGTGAACGTTTGGGGGTCGCGGTTCACGCCACAAGCTCAGACGAGTGGGCTTGCGGCTCTGAATGCTGCTGCTAAGGCGGGTCTTTTTTTGTGTCGTTTCTATCCACTCAGGGTATAAGAACTAACTTTGACTTCGCGCAGTTTGCTGGCGGCGCATGCTGAATGGTCTTCGTCCAAGGCGTCAAAGCGGCTCTCAAACCGACAGACAAACGACAGACGGCCCTCTTCTTTTCTTGCGAGGGGTCCAAATATTAGATCCAAAGTATTTTAGGGGGATATTTCCCTTATCTATCGGTTGAATTATAATGGTAAGTTCGGTATGCGCAGGATGTTGGGCCAGGGACTGTCTAGGATGGAAAAAGCCACTGCAGTCGTCAGAGCTACGTATTCGTCCACCGAATTTGCCCCGGCCGACACCGTCGGCCGAACAGTCGTCCATCTCTTTCCTTTTCTTCTGCATCTTTTTCCTCTTCTCTCGCACCGCGTTTCCTGCCCGTCTGTTGTTACGCCTCTCGCGGGTTGTTGTTGTCCTTGCTGTTCATTGTAAGCCCGGCCGCCTACACTTCTGGCTAGTCTCCGACACGCGTAAACTGCGATGAGTTGATGAGGCTGGACTGTTTGAAACCCCACGATCCCATCAATTAGAGCTGTGCGGTCTTTTACTTATCGGACGAAATGACAACCTTACAACAATTCAGCTTATGTTATAGCTCTCACTGATGACCGGTTCACCCGCCGCACTTATTTACGGTTGCGAACTGTATACTGTGTAGACGACTTGCTCCATACGAGGACTACCTTTCCTCCAACGGATCTCTCATACTTGTGGGCTCTTCTCTTGCAGCTTGTGCTTCTCAGGCCCCGTCCCAAAGTTAGAGTCGTCTGGCCCAAGGTTTGTTCATATATCATTACGGATCTGATCAGGACCCATGGAGACGAAGATCAGTTGACCGACCTCCATAGCTCTTTTGAGTGTATTTTCAGGTATATTCATGCTTCGAGGTACGCTCAGGTCACCTAACAAAGTAAATTCCGTGCGCCCAACGGGCAAACTATCCGTCGATCCACGCGATGCTGTTCACCTGCCCTTGAAACGTTCCTGTAGTCACCTTAGCGGCACGAGCGCCTCTGATGTGAAGCCTCATGTACGATGCTTCGTATGCTATTCTCGATCTCAGTGACAGTTCCGTCATTCACTATAAAAATCGGCGCGTACCGGAATCGCACTTGCTCCAGCCTTCTTTGCTCTTTCGTTCCCCCGTCTCTCTGCCATCTACTTCACTATGCTGTCTGTCGCTTCTCTTGGTGCTCTCATCGCTTTGGTCTCCCCTGCTGTCGCACTTGCGGCACCGAGGGACACCGCACTCGCGTACCCAACTCCGGCGACCATTGAAGGTGCCAAGTATATCCTGGACATCAATTCGACGTTGACCCACAAGCGTGGATTGGAACAACGGGCGTGTGCGGACTATGATACCGCGGCTGTAGGGACCGGGAACGCGCTGCAGAGCTTGTACTACAACTCGGGAGGTGTGTGTCCTGTGTCGTGGTCTTGATGGTTGATGCCCAATGCTCAACGGGAGTTTGGGTTTGATATGAAGGTTACTATAACGGAGGCTCTGCATGGACCGACGTCGTGAGTTTTCGATATATTACTTGCCCAATTCGAACTAAGGTTAACATTGTTTTGGGCGTTGGTGATAGAATGGTGTCGAGGATCTGATGAACCAAATGTTGTACGATCGTAGCACAACCTGGGATGCGGTTCCCGAGGCTGTCATCACTCACTACGATGCGATGTTCACTGATAGCCCGAGTTACGACGACCTGGGAGTTAGTCCTCTCCTTCAATTCGTTCTAAAGACGAGACTGATCATGACATCATGACTTACATAGTGGGCAACACTCGCGTCCTGGAAGCAATGCGATTATGTGAGCGCTCATGGCGGTGACACCTCGGAGTGCACGGTACGTTCTCTACTGGCTTTGGCACTTCCGTTCGGACGTTGTGGGCTAATGAAGAGGTCGTGTAGAATCGCGCATTGAAGTACTACAACCTTGTAGTTGGGGCTTGGGATTCGACTTGTGGCGGTGGAGGTACGCGATTCCCCTCAAGCTTAGAAACGGTCCGAGCTGAAAGTCGTGATTAGTGTGGTGGAACGGCAACAAGGACTATAAGAACGGTGTGTCTTCATAGTCAATTAGTAGTTAAAGAACGATTGCTTACAGCTATTCCACGGTAGCCATTACGAACGAACTCTTCTTGTACACTAGTGCAATCGGTTACATCAGGACTGGGCAGTCGGCTTTGTTGAGTAACGCACAACTCGTACGTCACCTGCGCTCTGCTTGTTCCCATTTCCTCCTACATTTCAAACTAATATTCTGCTCCTTCTCAGACTTGGTCGTGGTGTTAGTTCATTCATCTATGCAACTTTTCTCGAACAGTGCTCACATACGCCTTGCACGTTTCATAGTGAACTCAACGAACATGCGTAACTCGGAGGGCTTGTAAGTTTATACTCATCATTCTTTCGATTAGAGGCTGATGTAGTTACTCCCATCAGGTACAACGACGGCCTCACTACTTCCACCTGCTCCAACAACGGCCAGACCACATGGACGTACAACCAGGTCAGTCCTTACACGCTTACACGCAATGCAGGAGAGCTTGTACTGATTAATCCATGCATGACTCCTACAGATCGTTGTCGCGTCTGGCCTTTCTGCTCTCTACGCAGCCACCGGCGACAGCAGCCTGCTTGATGTTGCCCAGGTCTCCATCGACGCCACCATTGCCCACATGGAGAGCAACAACATCCTCAAGGAATCGTGCGATGATGCCTCAGGTGCCACCGAGTGCGATGCTGACCAGGTTGGAAACACAGTCTCCTTCCCCGTGCCTTCATATCAATACTCAAGCCCTTTGTGTAGCAAATCTTCAAGGGCATTTTCATGAAGCACCTCCAATACTTCCTCGACACTGCTAACAACGCGGCCATCACGAGCAAGTATGCCGGTTTCATCAACGCACAAGCTTCTGGTATCGTGCACTACGCCACTGGTGCCGGCTACACGGTAAGTCTTGCTAGGGATCACAAGTTTTCCTCATTAATGACTCCATTTGCTTTTTCAGGTCGGCAGTGTGTGGTACGCCTCCAACGCTGGTGAGAGAACTACTTATTACATCCGGTAATTATTTCCTATCATAAAATTAACACTTTCCGGGTGTACAGGTGGCTCTGAGTTCACTCCCAAATCTCAGTCGAGTGGAATGGCTGGGCTTGTTTCTGCCGCGAAGGTGAGTGTCCCTCAGGCTTTGCTGCATACATGCGCGCTGACACTTCTTCCCCAATTTAGTACGCTAACTGCTAATTAACGAACAAACACATTCTTTTCGTCTACATTCATTGGACATATGCTTGGGGTTCTGACCTTTATGTCAATCAAACCATACTCCACTCATTGTCATAGTCAATTATTATATTTATTGGACCATCGTACATCTCACCCAACAGACGAACGATTCCCAGACGCCCGAAACCCCTACAGAGATCTCTGTGGGAATCGTGATGATAGCTGCACAACGTAAGTATGGGTCGAGGAGGCCTACATTATGAATGCGACATCGTCAGATTCTCTTCATCGGGCAGCGGAGACCGTAACCCAGCGAACGAATCCTTGACGGATCTTCCGTCGTCCTGATAGATGCGGCTGCAGATGCAGTCATGAACTAGGTTCAATCAATGCATCCATGCGTTACACAGGGCGTGGGGTCTATTGAATGTTTCGGGAGGAAGGCACACACGTACCACTGGCAGTCGACTTCCCACTGCGACTTCAGCGTTATGTAGAGTTGGGGGTAGGATTCAGAGCCACGCATAAGCAGAAAGCATCAAGCAATGCGTCAACCAGATACTTGTTTTTCTTATATACGGTGGAATTCCATGACACGACCCTGTTTCAACACCTGAAGAGAGCAACTGACGCTCAGTGGAACATTCGATGACGGAAAGAGTGGATGCACGACGGGTCTGTTGAGTACATTGGAATCAGGCTATGTTTGTGTATGGCTACAGAAAAGGGTGGAAGGGAATGACAGGAAGAAAGGTCGGAAGGAAAGAAAGTACCAGAGACGTGATACACGATGCTACGAGAAAGCGAAAATGATGACTTTATACATGCGATGAATGCAGCGCTACACGAGGTGGGTAAAAACACAGAAAAACAGCAACGGCAACATAGGAAATGAATTGCAAGGTCAGACCTCCTGCGAACCATCGTCCTCCTCACTATCGCCCTGCGAGTACCTTTCTTCTCCATCATCTTCATCGTTCTCTTCATCGCCTTCCAACTCGCCTTCCTCTTGCTCTTCAAGTTCGACCTCCGCCACACAACCAATTAAGTCCCTCACCCTCAGATCTGCCTCCCTCAACTCCAGGAATTTGTCCAGTTTCCGTCTCAGCTCTGCCTTGGTTCCCTTCACTAAGTATTCGACATCGTGGAGCATTAGTCCAATGTGTTCGAAAGCATCTCCGCGGTCATCACTGGAGGTCAAGTTCGATGCACGGATGACGGCGGTGTGTTGGATGAGGTTACGTTTCAGAGCTGCGACAGAAATGTCTGAGCAGGCGGTAGGAGAGCTGATGAGGGGTGACGGCGGGTCAATGAGATACATATTCGGAAGGTCTGTAGATGTGAAACCCGACGATCGGTAAGCAGACCGCGACCGTCAATGCACACGCCTTAGACTTACCGTCCAGATACGCTCTACAGCTTTCAGGTACGCTTAAGCTGAAGTCGATCGCAACTTCGCTGGTCACGTCGAATCGATCGGAAATAAAGGCAGCGAGCCTGCGCAAACCGACCATCGTTACTCCAGTGTCCTCAAGACAAAGGACCCGTAGCTTATCCATGAGCGTTAAAGCCGGGATCGAATCGTTAGTTATCTTTGGGTTGCCGATGATAACGAGGGTAGTGAGAGTTTGGCGAAGGGCCACAAGGTGAAAGATGCTGTGGCACATACTGAGTTAGTTATATGACAGAAGAGGGACGGAGAGTGAAGATGACGTACGCCTCGTCACTGATCCCAGTAAATGACAAGAAAAGCCTCGAAAGAGCAGGCAGACTGTGAACACAGACTAGATCGTAGTCGTCCAGAGGTGCGTTGTCAAGATACAGCTCGTGTAGTGATGCAAATCCGGCAGGAACGCGGAGAACTATATATATAACGCTGTAAGACCGGTCGTCGAGATGACGCTAAGAATATAAGTACGTTGCAGGAGATCACGTCGACCGATGTTCAATCCATTTTCATCGGCGAGCGACTGGCTCAGATCGAGTTTCTGGACGTCCAAGTCGGAAAAAAGAGACAAGGTTTGCTTGTCGAAGTGACCTGGATAGAAATGATCAGTAGACGATCTAAGTCGGGGGCGATTGAAGCAGGAGTGATATACCATCTATTCCGAGGGCATCAGCCACAGTTTGGACGGTCTGATTTCCGAGTCGATCCATTTTCGCATTCAGCGTGTAGCCCGGAATCAAAGCCTCAATCTGCGAAACAAGCTGCCCAGGAAGCTCTTCGTACGTCTGATGGTGGGACCGAGATCCAGCGTCGCGGACGCCTGCCAGGTCGTCAGCGAGGACCAAGAAGTGGAAAACCAGAAGCAGAGCACTAGCGAGAGAGCAGGAGAGTATATGGTACGCATATATGCACCTTTTGGAAGCATTTCCCGTGTTTCGTCGTCGTCCTCATGATTTCCCATAGTTACATCAGCTTCCAGATCGGGGGTGTCCTCTTCATCCTCGGGCCAAAGGTTCAAAACAGACGAGGAGCCGTCGTGCCCCATCTGCCCTAGATGGTGGACTGTGAACTTATCCGCCTTGGTGACCTCAAACGAGCTTTGGTTGACGCTCAAGTTGGAGGACCGTGCGCATCTGGAGGAGGCTCGAAGGTCGCTAAAAACGGCGGAGGAGTCTACGTGGTCGAAGGAATCGGAAAGTCTACGTCTCTTGATGCTCTGGAGCTCCGAATCGTCGAGAAAGTCCGAAAAACCGTGCAGAAGAGCAGCATTACGCTTCACAGGAACAGCTGCCGCCGGGGATGCTTCCGTCGAGTATATGCGTTTGTTTCCGGCCTTGTCGCTGTGAAAGGTGAGGTGCTGACGGTGGGGATGGCTGGAAGAAGAGTCCTGAGATTCCTGAGACGATAGGAGTTCTTCGCAAAAGGTCGACCGAGGGTGTTTAGAAGGCCAGCCAACGAATGTAGTACTACCTTTTTGTGCCGGGTAGATCAACCTGGCAAGAAAAGACAGGAGATACTGATCTCGAGAACGAGGAGGATCCGAGAGTACTGAGGCAACATGTGTTAGGTACGCATCGCCGTCGAGAGTCGGAGAGTAGCACGGATTATTCAGATCGAGCACAGGATAGTCGTACTTCATGGCAGCAGACGAAAAGAATGGACAGCTTGAGAATGAGCGGATTGCAGGCCTTTTAGATGACAGCTTTGAAGGAGGAGCTCAAGGGAGCATCAGGGTACGATGAATCGTGGGCAGTGCAAAGTTATTTGAGCTTGCGGCAATTCCCGAAACGCCGCCCTGACGAGAACCGGCGATCGGCGCTCACGCGCACGAGTCGACTTCCCAACGACTTCGTCTTCGTCGTCAAACGTAGGCAAAAATTTACATATGATTCTATAGTTGCTGTTGAAAGACTCATACTTGTCCGTCATTCTTGATAGCTTGACTGCGATCTGACGGCCCCAGTCTGTCGTGAAGATGGAAAATATCGATAAATTTCCAGAGTAAGAAATTGCAACCTCATCCGGAGCTCAAGAGCCATTACTTACTGACTGGGATAAAAAAGGGTCAAACTCTATTGGGATGCAGCAGCGCGATCAAGACTCGACGCCTACGATTGTACGACTCTGGAACAACATCCAGACCTTCTGAGGACTTCTCGCCACAAGATGCGCGCTGAGATCGCCTCCCTTCGCGGCCTCGCAGCGTCATTCGAGTCTCGCTTGAATGACCTTTCGCCCATCCATATGATAGAGTAGCATGGCCTAGGGCCACATTCCTCCAGCGGCGGCACACGTACGTTGCGTTGATCCAGCGAAGACGCTTCCCAAGGCCTTTTCTATTCTCAAATAGCTATGTACAGACCTGGCGGCTGCGTCGCAGCGAAGCGGGCAGCCGCAGCGGTGTGACGCCGTGGGAACTTAAGTAAGCGTCGCGCGCTTGTCACGTTCGGTGAACGCGCGTCGCGCTCTTGCTCTTGTTCTTGTTGAGACGCGTCCGCATCGTCCACGATGAGTCCCCCAACAACCCGCGAAGAGCTCCTTGAGGCTTATATGGCCTTTATGGCTGTTCAGCTTACTTTATTACCTCCTAAATCCTCCCAAGAGCTACTCCAACAACTTCAGAGAGACTGTGCTGCCATCCACACTATCATGACCACTCGCTATCTTAATCCTCGTATTCCCGTTCCCAAAGCTGGTCAGCTTCACCTTGCATGGGAATATGCCAAGGATCCAGCCCATCATCACCGCTTTGTCAACATGCTGCGTGTCTCCCCACGCGTTTTTGATACAATCCTTGACCTCATCGAAGGCCATGCCGCATTCCAAAATAACTCGAACTGTCCTCAAGCACCAGTACGTGATCAACTCGCTATCACCTTCTATCGGATGGGGCGGTATGGGAATGGTTCATCAATTACCGATGTGGCGCGGATGTCCGGGTATTCAGAGGGAGCTGTTGAGCTGTTCACGGATAGGTGTCTCGATGCGCTCATGTCTCTGCATGACATATTGTACGGCCTCTGACGGATGATGAGAAGGAGGTGGAGAAGAGATACATTGAGGAGAAGTTAGGTTTTGAGGGTTCAAGTTGGAGAGAGGGCTGGATCATGTACGATGGGACAATCATTGTGCTGTACGCTCGGCCAGGGCTCGACGGGGCATCATATTATACACGAAAGTGTAATTATGGCCTGAACTGCCAGGTTTTTCTCTTCTCAGTTTTGATTCACCTTCTATGACAATGCTAATAGTTTTGTATCACAGATCGGGAATTGCCCATCCAATTTACGGATTGGCGATTATTCCTGTGGCAACACTGGTGCCACTCACGACTCCACTGCCTTCGATGAGACTTGTGCAGGTGCAGACCCTGACTGGTTATTCAGTGGACGGGAATTCGCTTGGGGCGACTCAGCATACACCGTCAATGCACGCACCATCCCTGTTCACAAACGCCCTGCCGCCTTTGACCCATCCAATGCCCTTTTCGACAAGTTTGTCTCTCGTCTCTGTGTTCGTTCAGAGCACTGCATGGGTGCACTCAAAGGTCGATGGCAATCTCTCCGTGGTCTTCGTATTCCAATCAGAACGAAGGCAGACCACCTCCGTGCATGCAACTGGGTCTCCTGCTGCATTCTCATGCACAATGCTGTCCTGGATATTGATGGATGGGTCGCAGGTGTGGAGTTCTTGCCAGCACATGGTCGTGCTCAGGAGGCGGAGGACCGGGGAGAGAGAGATGATCCATTGGATGTAGATCTTGGCGATGACAGCGAGGCTAGGCGTCGGGAGCTTGTAGCTGAGATAGTAGCGGCTCGTGAGATGGGTTTAGTGTAGAAATAGATCTTCTCATACTTTCATTCATGCAAAGATGTTTCCAACAAGATTTGTCAATATGACGGGTATACAAAACAAATGGTACGGTACTACATTCCTTCAGCCGGTAGTGCAGGTGAAGTAGCACGAGCAAGATCACGATCCATCTCTCCTTCATCCCAATCTGGAGAGACCGCCCTCTGAGTACGAGCAGGGGTATGTGCAGCTGAGGAACGGGATGTGGACGTAGCACGCTCGGGATGAAGAAGAGACATCACCTCATCCTCCAGAATTGCAATCTGCGAGTCAATCTCCCGATTGATTCCCTTCTTCTCCTCCCGAAACTCTGCCATCTCCAAAAGACCTGAATCGAACTCACGAATTGCACGGTCAAGGCGTGCATTTCTGTCTGCCCGTAAACTCTGGATATGGTCGCGGAGATCCTTGATGGAACCTCGGCGAGCATCAGCCTGAAAGTTCACAAGGCTGCGACTAAGCGAGAAGAGTCACATAAAATCAGTACAGAAGACCGGTGAGAGTATAGAGGAAAAAATAGAAAGAGAGGGGAAGAAAGAAACTGACTCAAGGGTCTCCTTTAGGACGTCGGCAATCCCGTTGGACCGAGGTATTGTCTTGAAGTTGGCCTTGACAGCATCAATCCTCTCTCGGGTGAGATGAGCAGGTGTGGCAGGAGGTGGAATATTCTCAGGAGTTACCGGAGCACCTGTGTGAGGTGGTGCAAGTTGTTGAGCGGGTACGTTGGTGATGTCGGCCATCTGTACATCAGCAGCAGGTTGAGCTAAGCGAAGAGCGGGGTCGATGAGATGGTCAGGGACAGGGTGAGGGAGGGGAGGAGCAGCAGCAGGTTGATGTCCATCGGGAGCTTGGTAAAATGTTGTTTGACGTCCGTTCCGGCCAACACCACGAGTGACAGCGGGGGGTGTTCCCGTTGCGTTCGTGAACAGGAGCCTATGCATGTCAGGGAAGAATGCACACTCCTTGGTTAATTTAGCTGTTAAGTGTGCAATCAGAAGTGATATATGCATAGAATAAGCAGGTAAACATACTCCACAGGTCTGTGTACTTCTCCGGGGTGTCATGATCAGGGCCATGAGCAGGGACATAGAACTCCATCAAGACCTCTGTGCCCTGCTCATGACCTTCTAGTCCTCCACCAGTTTCCTTAATACCCTTCGACTTCTCTCTATAAACCTTTGCCAAGCTTCACACAACAAAATGAGGGAGAGAGGATAGCGCAAGGTGAGCATGGCGTACCTCTCGCACTTCGTCTTGACCTGCTGTCCAGCTCGGACAAGATCGGTACAGTTGGGCCACAAAGCTTTAGCCATACGTTGACAGACAGTGATTTTAGTCTCTCCAGATGATTTCTGGAGGAACAATCATGTAAGATAGAGTACAAAATGCTAGGACCGAACAGTACACACCTCACCCGGTCGGAGACCATAGATGACCTTTGCATTCTCTCGCTTCTCCAGTTCCCGAATAAGCCGCCAACAGTGATCATTCGGCTTCTTGGCTGTACCCCAGTCCGCGTTCGACATGGGAAGAAGAAGAAGAGAAAGATGTGCAACAACACCAGGAATAGCGTAGAGGATCTCGTCGTTTGGCTCGCAGGACACGACGCGACACACGGCGGGGGAACCACTATTTAGAGCACGCTAAAGGCATTTCTATTGCGAAATCTATATTTTATACATAGAGGGAAAAATGCAGTCATCTAAATACCATATTTAGCGTAGTTTGATGTGTAATCTATAGTTTTGCTTTGGATTTTGCTTCAGAGCTTCCCATGTCGGAGGCTGATGAAGGAATATCATCAGCAAGACTGCATTTGCCTAAATCTAACTTTTCGGTCTATTCCGATCTAATCAGTCTTTTCGCTCTATGCCCGTGGGCGCTTGTAGAGCTTGGTAGACATTTCGGGCTTCGGTAGCTGCGGGAGCTTCAATAGAGTGCTACAACCCCGCAAATTCCCCGGTTCGAGGAGCTTCAGCGTGCAGACCACTGCCGGCACTGTTAAATATGCTTGTATATCTACAGTATGGCTACATAAAATATACTAGGTACATAATTAGACACTCGAGCAACCTGCAACATTTGAATACATGAAAGCCAGCGAGTAGTTTACGGGGAGACATCCGTGAGCTCATCTCCTGCGATTGCCCTCTTGTCTGACAACCCACGATGGATGCTTTACGATACCGACCGGAATACGGCCATAGGCGACACAGCAGTGTCCAAAGCCGAAGCAGCCGCGATCGGGGAAAACGAACGGCAGGGTAGAAAAGGGTGTACGCACCTACGAGTAGAAAGCACTCACATGTCCGGGCTCACATCTTCCATTCCCTGCTCGTGTTTTGACGGCTCTCCAGCCTATGCATATACGGAGTATTGTATGAGTGTGCCGAGGCGGACAAATGAATCGACAAGGTAGTGAGCACATGTGAGTCGTGGAAGAGAGAGCGTAAGAGAAACCAAAATGTTGTGGCGAGCAAGGAACGCGGTAGGGATGCAAGGCCTGCCCTAAATTACCACGTGAGCTCGTTGAGCGTTGATCGCTCTCGTCGCGGCTCCTTGGCGTTCCACGGCCGCTCGCCTTGTCTTCCTTATCCTCTTCTACCGTTCACCTCGCTTTCCTCCCTGTTCCCTTTATACTGCTTAACCCTTCTTCATCTCCTCCATTTCTCGTACAGACATTGGTTTTGTATCAACAAGAGCCAATGCTTAGGTTCAAAAACACGCGGCCTCCGCGAAGATGACCCAATTCGTGAATCGCAGGAAAAATGAAAGTTCTTTTAGGTCCGTCTTCAAAATCTCACCTGCATGACCACTCACGCTTCCGAGTATTTACATTTCAACTGATACGACCTCTTGTATGACGTCCGTTTAGCTCTATATTGTCCTCAACCCGCCTGGCAACATTAACACACTTTGTCGGCCTTCGAGATAGCGGTACGAAAGGATGTTCGTGCGATGCGCGTGAGTAACCCCCGCTGCCTCAATTAATTTAACTCATATTGACCCGCCTGGATGATGTTCGTGTAAGTATACGAGTCCTGACCGAGGGGCAGGGCATCCGTCTATTCGCTAGGCAGCTTGACGGGCTCGTGGCACCATGGTACGTCGTCGGTGAGCCCCGTTCTTTACCTTGAATCAATTTATCTCTTTCGTGTGTATCTTTGCCTCTTCTCGGACGGTCATCGTCACTGTTGGCGGTGATCGTAGCGGCTCACTTTGGCCTCGGTCTTTTTTTTTTGTGCTTTTCGTTCTTCGCTTCTTCTGGCGCCTGCCATGGGTGTAAGACGGACGCACACTAATTTCGTCTCTTTTGCCTTTAGCATTCCTCTCGCTTGTGCGTTGTCCATCGGCTCCGGGCTCGGTGATGTATCCTGCATAGGTGACGCTGCTATTTCTATTTGATTGGTGCAGTGCTCAGCTTTGTACATCGACAGTTCGGTACGCCTCCCCCTTCTCTCTTCTCTTCGTTTCCACCTCGACCGTTTTATCCGCTCTGTGTACTTCTTCACCCATTACATGCATGTATGACTACAACTCCCGAGCTTCGACCCCTTCGACACGGGAAACTGTCAAGATCCAGGGCAATTCATGGGGAGGAGACTGATGTATGTGGAGCCAAGTGTGCATTGGAGGACTGAGGGTTCCGTGTGGAATAGGTCTTGCACGTCCTCAGGTCTGTAGCTGCCTGGTAGGAGTCGGGATTCCGTTGGCTTAACGATACTGTATCATGTTTCTTTGTGATGTGCTAGTCTCGTCTCATGTATGTACATAGCTTGTTCTATATCAGCAATATATAGCTTTTACCAGCAAAACTGGTCAATAAGTTTGAAGGATATTGTGCTCTATCTGGTGCTCTACAAGAAAAATGAAGTGATCTATTGTGCTCTATCATGCTCTATCTCGTGCCTCCCAGAAGGCAGGTCTAAAAAGAATAGACGAGAATAGATACTGTCAAACGATCTATTTGTGTCTACCGGTAGACCGAGTAGACCGAAATAGTTAGGTTTAGCCAAATGCGGTCTTGCTGATGATGGACCCGAACGAATAATGATATTTGGACTAGACTTTACAGCCCTCCAAAGGAAGAGCTATATATTTTATTTTGATCACAATATTGCGGCAGTGAATGCCAGCCTTTGGAGTGCTCGATTTGGTGCACCAAAGATAAACAATCGAGCTCCATATCGAGCTCAATTGTTTATCTCTGGCGCACCAAGTTGAGCACTCCAAAGGCTGGCTTTCACCGCCGCAATATTGTCATCAAAGTAAAATATATAGATCTTCCTTTGGAGGACTGTAAAGTCTAGTCCAAGTATTATCATTCGTTCGGGTCCATATTCTTTCATCAGCCTCCGACATGGGAAGCTCTGAAGCAAAATCCAAAGCAAAACTATAGATTACACATCAAACTACGCTAAATATGGTATTTAGATGACTGCATTTTTCCCTCTATGTATAAAATATAGATTTCGCAATAGAAATGCCTTTAGCGTGCTCTAAATAGTGGTTCCCCCGCCGTGACAAGAGCACGACGCGCGTCGCCTTCGCGCTCAGTCACGCTTAGTCATATGTGACGAACGCCACCTCCGCTGTGGCTGCACGCTTCGCTGCGACGCAGCCGCCAGGTCTGTACATAGCTAATATCAGTCCCATCTGGCGGTCCATGTAGTCGCGGAAGCGATCGAGAGGGTCCAGTTTGGTTAATATGTCAAAGCAATGTGCTAGCACGTCGTTGGGAAGGGCGTAAGCCAGCCCTCCACCTCGGACTGCAGTGGTTCACGACGATGATTCAACGGGCAAGACATTCGCCACTCCACATCCATGACCTCAGCGATTCGTACTCCACCGCTACACAAGGTCCAGACGCTTTTCACGATATCATCACAAATACTGTCCGCCAGCAGATCTCGCGCATACAGGAACTCGGTTTGGTAACATATATACCTCCACCCGAATCGGACCAGACTCCTTTCTTACTCTCGCTTACTACTGCGGCACCGATGCTCAAGTCGCTCAAGATACAAACACAGTATCAGCTCGGTAGGGACACCATCGATCTTCCTTCCGACTTCCTTGGTGGCCATTTCCCCCTCCTTCAAAGGATCGACCTCACTCTACTAGCAACCAACTCGTGGACCATGTTATCATCGGGAAGCCTGGTCTACATGCATATCAACCTCTGTATCCCCCATTCATCTTATGATCCACTTCTGGACATGCTTGCGGCCAATCCTGGACTACAAGACGTCAGTCTCTGCAATTGTCTACCGGCTCATTCCGTACCATACCGTGGTCGAAAAGCCGTCGAACTCCCCAGCCTTAAGGTCCTCTGCTTAAAAGGCTGGGACTCCACCTGCGCGAATATTCTACAGGCTCTCCGAATGCCTGCCAAGGCTGACTTGATTCTAAACGAAATTGAATCCTCACGGGACCATTTCAGATCTCTTTTCGCAGAGTTCGAAGCTCACTTCGCTCGAGGGTCTACTGAAGATTTTCGTCACCTTCACACCACATGTTCCAGCTCGAGGTTCGAGGTTCACTTGACGACACATCTCAACACGAAAGGGGTGTCTAGCTTTGATCCATCGCGATATTCTTTTACCTTCTCTACGGCATTCATCCCGGACGTCACGGGCACTGCAGTCATCTGCCGTGCTTTCGACAAGCTCCCCGTTGCCAACATCGAGACGCTCTCCCTGCGAAATGCCGCGATCCGCCCGCTGTGGGTTGACGGTCTCGCTCGCCTGCAGCGCATCAAGTCCATCACTATTGAGGACGAGCTGCGTAATAGTCAGCCTTCTGAATCTATACTGTTCGAGAGCGGACAGCACGGGCTCGTTCACTACTTTCCCGAGTTGAAGGAACTTAAGATTGTGAAGACCAACCTTTGCGATCGGTACCCTTACCCGGATGGGAAATGTAGCCAGGCCGCACTGCTATCGCTTCTGATTCGCCGTTCCGAGCTCCAGCCTGCCGCCAGTCAACTCGAGCGCCTTCATATTCTTGACTGCACAGTCTCGTTCGATAATATTTGGAGACTTGAGGCTGTCGTACCGATTGTTGAAGCGAATGGCGGACGCAAAGGGGAGTATTCCGACGGGAAGGCGAACAAGAAGGGCAAACGGACCTGATTATGTATTTACATTGTGGGTGAGTGTATCCAATCGTTTGCTGGTTACATTTCATTCAACTCGTACTCAGACCCTTTGCCGTAGAATGTTGCATAGATTCAACTTGCACAGACATACATCTTTGGTAACAAACAAGACATCCATGTGTGGCGTAGGTTATCAGACTCTTTGTACATAAACACCAAAATGTTCAAAGGCTTCGCGCGCGAGGGCGATCTGCTTTTGTTGTTTGTTGTTTGATTCACGAGACCCTCAAACGTACGCCTTGTTCAGCTACTCTCCATTGACTCACGTCGGTTATCTCATCATCCGCGATCCAATAATGCCTGAGCTCTGAAATCATGGCCTCGACTATCTTCAAGTTCCGCCTGCCCAGTTCCTCATCCTCCACGACTACATGTACAGGATGCAATTTCTCACCGTAGTGGACACAGCAGAGCCGCGCCTTGCCAGCAATTTTCTGGAACCTAAGACGCTCGAGTTTGATACTGTGGATCTGTGCGAGCGCTGCCCGGGTCACAACCGTGACTCGGAAAGAGAAAGGCACGAGCAGGCGTTGCTGTTGTCTGTGCCGATACGACGTGCAGGGAGAGCTCGTATGCCCAAGCATTTGTGGTTCGGGAAGTGTACGACCTCGAAGGAGTATCTGTGGCAGTTGTAGGTCCTTTTGCTTGAGGTTGAGGATTCAGAGAGGAAGTCGTGTGCGAGACAATACCTCCATGCAGGATGAAGAAGAACTGGGATATGATAGCGGAGGTCAAGGTTGTAGCCATTGGCTCAACATTGACTCGTCGACGGTCAAGTGTACAACGGTCTGTGTGAGTTGAAGGAAGCTCTGGATGTTCAAGCGCTCACGTCCCGCGAGCAGAGACAGCTGAAAGTCGAGTTTGCGGGCACGCTCATGAATTAGTCCTGTGCAGCTTTCGTTTATCCACACAGCATCAAATGTTGCTCCCAAGACCCGAACTGGAGGGGAAGTGCTTGCGCCACAGCCTTGCCAAACTGCAGTCTTACCCAACTTCGAGCTACAGTAGCAAGTACAGAACAAAATAGTGTTAGATTAGACAGCAACCTCAGGCTGCCAGGTTTCGAGACCGAACCAAATGAAATTATTCGACCAAGCGGAGGTGATCCAGCGGCGATCGTGGTGGGGGTTTTGTGGCGGTGGCACGACACGTCGCCGATCGGCTCGGCGAATCTCCGCAGGCGGCACAGCCCGGCCCGAGGCGTAATATACCCCACAATTCAAACCAAGGAGTTCTCCTCGTACCCATCCTCTCTTTCTACTCACAACCTAATATTTTCCTCAATTTTTGTGCATCCATGGAGGACCCAGTTGCTCCTTCACAATCCGCAGAACAACCCCCAAATCCCACAACGAGCACGCCACTACCACCAGCACCGGTTGTGGCCCAATCTCAGTCCCAAACGCGCTCAGAAGAGACCCATGACAGCCTGAAGTCGTCTGTAGAGGATTTATGGTATCTAAAGGAGATTTGGTTCCCTGGAGGAGAGAATGGGCAGATGAGGCCGTATAAGATTATTACCCAGAACTTCAACGGGTGAGTGCCTTTTCAATAGCTCGTTACCTGAGAAGCGTGAGTGTTGACTTGAACTCGAAATACCCGTCAGACCTTGTTCATTTATCGCTATTTGTACGTCTGTTTTCGGCTTTGTCGGTCATTGGTTTTTGGTTCTAAAGAAACAACATAGGCAATATTCTTATTCTGCGAGGCAACATTGAAATCTTGCCCGCAAGTCGTACTACTGTATCCTACGAATTCCTCTCACAACTGGTAGCCGAGTATCTGCTACTCAACGCTCCTGACGTTGATATATCTATGGCACTCACCATGATGCCTCTCACTACTAGTGCGTGTCGATGATATCTGCGTCCAGCTCACTCCCCACTGATTTGCTCTCGGACCTTGTAGAGGGCATGGATCTAAATCCATTATTCACATCGCCGACCTCCTTCCGACCTTCGACCTCTCTTTCATCGCTATCCTTATCTACACCCTCGTCTTCTTCCTCGTCTTCACCGTCTTCCGATGGTGCTCTCGAACTCTTCTCTCATGCCGGAATCAAGCTCGTACATGGCTGGCTCGTCGACCCTGACACATCGGAATACGAAACAATCAAGCGCCTAGAAGACTATGACTCTGCGGTCAATCTAATCGTGGAAGCGGACGTGCTGATGCAGGGGCAGTTAGTTGTGTCTGAAGAGGCGTTAGAGGGGCAGGCAAGTGGGAGCAGTGGCCCGAGTGGAAGTTCACACTTAGGAGAGAGCGATAGGAAGAAAGTACAAGATGGTGTGTGTTCTTGTTCACTCTATTCTGGGGTGATGGCTCATTCATTTCGATTCCCATTCTAAGCTGTCCAAGCTCGTGCATTCCTCGACAGCACGCAATCTCAGCTGACCTACCATGGCCTCTTCACCCTCGCCTCAAACTCCTCATCATCATCATCATCATCCACGGTTCCACAGTCATCGTCCCATTCCACCAACCCATTTACCAGCGCCTCGTCCGAGCCAGGACCTTCAACTAATCCCTTCGTCGTGCCATCTACTTCATCCGCGTCCAACCCTTTCCGCGAATATGATACTCAGCAAGAGGACACAATCCCACCAAACACACTCGTCGCTCTTTTCCGCAACTCTCACCTCTCCGTCCTCTATAAGCACGCCCCATCCTCTCCTCCCCCTTCCCGCCCATCCCCCGCTTCCTCGTCAGACCTCTTCGCCTCGCACGTCAAAGCCGGCTCATCACCCTCCGCACCATCGCATCTCGCCCTTGCACAACCATCAACCCAGACCCAAGGAGAAGGCGACAGGCCATCGGCATTGTACACGCTCGTGACGGACCAAGTGTTCTTACATGAGCCGTCTGTGGTCTGGGAGAAACTGGAGGACGTTGATCAGGGTGCGGCGGAGTTTGTGGATGCGGAGTTTAGGAGGAGTGTGCCTATGGGTGGGGATTGGGCCGGTGTGCGATGGGAGGACGAAGGTGCTTCTGGAGGTACCAACCGTGGCCGTCAGGAGCAAGAAGGCGCAGATCCGGACCCAGAGTGAGTGCCCTCCACAATCTCATCCGATGCGCCCTTGGAGTAGGATGCTAATAACGGGTGCTCTGGATGTTCAGTCGTGCGCTGGCAAGACAGCTTCAAGAAGAGGAAGATGCGTATGCAAGGCAGGTACAGGCGCGTAGGCGGCATCAGCAGCAGGAAGCTGAAAGACAACAGCAACTGGAGAGGGAGTGGCAGCAGCAGTACGCGCAGAGGCGTGCTCAGCAGGGTGGGCGAGGAGAAGAGGGCGGGAAGAAGAAGAAGGACTGTGTTATTATGTGAGAACCGATATATTGACTCGTTGCGATTGATTCTCGGAGCAAAGGCAGGGAAGGATAATATGGATTGGTATTTTCTCTCTTTTGGGGTGCGATTCTGAAGGAACTTGCAGGCGTGTGGTGCGTGAAATCACCGTACATAGAGCACTACCATACAATATCTCAATTTTTGTATCTTACTGGAATACTATGAACATCCTTACTTGACTTGTAACCACGACAAGCGATAAAGGACCTCCTGTATACGACCGAGCAGATGCGCCACAGTGGCGACCGAACCGAACCGGACGAACGGATTGTCCGAATCGGTCCTCAACCGGTCGAGCCCAAATTTGCTGCTCCACGCTGACTTGGTAAAGAAACGCACAGGTAGGAAGTTACAGTCGCAATAACTCTGTTTGAGTCTCCTGACGCGTCATGATGTAGGTTCATCAGTCACTAGTTAGACCGCAATTCGACGGCAAGTAACAGTGTGTTCTGTCGACGTTGATACCCATTTTCACCCACACGACACGCCGACAAGGGTATTCTTCTACGAGTAGCAAAAATGCCATCAGGACATCAGTATATGGCTTCGTCGAAAACCTCTGTCCATAAACTTCCCACTGAAATCCTCGCCAAAATCTTCGCTTTGCTCGCAGTCATCGATCCGCCGCGCCGTTATACCGAGGCAGAGCGCAAATCGCTCATGTTCGATGAAGATGGTCACTTCAAAGCCTATGATAGATCGAGTATAAGATCGCCTATACACTGGATCGAGATTACACACGTTTGCCGTTACTGGAGGGAGATTGCTCTGTCGCAATGCTCTTTGTGGATGCATCCCCTTCTTCATCTCGGACCAGAGTGGTATTTGACATTCCTTCGGCGAGCAGGATCAGCACCCTTAACCATAGAACTCGCGGACTATTGTCGCAGAATGGTTCTCAGATCCTCGTGCATTGTCCCCGACGCCGTCTTTGACGCTGTTCTCGGCCAGATGGACCACGTCGAAGTACTCAAGATCAGCTCGCCTGCTCATCCGGACGAACTCTCAATCTTCGCGTCGTACACCACCCCTTCCCCGATGCTTCAAACCCTCGAGATCAAGAACCATTCCTCCAAGTTTCCTATCTACCTGAGGTCCTCGTCCATCGATTATCATCCTCCCAAGAAAGGAGAACTACCCCCTCCCGAGACCATCTTCCTGGGCGCCGACTTCCCTCGCCTTCAAAACGTCACCCTGCATGGCATATCCGACGACTGGCTTTCCATGTCATTCCGCAATCTTGTCAAGTTGGACGTCGCGCACACTGAGTACATCGAATCGTACGACCCGCTCCTCGATATCCTTGAGAGCAGTCTTGGTTTGGAGTTTCTCAGTATCGTCCATGCGCTGCCGCACCATTGCGTTTCATTCGTCGAGAGACCGCACCGTGTCGTCCTTCCGAATCTAAAGGCTATCACGCTCAGCAGCAACTACGACACCTGTACTGCAAATGTTTTGCGTTCTATCGAGATGTCCGCCACTGTGCGCATCAGGCTCTCTTTCGTCAAGCCTACCTCCGACAAATACACCGCCCTCTTTGCCGAGCTTCGAGCACATTTCTCCCGCAGTGATCCGCCCAGCTTCCAACATCTCAAAATATCGGCTTCGTCGCACGAGCTTCTGATCGGAGGCTCCTGGCCGTCTTCGCTGACGGGGCTGGATATGGACGAGTTCGGGATACACAACAAAGAGCCGACTTCGTTCTTCTTCAGCACACCCTTCCATTTCGACCCAGAAGGCGTCATTCGGACAGCCTTTGACGGGTTTCCCCTCAACTGTGTCAAAACCCTCATCCTCCACGACGCGAACTCGTCAGAGCTTTGGGACCACGTCCTTACTCGCCCAGGTTTCTACCATGTCACACTTATCTGCATCGAAGACGACTTCCTACGCTCGCGGCCTGATCTGCATAGTTCCCTCACGGCCATGGGCGAATACGACAAGAATACACATATTTTCCCGAAGCTGCAGAGGATAGACATACGTAAGGATGATCTTATTATTGGAAGGCCGAAAAACGCTGGGCAGAGTGGTCAGGCAACATTACTGGCGATGTGTAAGCGGAGGTATGGGACGGGTTCGCCGGTGAAGACGGTGCGGATAGTAGATTGCAAGGTTAGAGGTGATAGTGTCACGAAGTTGAGGGAGGTTGGACCAGAGGTAGAGCAGGTAAAGGTGACCGATAGGCCCAAGTCAAAAACGGCCCGGTTGATACAGCAGTTGACTAAAGATGACGACGACGACGACGATATCTTTTGAGCATTCACAGATAACTTACCTTATCGATACATATTATCCAATATTTTACCTATTTTTCGTGTTGCAAACCATGAAGTTCAAAGTAGCCCAAGAGACACTCTGAATATATAGCTTGTATGATCAGAAAAAAACCGGCACAGTAAATTGTTTTACAAACGAGCTCGAGGCATAGTACTCATATGGAACAAAGGTCTTGTATCCACCTACGACCCACAGACCTAGTTAGTACACAGTCAGACTTTGCGAAGGAAAACGGCAGTGGCTTACATGTTCCAGTTTAAGTTGATCCACAGAGGTTACCCCAACAAGCGCCATCGTCGTCTCAACTTCCTTGTACAGAATCTCTATGGCTTTACGGACTCCTGGTTGTCCATATGCCAGTGCGAAAAGGAAAGGACGTCCAAGACCGACAGCTTTGGCCCCCATCGCCAGGGCTTTCACGACGTCGGTACCTCGCGTGCTGATTGGGTTAATGTCAGTCATCAATCGAGCATCAATTCACGCAATAGAGCAAACTGTTGGACGCACATGCCACCGTCAACGATGACCTCACACTTGTCGAAGACCTCAGGACAATTCTCTCTGATTGAGACCAAAGTTTCAGCAGCTGATGGAGCTCTAAAACGTTGTTATCAGCGTTAGAAATGTCTCCTATGGTATAAGTAGACGGACCCTTCCAGTTGTCGGCCACCGTGATTGCTCAGCCAGACACCCTGCACGCCGTGTGCCATACACAGAGCAGCGTCTTCGTGAGTTTGGATGCCCTTGATAGCGATGGGAAGGTCGGCTATATAGCGAGGTACATGAGTCTCCGATGTACGGAAATAAAGCATGAGATAGAATGCACTGAGACTTCGGAGCCACTTCACACTGTTGTACCGCCAACGCCGGTCAGTAAGTTTCGGAGTGCGCCAAAGATATGGACGTACGCTGATGTCCACGAAAACTTGAGGTAGACGGGTCTGTCGTAAAATAGCGTGAGTTGTTGGCGAATCCAAAAGGACGTCATACGTACGACCTAGTTGCAGATATTCCGCCATTACTTTCCTCATCATCGTCCCCACTCTCAGCCGCAGCGAGCCGAAGATCACGTTCGCGCTTGCCCATGTAAACGCCGTCGACAGTAAGAGCAAAACCTTTATAGCCGAGAGCGACTGCTTGTTTGACCTCTCGTGCGGTCACTTCGAGGCTGAATAAACAATACTAATTAGGCATACCAGGTCGATAATACTCAGAAAGGATGTCACACTTACTCGGTCATAGCGTAGATCTAGATGTTTATCATCAGTTTGATTTTGTTTTATCACATCTGCAAGGCAAGATGTACAGACCTGCCAGAATGTCGTCTGAGTAGGACCACGAACCGAGGCAATGTCCTCCTTAGTAGAACCTGCCATGTTACAGACCTGTGGATGCCGTAGTCAGTCGAAGCCGGAACGAGACTGTTATATCACCGAGGCATAGCCTACCCAATGTAAGATATTATGTTCTGCTGCTGCCTTGGCCATCAATACCTCTCCCAAAGGGTGAGCGAGTTTGCCTCCTCCAGCAGGTGAGATGAAGAACGGTGCGCCAATCTTGCAACCAAATAGCGTGGTCGATAAATCGATCGTCTCAACGGGGACTAGAACTCGTGGTCTGAAGCGAATGGCGGACCACGAGTCACGATTCCATTGTACAGTTTTCTCTGAATCCGCGCCAGCTTTGAAGACTGCGATTGTACAGTCAGACCAACCGACCGCATAGCAGGAGACCCTCCTTACACGCTAGACGATAGTTGGTCTCCATAAGTGATCGAGGATTATGAAGACACGTACACAATATATAGACTTACCAAAAGCTTGAGCTGAGAGGGTCTTCTCTCCGGCAACCTGTAAAAGTTGGTCGTCATGCCGTGCGACCTTACAGTATCAATCAGCTCCTCGCATACCTCGAAGTCGAGAAGATTGACGATGGACTTGAGTTTAGGTTTGCCATCATTACTTGGTGGCTTCAAGTCTACAGGCTCGGAGGGCGTACTTGCTTTGGCTTCGCCGAGAAAGCATCTGATGCAGGTGAGCAGTAAGCGAGTTGGGGCAAAAGAAGGAAAGAAACATCTCATACTCAGGAGAGAGAAATTTCTCCAGTACGCCACTGGGGTGAATTGGAATGAACGCCTTCGTGGCGTCCCTTCCTGCATATCTAGGATCGACGCGTACATACTTAGTGTCGAAAAGTATGGTGTAAAAGGTAGCTTACCTGAGAAGAACAGCATTCCCTCCGGGGTGCAGACCGGATTGGAGAAAGGCCGTAATATCGTAGGCCTGTCCTTCGATGCCAACCCAACACGAGTGACGGCTGCCAGGTCCACCCCCATTAGACTCGCTTCCACACATAGAGAACAGCAGAATCTAACCTTGCATGCTTAGCGACTTCGTCACTATTCAGGACACGAACCCAACAAATTAGCATCATCAAGCTCACGGAGAGGCTAATTCTCGATATATAATGCGCTTCTACTTACGCTGATAGGACCATAGCACACTATTCAACCGAGTCCACCAGAAACCACGCAGTTGGTGAAGACCACACCGACCCGTCTGTTCTGTAGTACTGTGCCACAATTCTGATGCATGGTGCTGTTTGTCTACTGGGAAAACCCGGTAAGAAAGGTGGGTCGTCCTGGTGGCGATAACGAGGATTCGCTTTAGGAGGACTCCGGGCGGGATCCGGACGTTGACATTGGTTTGCGGCTCTCTCCCGCGTCCGCTCATCCTCCGACCGCCTCTTGCGGCTTGCCAGCATTCGCCAAACGCGATGAGCGTGCATGATATGATGGGGCTCACAGTCACGTTCGACGACAATAACCACCTTCAACTTGTTACAGAACTGAATCGTCGGCATGGAAGATATCAAAAAACTAATCCACAATAATGGCTGTGCCTTCGAGCTCGGTTTGGACGCGGTGAGTCTGGATTTGCAGGAAAACTATTCGTTTGGTGTCTCAACTAACCTGAATACGCACTCAGACTTTTCGGAGTATGTATGAGCCCCTGTATAAAGAGGCGTCCCCAGAGGTTGTAAAGCAGGTCAAGGACGTTCGATACGGTCCAGCAGATCGGAACTTTCTGGACGTACGTTGAACTACGATGACGGCGAACCAGTACTGGAGATGCTGATTTCGGTCTCGACAGGTCTATGTTCCTCTTTCAGGCTCACCTGGGAAGGCCGTTATTATTTTCGTCCACGGAGGAGGTTTCTTTAGTGGTGATAAGGCATGGAGTGATAAGGTTGGTTCTCACTAATGCTTGCCTCAGTCAGGAATCTCTCGAAATACCTAACGCCTTTCAACCATCAGGTCTATGCTAACATAGGTAATTTCCCCTCCTCCGACTCTTCAACTCTACTACTAGTAGTGACTTTTCTCTAGGGAACTATTTTGCCGAGAAAGGGATCATTGTCGTGGTCGGCAACCATCAGCTCGTCCCCGACGCCACATAGTATGTCTCATTCATTGTCTTATAGCCTGCTCTACTCACCAAGGTGGCAAGCAAGTCCTGCAGGGGCAGATGATATTCAGCAGACTCGCGAATGGGTGTTCAGCAATATCGCATCAGGAACGTATGGTCAAGGAGACCCAAACCAGGTCATCCTCTTCGGGCATTCATCTGGCGGCGCACATATTGCTTGCAACGTATTCGCAGCTGGTGAGGTGGAAGATTCTCGAAACCGCGACATGTATATTAAGAGGGCTGAATATAGGCGATCCGACACGACCCAAAGTCGATCCTTTGTTTCCTCCAATCGCCGGACTCGCGCTCTTTTCAGTTCCTTGGTGGTTCGACATCAAGAAGCCTTTGCGACGAAAGATCATCGGACAGTACTATGGAACGGACGTTGAAGAGGAGTGGGAGGTATGTATTTCCTCCAACCTTGATTAACTGCCTGCATTGACTTGGATTTGTTGCCCTACAGCCTTTCTCACCACTTGGTCTCTTCAAGCGTCTTCCGGCTGGATCATCGTTGGTGTACGTCACTAATACTTTTACCCCTTCATATTACTCATAATTATCATTGTCGTAGTGATCCCAACGTACTGCCAATACTCCTCGGGAGCGTCAAGTATGAAGTGTATGTCCAGCATCGCTTTACCTTTAGCCCCCTTCTGACTTGAAATTTGTTTCACAGCAAAGAAACAGCAGACGGTCTCGTTTTGTTCTTCAACGAGTATCGCGCGAGAAGCAGCCCAACCGGAGCGCTCCCTCTGATCCATGTTCTCGACAATCACAACCATCTCAGGTCCGTTTTGTCCTACCCGCCACGTATCGCCCTCTTACTGACTATAGCTTTGACTGCACGCCTTTACAGCAATATACTCTCCATAGGGTCCGAAGACGAAGCTCAAGCGAGGGCCATCTTGGAGTTCGTACGGACCTGCGCCGCGAAAGTTGTTGCACGAGCTTCTGGTTCCGGCGATTCTGTGAAGTATTGATCCCGAATGAACGTCATCAAAGGGTTGTTCAGCGCTGACTGGCCACATAGAAAAACCTCAGAGACAACGGCGAAGTTGTGATGTGAGGGGACTTGCTTGGCGACTCGACGATATATCTGATGTAATGAAACGAAGATATAACATCCGGTATACAACAATTGCATTTTCTCTGGGGTTCAATGCTACACCCTATATATCGTGAATCGGCTAAAATACTACATTGTCGTCTGGGGTTGCGAGTTCATTTGTTTATTTAGATATTGACCCCAGCTTCATGATCGTCCCAGGTGAGCGAAAGAGGTCGTATGCAAGGACTAAGAGAACAACATGGCGGTCTGATGGGCACATACAAAGCTTACAAGGACAAGAAAGCGAGCAGATCGAAGGAAACGAACGAATAAATATAGACAGCCTCTATTCGTAAAAGACGATATAACGGCGTATACGTTCGAAGCGACTTGATACTGTCGTCTGCATCCTTCGTGGAGTTTACTCGGCCTTCTTTCCTCTACAGAGACGAAAGTTATGGGTTCTGAAGAGCAACGATGCAGTACTACGAGTGTAACTTACTGGAATTCCCTCGTCATCCGCTTGAGCATGATCTCCTCTCCTGTCATCGGAGGGCTGAGAAACGTCGATCATCAGCATTACTTTTAGGTGAAGTGTGTGTGACTAAACAGAAACGGAGACGTACTACTTTTGTTCCAAACCCTTAATGAGCGTCGAGCGGGAGGCGTGGTTGAAGTAAGCGCAGGAGTAGCGCGAGGGTTGGGGGCCGGAGTACGCCACAACGCGGTGAAAGATGGACTTGTACTTGTCGTCAGACCAGTACATCAGCATGTCACCAACTTCATAGAGCCATTAGTCGCTGAATCCGACCATAATGTAAGGACCGACAAACTGTTACAAATGACTGATAATGGAAGAAGGTAAGTCAAAAGAACGAGAAGACGATACATAGATAGATATGCCACTTACTGGGACCAAGCTTGGCTGCGACAGGAGTCCAAGCATCTCCCATGCCGTACTCTGCCGACCAAGAATATCAGTACTAAGCAAGTCTTGACGATTCACGATACACACCTGTGAGAGCCTCGCGGCCAGGACAGATCTCGAGTCCGGCCTCACCCTCACGCTGGAATAAAAGAGTCAAAAGGCTAAGATCAGCATGAGGACCGTTTCGCCAGTAATCCTTCTTCGTTCCGTCCGAGGGCAGGTAGTGAAGGGTGCGCATGGAGCTGAGTGACTCAGGGTCTTCTGGTACAATGGCTTTGTCGAAGGTACCTTTCTCGAGGCCGAGGGCGTCCTCGAAGAGTTGGACTGGGATATGAAGGTAAGGTCAGCAGTGTAACTCATCAATAAAGAACTATCAAGTACTAACGAATCTGCAAGCTAATCTCGTGGCATCGGTACATGAAGTCCTTAGTCTCCTTAGAGAACTAGAGAGTCTAGTCAGATATGGCGCCACAATAAGGCAAGGGAAGATATGACTGCATACTCCAGGAACATCGTCTTCGCTAGGCCAACCCTCCTTCCTGCAGAGCTGCAAGTTCAAAGTCTCCTTCTGGTCGATCTGACCGGTCGAAGGCCTGAACTGGCTCAAAGCATCGTATCCCCTTGGCCGTGCAACCTCGGCGTTCAAGACCTTAAAGAGCGAAGGTAGTTGAATACTGCTTACACGTTGCACTTAACAGTGTTAGGGTTCGCATAGATGCGCTTTGTCTCATCTGGGAGAGAAAAGAAGCGTTTCGCGCGAGAAAAATGAGCCTCGATGTCTCCTGGAGTGAGACCATGGTCGGTGACGACGAAGAATCCGACTTGTTCGGCAGCAGCAACGAGTTGCTGCTTGATTTCGTCCTTACGAGACTCAAAATCTACTCAAGGAAAATCACGATAGCCACAAGCGGTCAACCATTCCTGTTCCAAATGCAGAGCTTGTAGGACACGCACCCTTCAGACTGACGACGGGAATAGCACGCTCGACCAACATATCGGAGACTGAGATGTGGGGTAGAGATAAAAGAAGCTATTGGGACTGAGCAGACTGATCGTCGACGAGAACCTGCTATCTGTGTCAGACAGAGGTTCTCAAGCTCGTCTCAGCTGTGTAGCGATGATGAGAGCGGCGGTGAGGCCGGTGAGGTGCGGGGCTCCCGGCAGCGACTGATGGGAGACGGGTGCAAGTTGCGAACTATTCGTATCAGCGGAAGGATACCGTCTAATCCGAGATCCGGTCGGATAGCTACGAAGTATCGCAGAAGTCACGAGTATGTACTCAAGGTGTCTTCAGCCTTACCAGGACTTATACTTGTCTTATGAGCTAGCTAACGTGGCAGGAGGGCGAAAAATCACGTACATACTGCCAATCCCGGGCATCCTTTATCTGTCCAGAGAAAGTTGAATCTCGTACTTTGTACATCTCTTCGGATGGTCTGGTAACTGTGAGCGAACTAGTCGCATTATCTGTGGTTTCGAGCTTGAACACCCTGAGAACCAGTGTAGGATCGATATCGACCTCAGTCGTTACAGGTCGAGAAAAAAGTTCAACGTAGCCACCAGTGCCGCGCGGCACTGAGGAAAACTCCGACCACCGCCGGCCTAGTTCGCTTCAGCCGGCGGTATGGTAAACGTGGTAATTGCCAGCTCTTGACCAGCTCTTTCGACTCGACCAACTTTCGACTGTTCAACACCACCTTTCTTCAATTGGCATCCAGGACCCTCAACCTTCTTTGCTCTCCACGGTAGAGATGCTTTCTTCCATGCCAGTAAGTACTGTAACTGACCTGAGACCGATTTCCGATCACCCAGGAACACAATTTGGATATGCATAAAATGCCGGTGAGACAACCGCTGTACTTGTCCCAAACTGGTGCTCATAAATAAGCAACTATCTGTATCTTTCACGGGAAGGGCGTGGGTGCAGGTAAAATTCCGGAGATCCGCTACATTAATATTTCATGCAAGATAGCACTCGGTACGGTTCCGGCGGCCGCCGTGGGAGTGTGGGGTTATCACCGTGACAGTATCTGTACGTTTCTTGTATGAACGCGCCAGATCAACGTTCCCTCCTTTCGAGGTACCTCACGCTCGACGACCAACTCGAACTCCTCCCTTTCCGCCATGTCTTCCAGCCTGCATTCTGTAGAGAAGGAAGGACCGGTCGACAAAGACGAGCAGGTTCTTGCGCGCGTCTCATCGGCTCAGAAGACTAACGATGTGGCTGTCGCCACTGTCAATGCGTGAGCCCTTTGTCTCGAATTGTACCGTAGGGAGCCGCTCATTGCATCGGTTGTACAGGTCGGAGGAATACTCAGAGGCGGACTTCGAGCGCATTCGAAGGAAGCAGGACTGGATCTTAATGCCTCTCATGGTATGCTGTGCCATCATCTGTTTTCTACACATTACGAAGAGTTCATTCTTTCGATAGTGGATAGCCTACGGTATCCAGCAAGTCGACAAGACTGGCCTTTCTACTCAGGCCACATTTGGCATCAAGACCGACACGCATATGGTCGGTAACGACTATGCATGGTTGACCACGATTTTCTACATCTTCGTCAGTGTTCTACGTGTTATGACTCTCCTGATTTACTGATCCTCCTTTCGTACAGTTCCTTTTCGGTGAATTTGTATGTATCCTGCGAGGACGTTGTGTCCCTTCCAGACTGATTCATGAGCTCCTTTCTAGCCTGGAAATTGGTTCATGCAAAGGTACTCTGTGGGAAAGACACTCGCTGTCAGCATGTTTGCCTGGGGTGGTATGTTACGGCATCATTTGTTTTGCTCGGTGTTCAGGGCTCACTCGGCTGTTGCATCCAACTTCGGCAGTCATCGTGTTCTGTACAGCTGCCGCAAAAAACTGGACAGACCTTATGATCATGCGCGCCTTGCAGGGTATCTCTTTCTCTGTATACTCGTGCCTGGCACACGTACTGAGTTCACTTTTTACACTATTTTAGGCTTCACAGAGAGCATCGTCAGTCCCGCGTTCCTGCTCATCACCGGTCTGTCATACCGTAAAGAGGAACATGCGATGCGCGTGCTCATCTGGGGTATGTGGTAGATCTCACAGCAGTCATACGAAGGTTTCTTGCTGATGATCTATCTACAGGCACCGCCAACTACGGTTTTGCTGTCATCGTCTCCCTGATCAACTATGGGATCGGGACTGCGGCACAGAAGCATCCCTCAGGCCTCGCTGCGTGGAAGGGAATGAGCATATTCCTTGGTGCGCTTGGAGCATGACCATTACGAACCGTGAAACTTATGATCATTCGACATAGGCGCTCTGACCATCATCGTCTCTGTGGCATCCTACTTCTTCCTGGGTACCCCACGCGAGGTTCGCTGGCTCACGGCTGAAGAGAAGAAGATTCAAGCCGCTCGTGTTGCCCACAACAACACTGGCTCCGATGCTCAGAAGCGCACGTAGGTAGCATTTCGGCAGAGATATATCAACCCTGAAGCTGATACTGATTGCTCGACATTGAATAGTCAGTGGAAGTGGTCACAGGTCACGGAAGCCTTCTTAGACCCGCAGTACGTCTTATCGACTCTATCTTCCATAGGCCTATGCCTACTAACCTTTCCCCTCATCATCCGCAACTCTCAGGCTATACTTCTTCTTCTTCGTGACTGTCAGCAATGGTTAGTAAGGTCTTTTTCATGGGATGTTTTGATATCTGACACTCCCTTACACATCCTACAGCGATTCCGACGGGTGGTGTCAAGTACGAATGTTGGCCAGCTTTGATTTCACGTCCGTTAACCGTAGCACTTCTGTCTATAGCACGTTCGGCAATATCATATTCGTCAGCCTTGGGTTCTCCGCACTCGACACTCTTGTCAAGGGAACACTCCCCCAGAATGGTGAGTGGAATGAACTCGTCGTGACTACCTATTTCACTAAAAACATCTCTCGTTTAGTTCTCGGCGTCTTCTGGTTCATCCTCGCCGGATGGGTGCTTTCGAGATTCAAGCATATGCGATGTGCGTACGATCCGAGCAGGAGTGAAATGATATTCACGCGATCTGTACCCTCTCTTTTTTAGTCTACTGGATCATGATATCTATCGTTCCAGCGTTCATTGGAATGCTAGTCCTGTGAGTTTCTATGCGTATATTTATCTGAATAATACGAGAACTAACGTTGCGTGTGGATTTAAGCTCCCTCGTCCCGACAACCTCTGGTAATCTCTGGGCCAAGTGGGGAGCGTACTTCATTACGGTTCGTTTTGCCAGTATCTCATGACCAATCTTTTTAGTTTCTAATAACCGTTTTCTTTTGCAGATCACCGGCCAAATCTGTGGTGCTCGTGCGTACAGTCGATGAGAATATTGTATCGAAGAACTTTCTCAATTGACTGATCTTTCTATGTCCACAGTTGTCTGGAGTATGCTCAGTACAAACGTCGCAGGCCGCACGAAGAAGAGTGTCGTCTCCATCGTCATCTTCTGCGCCGTATGTTGCCCTCAGTTCTTTTGCTATCATTCATACCGTCTAATTTACACTCATTTGTATTTCTTTAGTACTGCTTCGGTAATGCCATCGGCGCGCAGGTTTTCCAAGACAGATGGGCCCCAGCATACCGGCCGAGTACTATCATCCTGGCTATCATGTTTGCCCTCGAGTTCGTTCTCATGGGCGTATGGCGCGTCTACTGTAAGCGCACTCGGAGAGCTCATCGTCCCACCCTCCGACTCCGCTAATATCGGTATCATTCTATCCTCTATCTGACAGACGTCATGAAGAACAAGCGGCGAGCCACGAAGCTAGATGCGCGAGGAGTCTCGCCAGAGGAGCGTGTTCGACTAGGATCCCTCATGGGCGAGACGGATGCGACTGATCTTGGTGAGCACTCATTGCTATTTGGTGTGCATATGGGTTTACTGACAACGGTGTGCCATCTTCACAGAGAACGAGTATTTCATTTATGATTACTAGAGTGGTCTTGTTTTGCTTTGCTTTGTTTTGATCATCACATTTCTCGTCTTTAAGCGAAGTCTTTTCTGTCTTTCAAGATCAGTAAGAGAGGGCTGCAGCCGATGCATACCCTCCTAAGTAGATGCTTTCGGGCGATCCCTGCTCGCTCAAAGTCTAAAACTACCTCCCTGCGATGTGGACTGAGTCTGCAGCGATCTGCTGTCGTTTCTGTAGTCAGATGAGTCTGGAGAGCTGTGGCCCGGGGGTGACCTTGCAAAGCCCTGCAGGCTTCTGAACGTGCTCGAGAGTCGCAAATGTTTGTATATTCGCAATTATCGGATATTGAGCGAAAAGGTACGGTCGTGGAGAAAAATCTCAGAGATTTCGTCCGACTTCTGCACATTACTGTGATACATACAGTCTTCAGCTACTATGGTGCGTATGGCCTCAGGTTTTGCGCCGAAACTCATGCTAGAGGGTGCTTAAAATCCTGTCATATTTTCGAATTTTCGCCTTTACTGATCACAATGTATTCCTGTTCCGTTAGGACAGGTCTTGAGACGAGCAAGCCCTCGAGCTCTAAGTTACGGTCACTCGTCCTCCATCACTCTCGGTTCCCAGTGTCTCCCCAATGTTTCCCGGTCCTTCCGTCTCGTTCCGGCCACTCTTACTTGTGTCGTGCAGCGCTCAAATATGCCTGACAAGTCTGAACAAACAAATGTGGGCTAATTAAAGCCTACATTCTTCCACCTACTGTGTGAGGAATCTGATATCTCGAGCCACGGGCATGCCGTGCTCGTTCTTTCTTTCAATGTAGGTGAGCGTGTGTGGCGAAAACGCCACACAGCAGGGACAATGCAAGGATTGCCTGTTTTTTTTCGATGAAGTGTTTAGTCAGGAGCGCTGACGGTCAAAAGGCACATTATAATAATTCGCCCACCCTGTTCGGTCTGAAGGAACAGGTCTGGTCTGGAAGGCGTGGAGTTCATGCCTCTAGCTTGAGATCGTGACCAAAGAATTCACTCAGAGATTTGCGTGGCCCTCTGTGGGGTCAGTTCGGAAAATTCCGGAGTCACGTAATTTATGATGCTCAATTTCTATTTAGTTCGACCACGATCACCTGCGTTTCTAGACCACTTGTTCATAAAGGCGCCTCATCAGTGTTCATCCTTTTCTTGCCACGAAGTACTGGACACTTTACGCGACTGATTGAGCACCATGATGACTCGAACTTGACTGACTGGAAGAGCCTTACACGAGGCCGAGTCTACTTTTGTAGACTCGGATTCAGACCGTTTGACTGAGACTAGTACTTGCTGGACAATAGTATGGATCCTGACGGCTTTGCAAGGGACTGCTCCTTCTACCTTCGTACAACGGCCATCGTAGGACATCATTTGTGAGTTATAAATTGTTGACTTTGCTGCATCCGGCTGACAAGCTCTCTTGGAAATACGCGGCTGTCTTTTCATGATCCCAGGAGATCCCGCGTCCGATGGTCTGTTCTCTCGGAGATATGATATAGATATATCTCTATATTAACAGGATCTTTGAGCGCTCAAGGTCGGTCGTGTCTGCTTCATCCCGCAGTTTTCCATACTTAGGGGTTTCCTCGTTCCCGCTCAGCCAGTGCGTACCCCTGAAAGTGTATCGCTACTCCCGAACTTGCACTGACTGTCGTGTGGTATCAGAAAACTCGGGGCGCTTGCTTGTTCTCACCGTTATCTGACTCCAAATAGAACTACTTGTACTTCAACCAGACAGTACTTTGACTCAAATTCTCCACGATCTCTTCCCGCGCCTACGACGAGTCATAAGACCCACACATGGCATATGGGCAGGGTTAGTGCTCTATAAGTATTGAAAGAGCAGGGTGTTGAGGTCTCATCAAGCCACCTCGCTTTCTTCCTGATGCATCGTTAGTCCATTTCACTCAACTATGCGCGCCGCACCGACTTCGGACGAGATCGGAGACACTCAAATGAGTGGCGAGATGCCGGACCCTCTTGAGGTGGCGCAGAGCCAGACGTTACAGTCGGATCTTAGACTAGCCGAAATCGTGGGGCGACCGAAAGTCAACAAGGCTGGCTTGATTGTCACTTCTGAGCTCGGCATCGCAATCGCGAGGTGTAAGAGGAAAGTGCAGAAGTTGGCGCGCGAGTGCCGGCGGGCTAACAGAAGGTTTAGGTGAGATCCAAATTCATTTTGATATTGTTCTTGCCAGTACGTAGATGATTTCGGAGTGAAGTGCTCATATAGATCTTGAGTTCTATGTCCGTGTGGTAACTGGCATCTTTATACAGGGATATCGACTTCGACTTCTTGGAAGATAGGGAGCGCTGTTTGCACGGTCTGGACGCCACGGATATGTACTTTCCCACTGACACTCTCCGCGTCAACGAGATATTCGATAGTCCGCAATTCTTCGTGGACGGCGCTACTGCAAGTGATATATCGCAAAGCGACACCCTCGGCGACTGCTGGTTCTTGAGCGGCTTGAGCATCGTCGCGACTGCGGGCCTGATTGAAAAGATTTGTGTTGAGGTGAGCCCGGCTGAATCACTTCGCTCGTTACAAGCTAAATCGCGGGAGCTCTGTCACATAGCGTGATGAAAAAGTTGGAGTGTATGGGTTCATCTTTTGGAGAGATGCAGGGTGGGTGGATGTTATTGTGGACGAGTATGTTCTCTGGGCAGTGCAGCAGCCTCCTCATCAGTTGCTGATCGCTGGTATTTAGTATCCTCTTTGTGAAGATACCCCACTGGGAAGAACTCAATGTCAGGGTACGCTATTTCGTAGCATCTGGGCAGACTGACCAATAGGCATGTTACTGACCTTGAACCTCAGGAACGGATGATCTACAAGGGTGACGAAGATCGTTACTTCAATGAGGCCCGTAAAGGCAGCAAGACACTTTTCTTTGCAAGATCCATGACAGAGAACGTGGGTTTCGTTTGCCCGCACAGTCATACTCTAATTGATTGTCATGTTTAAATCCCGTAGGAGACTTGGGTACCTCTCCTAGAGAAGGCATACGCGAAATTGCACGGGGATTACGCGGCTTTAGAACGAGGACATGCAGGCAAGCGTCCACCAGAATTTGCTTGAAATTATAGTAACCTGACCTCATTTTTCACCGCTAGTCGAAGCAGTTGAGGACCTGACAGGGTACGTTAATGTTACCATTGTATAGGTATGGGATCGTTAATAGGTCAGGATATTACAGGGCCGTGTCATCGAGACTTCATGTTCAGGTATACATGCTTTCCATTGTTCATCGAACAATCCGGTTCTCAGTCTCCGCGACACGTTTAGGACATACTCGACCGGGACCTCTTCTGGAAGGAAGAACTGATGAACGCGAACAAGGATCGCGTCTTCGCTTGTGTTGCAAAGGACAGATATCTGACGCCCAGTGTGAACAACACTTCACGCTCATTTGATAGTGGGCTCTCTGCTCGCCATGCCTACGCCATTCTCAGAGCGGTCGAATACAGGGGAAGAAGGTTTGTCAAACTCAGAAACCCCTGGGGAGAGACAGATTGGTCCGGTAAATGGAGCGATGGGAGTAAGGAGTGGGTTCAGGAGAAGTGGTCAATTGATGAAGCTCTCCACGCATTAGAATATAAGTTCGGAAATGACGGAGAGTGCGTGCCTTCTTCCAATCTTTGCTAGGGTACTACACCAACGCCTCTTCGATTATCTTCCTGTGTGTGTTAGGTTCATCATGGAATACCACGATTTTCTCAAAATCTGGGACTCGGTTCCTAAATGTCGCTTATTCAACGACGAGTGGGCTTTGAGTCAACTATGGTTGTCCGTGGACACCGGTGTCTTCCCAAAGCCTGCTGAGTTCGGTGATGTTTCTTGTGAGATGGTCCCTCAACCCGGCCGTAAGCCTCGCGCTAATATATTTGAAGTCACCTTTTCACTATCTCAAGATACTAGCGCAGTGATCGTTCTAGCCCAGTTAGACAAGCGTTATTTCTTGGGGATGGAAAGTCTAGTCAACTTCAGTCTTGAGTTCTGCATTTACAAGAAGGATGGAGACGAACCTGTGGCGTCGTCGAACCATCATGGGCTTTGGGATCGAAGCGTCGACATAGAGATCGATTTGGAAGCCGGTGATTATGTCGTTCAGGTGAAGGATGACTGCCACACTTGCGCTGCCTAATACTGGAGTTAACGATAAATATAGATTCGAATTGACCGTACCTCAGAAAGAGCGGACGATGATCCACTGTCAGCCCTTAATCATTTGTCAGGGAGAAGAAAGTATGCGCAGAAACATGCAGAAATGCTCAATAGTCACTCTATAGCCGCAAGTACGTGCATACGAATAGGTCTCCTTGGACTTCTTCAATATGGACACTTACCATACCCTTTCCCGCAGACTTCGATGCATCGTAAGGATCATGCCCTTTTCTCTTTGCAGCTTTCTTATACGACGCAGGAAATATGGGTCCAAGATGCCTTTATCAGCAGCAACTTTTCGAGGAAAGGACCTTACGACACTGGAAGCTCACATGCATGGTGTTCAAGAGCAACACATTCGTACGAAGAAAGAGGCCTTTCCTTTACAACTAGAGCCGCCATCTAAGGGTACCACAAACAATACCAAGGCTAGCGTGTCCGTTCAGGTAAACGTCGAACAAATCTCTAAGGAAGACGCCGACACATCCACCCCATCCGTCCCAATTCCCGTCGATGAGGCAGGGAATGATGATCCTCCAATGGTGTATCGAACAAAGTATGTCTGTGCCACAGATATTGTATCTTATCATTCGGACTCTATCTAAATCCTGGCATCAAGCGAGTCTCCAAACCGTGTATTATCGCCACCCCTTGAGACCACGCATACATCATCTCCACCTTCTGATTCTATGCCCCCCGCCAACCCAGCACCTCCGAATGAAGACACACCTGATTCTTCTGTAACGAAACAGCCACCATCACCTAGCAGTCCTGCGAAAACAACACCCGGAGACGTCAAATGCAGCGGCTGTAGTCAATTCATCAAGGGATTTAGATATCGCTGTTTGCAGTACGCCAGTTTCGCCTTTCACTCTCGGTTAAGCTCTAACTGTTTGTGTCAACATCAGTGTTACATGCTTTGACTACAATCTCTGCCCATCCTGCATGGGCGTACAAGTGCATGCATCAAGCCATAGATTGGTCGGAATCTCGGACCCAGACGAAGCAGCTAAGTTCAAGAGCAGCTACGAGGCAAGTACCCACATAATGTTCGCCGGTCCTATGAGGTACTCACTAGCAATGAATGTGGTACATCTCAGTCTTCTTGGCCTCCACCACCGGATTCGTCAAACGTCACCGTAGGTCTTCGTGTGTACACTCACAAGGAGTGTCATGTCCAGATTCAAGGACAACTGAGGTGAGGCAGCTTCGCCGACGAGTGATTGATCTGCAATCTGATCGTCGGAAAATCCACAGGCATGGAAGCGTCATTCGCAGTTTCATGACGGACGCGAGAGTTTTATGAGGGAGATACCGCAGATCGCGCTGAAACTAGATGTATGTGTCTATGAGATGTTATGGCCTTCGTCATATGGGCTTTTATCTGGTGGAACGCTTACCGCGGGCTGCTGATTCTCTTTGTCGGACATTGCTGTTGGTCGTGTCAGGTATGTATATATTTAGGACAATGCATGAAGTAATTAGCGTAATATATAGCTGGTCATCGAGGCGCATGTAACGTGTTACTAGGATGGATGGATGCAACGAAAGCAGGTATAAGAGTTGAGGGCATACACGTCAAACAAGCTCGTAGGCGTAGTGAGAATCGATACCGAGACAAGGTGAACAGAAAGTAAAGGTATGTTGTACAGAGCAGGATCAGAAAATGCAAGTGTCTCCAGGAAACGTACTGCATCGTGATACATAGCAACTTGAAGGTGGTGGCATGCTGTAGGATCAAGGAAGATAGGAAAAGATGTGCTGTATGTATGATGGTGATGTTGAAGGACAGGAGGTGCATGTGAAGTGACCTGTATCAGAGAGTGAAACTTGGAATCAAGAGAAATCTCGTAGCGATCATCGCCAAGGATGAAAGCGGAGAGGGAAATCAACAAAGAGAAGGGAGAATGCACCCATATAGTGTACAGAAGGCTGTCCGTGCCAATCGTCCGCGTCGAGATGTAGTTTGCGACAGACCTATAAACATGATAGCCGCCTTGAACGCCCGCACACTCGCACCACCAAGGGCTTCACTGCTGCGCCTACGGCGCATCGTTCCCAACAGCACCCACCCCACCGTCCATGGATAAGTGTGACGAACTCACAGCCTCCACCGCCCCATGCGCCCATAGCAGTGTATTTGCCTTGGGGACCTGACCCGAACCGGATTGCGCTACAGCCCCATCCACTCTGCATGAAACTGGCGCCAATCTTCCCCATCACTATCGTCCGCGAGCGTATCGCTATCCGCATCCGCAGCTCCTGAACCTACAGCGTCAACCAGCTCGTCGACATCCCATTCCTCGCTTGAACTATCGCTCAACTCTGCCTCGTCACTCAGGCTTGAGTCATCGTCGACGTCCGCCTCTACACCAGTATCTGTGCAGGAGTCGAGGACCAGGTCTGCGTTGAGTTCAGATTTGGACTCGGTGAAACTGGGCGTGCGGTACGGGTGCGAGGCGAAATAGGGTACGGAAGCGGACGGAAATAATGGTAATGAAGTAGGACGAGGTCGCGATGGGCGGCTGGCCGTTAATGATGGCGAGTCTTGGAAGACCAGTATCTCATTGGAGCTGGGGGGCATTGTTGCCGATGAGAAAGGGGTCGCTATTGGTTCAAGAGGGACGGATTTCTCGTCGTTGGAATTGACAGAGTACATCGAGGATGCATCGTCATCGCTATGGAAATTCGTATAGCGGAGGAATTAGCATTATGACTTCCAAAGAGCTGAGATGATCAACGTACGAGGCGACAATATCCTTTAATGTGCTCTTCTGTGGGGTCCACTGATCGAATTGAACACCCTCTCGAGAAAGCGCACCACAGGGAAGCGTCCGTCGTCGAGCGGTCTTCAAGACCTTCTCATCTATGGCATTGGGGAGCAGTGGCGAAACGTGGGACTTGTCGGTCCACGAGTTGGTGGTGGTAGTCGTCGAGTTGCCGGTGCTACGCACGAATAGTCGAGATGTCAGGAAGGTCTTCCAGTACGACAGTGATGACGAGCGGGATCGTATGGATGGGAAGGACGAGGAAGGTGGTGATGATGGTGATGATTTGGCCGTGGAAGCATCACGAGGCCATGGGACTGTGTGGCGAGTGGGAGCGGGCTGACGGCGAGAGATCACTCGGAGACCCGAAGAGAAGAGTGTAGAATAGTTGTAGTTGTTCTTAGAGCAAGATGCTTCGGCATTCGAGATGGACTGCATCGTAGTCAGAGAGAGGCCCGGTACAGTGAAGGGGTACGGGGAAGAGGCAGGATAGGGTAGACTCGTTCCACCGAGTATATGTAGGTTCTAGAGTTAGGTACAGATTTGCCTGCAGGTCGGGAGACAGATATAGAGCAGCCAAGACGGGGGAAAAGCGGACGTACGTGGACTACGACACGTTACGCCCAACCGCGATCTTTTTGTACTGCCGGACGTCACTTCCTCCCATTATCATGATTCGGATCAATTGCCTAGGCAGGGCAGGCATCTCCAACGCCTCAAGCGCTCACAGTTATTGCCATCGAGCGATGCATATGATATGTTCGGTACGCACTTCCCTGTACTTCTGGCAGTGCGGCGCGTACGAGATGAAATTCGATCTGCGACTGTGAGCGAGCCTTGACGTCGGAATCCGACTCCCGACGTGTACGTATACCGCGATCATATGATGTTCCTTGCTTTTGTCTGTACGATGCAAAGGAACGACATCCCAAAGCTGGTAAGTAGCGATAATGATGACAGGATAAGGCTGTCGATGGGACAGATGAAGACTGTACACTAGGATACACCATGAAACCCGACATCGATGTCGACGAACCCGAGTGATCCTCTTTTGAATCTGATCTTGGACAGAGGACAGAATATCATGATGTTGGGACGCACTCGATCTGATTCATGGCGAAGACGGTACCGCAGTGCTCAATGCGCAGTGCCAATCCTGTCTCAATCGAACGAACAGAAGGAAACAGAAGACTGTCACGGCCGGACATTCGAGGCGAATGTCCCGGATGCGTGCCCTGCCTGTGGCTTCATGGGGAACGTGCACCTATTCTAGCCCATTCTGATCCATAGCAACGACTTAGGGGCAGACAGAAATATGTCACCGGATACGTTTCTACTAATTCGGCATCGAGGAGATATGTCCGTCGACAGGGCCATTTGTCCGTGTTCCTCGGCGCGCTCAAGGTCGACAGTTGTGCGCTATGGCAGTGCATAGCAGGCATGCTTTCACCGGCCATTCAGACAAGTCTTTTGCGAGGAAGATGGGTGGTAAACTACCCAAAGCTACGAGCCCTGATATCATCAGAGGTCGCAGAGAATAATCGGACGCAGAAGAACACGACGAAGCGGAGATTCTGAATGCATCCGCATAATGAATGAAGTAACTCGGAATCAAAACGGAGGTCGGACCACGTTTGCCGCCACCCTGCACTCGGGACGCAGTTAGAGTACCACCTCTGTCATCGTGGATCAGCACCTCTCCATGGAATATGCACGAACCATTCATTCTGGAGCTCAGCTGGTCTCCCGCCAACGCGAAACTTGACAACGGCTGCATATCGCATCAAGTACGTTGCTCGTCCCGGAGCATGGAAAGCTCTGTATTGGCTGCTATGGGTGGGAAGTACGCTTGGAGAGTCGATGGCACTCCACCTCATACCAGTACACTATCGCGGCCGTAATACACCCACTTTGCGCTGGTTGTACAGTTGGCGACCAGGATCTCAACAATACATAAGTGGCGTTGCAATCAGTCCTAATGTGGCTATGGAATCCCGGAAGATGTTACTTACTGAAATGCTATTCCCTATCGAGTCCGCATACGATCATCTCATTTGTGGCGTGTCTTCAGCGCTAATAGTAGTCGCAGTGCCTCGTAGGGCGCTCGTACCCATTTATCTTGCGCGGCGAAACCAGGTCGGGCACTAAACTAGAATGAGTAGAATCGGTACGAACTTGCGGTTGACTATGGCTACCGGTAGGAATGATTCAGCAACATACTTCCCCGCAAGGTTCAGCGGAGGTAGAAAAAAACGAAGGCACGACGCTAGCCTCGTGGCCCACATCGCAACATCTCTGAACCTCTCTGCCTGGAAAAGGAAGGAAGGGAGCTCAGCAATCTCGCCAAGGTAGAATAAGGAATTAAATCTAGACACTGTGATAGCCATAGAGCACGGGTCTGCAATGTAGAGCAAGCACATCAATTCTCCATGCAAATACTTAGGAAGATGCTCTAAGAATATGACTTGCTCTTGGCCGCTCTCCGTTGCAACTCGTTTCACGCACTAGTCGGACCGGGTGGTATCCACGCCATGAATAGCTTGCTCGACCATACCTTCTCGGGGAAGGGGAGAAGAAATGACGATGAACCAAGACCCGAGATCGCTGCGCTGCGCTCCGGATACGATGACCAGGCCATATACATACAGCATTCTCATTGCTATGGGTTCAAACTCGAAGGAGATGTGGCCCTATGGCTCTATCGCTGCTGATTAAATCGACAGTTGAGGTTGATGTAGGCAAAAGCGCTCGGCTTTCACTTTGTCCCACAGGCGTCACGCCATTCGGCAATCCGTACACACATTCCCTGACCATTTGCATGTATGTTCCGTTTTTGATGCGCCCAACGATTTGTGGGTAGAGGCATGGTTGGTTGCCCCACAGGTTCATATAACAACCGGTGGTACAGACGTCTAAGGCTTGACACCCATTCCCGAATACCATCTGAAGCATGTTAAGCTAGAGCTTCGGAAGGCTTTGGGGCGCATCATAGCAATAATCTACGTGCGTATACCGGTCGTTTGTCCATGACGGTCGGAACAAGGATCAGCATGTCGCCATTCCGGTCCCGGGTCAAGCAGTACTCTAAAGATGAGGATCGCTTGGAATGGGTCATGAGATATCGATACCCACCACATCCAATCCATAAGTACACTCGAGTCACTTCCAGACACCGAGAGCAAACTGTGGGCGTAGTCTTGGTCCTGAAACACTCGCGAGAAGTCTAGTCGAGCCACTTCCAGGATTGACTGGAACATGATGGAAGGACCGCCACAACGGCGTCGCTATTTTCAGCGATCATGGAATCGTGCACTATACTGGCTGGGACCAAGAATGGTCCCAAGAGAAACAAAACCGTCTCATGGCCTCTCACAGATCTCAATTTCCAGGGGATTACTGAATCATAAAGAGGCCAATCCAAGGCTATCCCGTTTGTGGGCACGAAACATCTATGCATGAACGTGAAGCCCGAACTGGTGATCAATCACCATGGTGTGTAGTAACCGCTAATAGCGGGAACAAGTCAGAATTAAGGCGTGAGGATGCGGATAAACCCAACCATCGCAGAACTTTGACTGCCGTGTCATCAACGCAGTCGTCACTTGAGACGCACAAGCGGATCCGCTGAAGACTCCCTAGCGGTAAAGTTGCGAGAACATATGACGAAAGACACAGAAACAGCAGTAAAACATACAGCGGTACGCATACCCTTGATGGATCTGGTGCTTCATCCGGAATCATGATGATGCTGCAGATTTCAGCCAGGGTTGACCGTCAAGAGTCACCGCCAATGCGATGGTTCATCCGCAGATGGACACTGCTACTCCTCGTTCTTCCCTTGGCAGAGATCAGGATTTAGAGCAGATCCACCAGGCCTCGCCTCGGCGACACCGCCGAAACGACTTTGCCCTCGAAGCCCACCCTCGTTCGCGACGAGATCATACTGACCGGGCGCATACACCGTCAAGTCTTCGGTGTTCTCACCGCCACTGTCCGAGAGTAGCTTCTCGAGGTTCGTCGACTCGAGGAAAAGCGTCTCGGCCTTCTAGATGCGCCCTCCTGCTTCGAGTACGGCCTGGTCCGCGTGGCGAAATCAGAAAGGTTTCTTACAGCGCTTTTCACCTCGATGCGGAATCGCGAGTTTCGCGATTTCGTGTTGCCACATGCTCGCCACAGACGTGTAAGCTGACCAACTGGGACCCCGAACCACCTGGTAAGATCCGGCACTTGCACATGCACAAGTTCGAGAGAATATGATTGAAAGGAGATGCACTAAATTGGCTGGATGGAGTATGTAACTCACCTCTCTACGGAATCTGCAACCATCAGGCCCATATTCAGGAGGAATCATAACTAAAACATTGATGAGAGTTGTCTATTATGTGGTTGTTGACTTCCAACAGTGCTCCCTCCTAGATATTGTCTCTCAGTGATTGTCTGAACCACTAAGGTATAAGTATGGATGAGTTGCAAAATTTTCGGAAGCATAATAAAGGCACTTTGGCAAGAGGAACGACTTTCATGACACTGCGTTGCGGCTGGCCACAGCGATGCTACTTACAAGTGGCGCGGATTTCTGCAACAGGTGTCCCTGCGCGGTGAGCTCCGATCTGCTCCGAGAGCCGTGGCGAGACTGTGGCAACACGAAAATTCGAAACGCGTTTTTCCGCATCGAGGTGAATGTCGCTGTAACGAGTCGTGGGTGACTGTTCGGTGAGCGTGTGTATCAGTGAAGGGATATAGTATGATCTGACCAACTCGAAGGCCAGGGAAGAAGAGGAAGACTTGCCCATCCGGGATGTAACCTGGCGATTTCGAGCGTTCCGCGACTCGCGTCCTGATTTCTACCATCGCATTGCTCTTCAGAGGAATAGAGAACCAATTGACCTTCGACAACGGCGGGCCAGCCGGTCTCGCATACATCCAAGAAGCAATCCCGGGTCACGAAACAACTGACAACACTGTACATGCGTGTGATCCTGCGTTCCAGAAACACAAAATGAAAAGAACGAGGCGACGTGGATCCAAATTTGGGCGACAAAAAAAGACTGGGGGACTCACAAGTATTGTTCCCAGCAGAAGGAAATGGCCTTGAAGGGGCCAAGATCACGCCGACTTGCACTTCTCCGATCTCCTTCGCAATGAGATGCGCCTCTGTTGCTCCAACAACTGTCAGATGGATATTTATCCCGAGCTTCTTAATTTCTACCTTCAGAGGCAGCAGTAGCAATCATGTCTGGGTTAAAGCTAGAATCATGATGGGTATCTTGCCCTAGAAACGTACAAATAGAGACATTAGCGTCGCCACTATCAATCATTCAATCCGTCAAGCGAAGCGAAGTCGAGTCTAGTTAGCCTGTTCCCACCGTTGCTTTGCTTTGATTCGATGGCATGCGTTGACAGTTGGAGGGAAGACTAGAAGTTTGGAACGCTGCCAGACTTACCGACGCCACATCCGCAAATGCACTCGTCTCAGTCCCAGCCCCTGTGGCACCACCCAGATTCTCATCCTCCGCATTCACATTCGCCGACGATACCGAGGCAGGCAACAACCTCAGAACAGTGACCTGTGTACTCACACTCGGAGTCCTCGCCTGGGCTCCAAAATACTTCACAGCGACATACAAACCCTGCACCTCCTTGACCACCGCCCCCCTCTCAAGTTATGTTTCAGAGAGCAATAATGCGACGTCTATTCGGTCCCAAAAGCGTGCGTGCGTGCCTATACGGTACCAGAACAAAAAACAACTTGGCTTCATTGACATACACCGCGGGGAAAAGCAGAGGGACGAAGAGGTGACGGTGGTAAAACGTACAACGGGAGTAGTATAGTTTCCTATATGCAAATGTGGGTCGACGAACCTAGATAGATGGCATATATGGTCAGCACGGCTTCAGACCATAACATTACAGCTAACATCTGCGACACAAACGACTCGCGTAGGCATAAACCTTTCCTTTTGGATCCAAATTATACATATGCTTGCCTGCATTCTTCATTATAGCCTCCACAAGTCTCGGGCCTTCGCCATACCCCCAAACTCCCCTCACCGTCCTTACATTCATCGGCACATCGTCCCCGCCATCTGCGCCTCTCTCAACGGGAATCTTCTCGCTGGTCTAGATCGCTGTGTGCTTTGCCAGTGCATCTTGAGTACCCTCCACAAACCTATCGGATCCTACATGGAAGTGATAGTTCGAAGGTGGACCGGGCAGCGTAGAGAGAGCACGACAGCACGCAAGTGTAGATCCGGCGCGGGTGGAGATACGAGACGTGGAATGTTGAGCGCCAATGAAGACACATTATGTCAAAACTCCGGGTAAGGCAAGCGACTCAGAGACGCGTCCGACTTATGTGCGACGCGTCTGTCTTCGACGCGAGGTGATGCCTCTGTGTATGTTAGCAGAAGACGCTAGAGGGATACTCCAAGCAACAAAAAATCCCAGTTCAGTTAATATATGACAACGACGTTCACCGTTCTCGTCAACTAGCAGCCTGAAGAGAGTGCGACAATATCACACCGTTACCTTGCCAAGTTTCTCGGTCCTGTGTGATGATACATGTGTAAAAAAGCCGTAGGAGGCGGAAGGGCCCTACCGTCGATGACCACTTGGAACTATAGGAGAATATAGGAGATGCATGAGCACCGTGCATGAAGATGATGACGAACGCTGCTCGACGTCGGCGGAAGACTGGCGGAAGGCGTGAAAACAGTCACGATTCTTTCCGAAACGCGCCTGTCACAGCACTGTCACAACCCGTTGCGATTTTGGCCAAATATTTGTGCCAAGTACTACTGGCAGCTGCCATCATCTGGCCACCATCGAATCTAAGCCTTCAAAACCTCACTTTTCGTCTCAATCACCAGTCTAGCTTTGTATTTCTCACATACAGTGGCCCACTAATCAATACTTATATATGACATTATACTTAATAAGGTGCGTCTGCCTTACGACGACGAGCAGAGTACGCACGAAAATCGCCTCCGAGTCTTGCGTACTACTAGCCATGAACATACAAGCTAGAATTTTTGGGCTATTTCAGCTCCTGATTTGACTGCGTACAGTTCTTTCCAAAAGTCAGTAGTGACACGCTCATGGTGAATCCGCGTCCTGTCGGTTTCATCGCCACCGACAGAGCGTCTGACTTCTCGTGTTCCATTCAAAAGTACCAGACGATAGAGGCAAAGAACGCGATTTGCGCAACAAACAATTCTCCATAATACCGCGCACTTCCACTTGTCGCATCTCCAGGAGCAGGGGTAGTGCCTGCACTTGTGCTCGTTACGGATGAAGACCCCGTGGCGCTCGTTACTCGGGCATCCGCAGACACTGAAGCTGAATGCGTTTCGCTGCTACCTGGAATCAAGCTTGTCTCAGAGCCGTTGCTGGTGTTGATTGGGGAACCTGATCCTGCGCTCTCCGAGTCTGCTCTCGTACCAGGAGGTCCCTGACTGTTTTCGAAGGTCGAAGAAAGAGTGGCGATCTCGGTCGTAGTTTCCGTGCTGATACTGTTCTGAGGTGCTGTTTGCGTCGATGCAGAGGGAGATGGAGTCGGTCCTGTATTTATCGATAACGTCGATGTAATAGCATTGACACCTCTATTAGACGATGCCTCCGTAGTACCTGGAGTGCTGACATCTTCAGTAATCGTATTGACGAAGGTCTGCATCGGAGAGCTTTGTTAGCGCAGATGACCGCAATGCATGCGCTGGGACGTCATGGGTGCTCACAGGAGCAACGGTGTTGCTAGGTATGCCAGTGTCGGTGTTCGTTTGCTCTGTCACGGTGTTCACAAAAGCCTGAGGAACATGATCATATAAGTGATAGGGAATAGATGAGCACGGATGATATCAGACACACGAGGGTACTTGTCTCGTCAGGCTCAGACCCGAGTGGCGGTCTGGTTGTCGGTGGCAGAATACTGCTTTCAATTGCTGTCGTGTTGATGCATAGTCCTATAAATGGATCACCATAGGTTGCAGTCGCGGGGAATGCACAAGACACACCAACGACCTACATACCGTAGCGTGCCATTATCCACAGAAACAAAAGCATTCGATGTTGATGCCGCATAGCAGGAGCAGAAATGACAGTGACGAAGTATGTGCAAGACGATACATATTTATGGTTGTGCACTCAATGGAAGAATATGACTCACCGCGAGCTCTCTCCCACACAAATCTCCGTCGTGATGATGGATGATACACGACGAAAATCTCCTACTGGATCTGATGGTAGACCCACTCACAGATCGCCCTACGAGCTTTGTCTGATGTTACAGTACTCTAGAGCAGATCAACCCACCGTCGTCAGCATTCTATCCTATACTGCACTATCATAGGTGAGATAGTAGAGCTTACTACGGATCGAACAAGTAGATGTCTTTGTGCAGCATTCACGTCGAATGAAAGAGTTTTCCAGGTCCTTCCTTCACACAAGATATCATCTATTGGATGGCTCCCCATGGAAGTCCTGAGGACAGAAACCTGATGCAAAGGTGGACGAAACAGTGATCTCGGGCATGTAGCCAGGTGTGAGAGATCACGATGTTCAATCATGCATAATGATGCAAATCCATCACGATGTCATGATCGTCTTGCTAGCAGCGATCGACACTCGGTATCGCATCCCTACCGCACCCAAATATTAAGAATGCAAGCAAATACATTCGTAGGCTATCTAAGCCTACAGAGAGGAGATACGACCGCTCATTTGTAGCAGTGAAGGGATCCTACTGAGTAATAATGCGGCGCAGGAGGACACGTAGTGCTATGTAGGGCAGCTCACGAAGTCTATCGCCTTTCTCAGGGCAATAGTTCCCTAGAGTTCCACTTACTTCCCATCGGCACTTTGCTAAGCTCCAGATCATAGGTACGCCTCTTAGATTTGAAGTTGGGAGTTTGATGAGTTAGTTCCTGGTTCACAGTGTGCTGATTGGATCAGTTCGGCACTGACATGATACTTATATGCTCTCTCAATCCTCTCGTACTATCACTATCACCATCTCGTCGCCTCGTCTGCATCGCTAATAGCATGCCCTATGCTTCTCCGGAGTCTCATCAATACTATCGAGTACTAGATTTAAAGACACGCGCTACTGTTTACGAGGATTTGGGCTCACCGACTACCAACGTCTTGATTCCCTCCATCGTCTGTCAAAGTGTATGCTACGGTTCGTATGAAGCGCAAACTCGCACGCATTCTGGGTCCAACTGACACTCACGTTGGCATGATATTTCAGGTGTCTTTCTCACATTGACCGTGATATGTATTTATATTCTTAGGTACGTACCGCAAGACCAGTCAAAATCCATTGCTTCTGAAGTATTTACTATGTCAGTCTATCAGCTCAAAAGACCATAGCTCTATAGCTCTGAAGTATACTATAATTTCTATCATCATCGTGATGTTCGCTGTCTCGTCGACGTATCTGGCCATCTCGATAGCGATCACTGACTTCCTCAACGGAGTTCGCGGTCCTGTACCTGGCTGGTACTTTCTAGCGCAGTGGTACCTGCCCACAGTCAATGTGAGTCTTACTGATGGTCCACTCTAATGAAGGCCTTGGAGTTCGCCGTTGATCGTTGGTTCTAAGAGTGTTATTTCTACCTATGTATTAGTGGGTCTTTAGTGACTGTATACTTGCTCACAGAGCATGGCTACTTTGGGGCCGAAGAAGACTTATCGCTGTTGTTGCGTTTACCTTTCTGGCATCATCGTTAATATCTCGTGAGTAGTGCACTTTCTATCTCTCAAGGGCCTGACTTCCGATACTCATGATCGACCTTGATATTGATGCCTTAGTTGGCATAACAGGGTCCTCGAACCTCGGGAACGTTAAGGTCTCCTTTATCTCAAGCATCATCACCTTGACAGCAAACCTCGTAGCCACGGGGGTCATCAGTCTCAAAGCATGGTGATTGCTTTCACATATTTCCTCGCTGCCTGAATTCACGGCTTCCTTCCCCAGGATATATCGTAGTTTCATCAAGACCAATCTAGGCAGCTCCAGCCGTCGCACGAAGGTCGAGAGAGTTCTGGCTATATTAGTTGAGTCGGGGGCCTTGTACTGTTTCTTTTGGGTACGTGGAGGCCGTGAACCTCCCTGCATCCAACCTTCAGTGTCGCGAATGAAACCCTTCATTGGATATTTTCTGCATAGACCTCAGTGATCGCGACAAACTGCGGCTGGATATTCCGTACTCAAAAGACAGTCAACGATTTTTCCCCGGCACTTGAATCGGACTTCGTCACGAGCAATATCCTACAGGACGTTTCTGTGCATCTATCTGTGAGTCCGAAGACTGCGTAACACCTTTTTATCCAAACCTCCCACGTTCTTACTTCTTTCGTCGGACAACCTACTTATCGAATATACCGTTGATCTCACTAGGGAATCTACTCTGTCATCATAGTCGTGCTGGTCCATCTGCAGATGACCATTTGGGACACGATATACACAATCGAAATTCCGCTTCCGCCTTTGACCGTCGCTTCAGTTCGATCGCACAACATACCTACAAGTACACTAACAAGCTCGGACCGAGCATCGGCGGGAACAGCTGAGGTTCCACAGTATGCCGTGATGCCGGCTGGTATAGAAGGTCTTGAGGCAAAAGGAGGTAGTGTAGAAGGAAGTAGTGGACAAAGCTGAAGATACCGAGCGTGGGGATGCCGAAAGTAGTGCTAGTTCGGACACGATCATGCTGTTTTGCGTGTAGTAACTATTCAGCGTATCAACCAGCTCAGCAGGGCATCCAGGTGGATACAGACTGTACCACTACTTGTAGGTCCATGATGAATCTGGCCGCCCAGGGACGCCGCCGCCGGCAATGAAACATGGCACGTGCCGGCAATGAAACGGCTGCCTTGTTCCCAAAATGGACGTCCCTTTAGAGCCTTGCCATCCTCGGCGGCCAAGTGGCCCGCGTATATAAGACCTCTCGTCTGACTGCGGACTGGCCCATCTCTTCTTGCTTTCAACCACCATCACTGCTTTGACTGCGATCTCTCTTGACCCATTCCTCTAACGTGAACTTGATTTGGAACTTGACGACATGTCTTCTTTCTCGTCGTCGAAGGACTCGCGTAATGACTCATCTGGCGAACACCGTGGCCATAGCGAAGTCAGTAATGCTACTCGCGTGCACGGCTACCAGTCAGCCCAGCAATCTCAATCCACCGAAACACGTACTCGAGGTTCCACGACCTCCCAGGACGCCGCCGATCCTTACTTGCCCTTCGTGCCCGGGAATAGCACAGACCAGGACGAAACCCACAACGAGGACTCCGACGAGGATGATTTTGTTCACGTCGTGCCGTTGTCCGAAAGCAAGGGGAAAGGCCGTATGCCCGGCGAGAGGAACGAGAAGTTTCAACCCCACGGCCCTCAACGAACCTCCTCGAATAACGCTCAAGCTACGATGGGCGAAAGCGATGAGGAGCGCAAAGCACGCCTGAGACCAATCGGACCCTCGAAGGAAAGGTTCGTGAGGATGTACTCTGCGGATGGTCGTCTCTCGAGGCTTGTGCATAATCCGGCTTATATTGCACCTGTTGACGAGCGTTCGGTCTCGGTGAGTTTTTTCATTCGTGTTGTACAGCCCTGTGGAGGGGTGCTAATGTGCTGACCGAATGTGATTGCTCGGTTGTGAATGCTCATCAGCCCGACATGGAACTCGAAGAACCGCATACTTATCCGCCCAGGCGCTCCTACGATGACGAACCTACCTCCACCGCGGATATCACCCAGGCCATCTATGGCAAATTCCATCCCATCCAGCACTACAAACCTGCTAAGCCGACCACACCGCCTCAGACGCAGGACCTTGGCGATATTCCCAGCCATTACGCCGGCAGGCAGAGATCGTTCCTAGGTCTAGGATTCGGAGGTTTGGTGTAGTTTTCGAAAAGATTGAACGGAGCGTACGAGGAGGAGGAAGAGCAAGAGGAGGAAGAGCAGGAGGAGGAGGAGCAAGATTATATGCGGAATGTTTAGGTGATGGTTACGATTAGATGTTGGATTGAGCTTCGGGTCCGGGCGTTGTGGTTGTGGAGTTAGCGTGATACTGGGATGAAGATAGATTGAAAGGTGTACGTGCTTTGATAGCGCATGCTACCGCCAAAGGATTTCATAGAATTGGACTTCTCCTCTCTACCTTGTGCTTTCACGCTCTATTTTGCTTTGCTTATGCTGTTTATGTTATCGTCGATTTGAAACCTGACTGTCCTACGATTCGTGCATGCATATGAACCTCTACGTACGACTGCAAAATTCGCAGGAAATAGACAAGTAGCAAGAGGCTAGCGATTTAGATGTTGTGAGTGATTCGTACAGGTGGGCCGTCCTTGGAAACGACATGGATGGCCCGGGCCACTCAACTGAGTGACGAGTGAGATACGGCAGCAGCGTAGAAACGCTCTTGAGTGAGCAGAGACACAACCATGCCTTATTTACTCTACCATCCGCGCAACAAATGAAGGAACAGGATGGCCCTCAAGCAAGTTCGGATGAAAGCCGTCCTCACAGACAAAATCCTGAGCAAGGGACACTACGGCACGACACTCAAGGCGCCATTCTCCAGTTGAACCACAGTTTGTGTATATGCCCATGATACTGCGATGCATATTCCACAGGGTTAGTCAACAGGCAGGATATGGGTTGCAGTGAGTAGTGATTGTGGGCGAGTCGTAAGAAGTTGGGACCAGGAGCGAGCAGAAGAAGAGATAGTCTCGTGAGGGTGTGCGAACTCGAATAGGATATGATACAGTACAGCTGGATGATGGAGTTGTGCGGAGGAAAGCGTGGGCGGTAGCGAGCTATAGTGTTCAGACCAAAGGCGAACTATGGAGCACGTCAAAATATTCGTCTCACGACATCAACATCAAAGAGAAGAATACGACGTACCAGGAATGTACGTATTGATGAGATCAAAAGGAAGACGGGCAGAAGCTCAAGCTGGGTCATGACGAAGCCTTCTTCCTTGCCTCCTCAGCCTGCAAATTTGCAGCCTCAAGCATCGGTTTTTGTCTCTCCGCCAATATTCTCCTCTGGTTGAAATACGCGACCTATCCCGTCATCCACAGTAAACAATTACATTAGACCTTACACCCTTACACAAGCACAAAGTCCTCCCATAAAACCGTCCGACCCAATATCAAACCAACTCGATATGACAAAACAAACACGAGCTAAGACTCACCCAACTCTTCGCACAGCTCCCCTCATAAGCCCCCCTCTCCTTCGCACAGATCCCCGCACCTTCCGTACCCGCCTTGATCACTTTCGCACCATCCAAACACGCAAAATACGTGTCTCTTGCGTCCCAGCATTTTTGTCGGTCGGTGCGCGAGGTCGCGGTTGGTTTTTCGGGTTCGGATGTGAACCAGCCCATGGTGCGGTCGGAGCGGTAGAGAATTGGAATGTTTCGAGGGCTCGGTAGTGGAATGGTTGGGATTTCAAGGGTAACCTTTAGGTGCCGGTGTGATGCGACCAAAAGAATGCTAGAGGATAACGGAAATAATACGGAGCAGCAAGGGAGTCGGAGAGAAGGCTGGTTGCGCTGTGGCGGCGTGGCGGGATCGAGTGAGTCACAGTCGTTACACAGTCACGCGTGACTGTTCGCGACTGCCGATCAAGTGTGGCGAAGTGTGGCGTCGACAAGAACCTGGCGTAAAGTGGACGCGAACGAAAAGCCCAACCAGCATCGGATTGTCGCGAGCAGCACAACATAAAATAAAACATATACTACGTAAAAACGGAAACTCCGCTGAAGGAACAACCAAGAAGACAACCGCCTATCCATAAACCACTACCTGCTGCACTCAGTCTCTCCAGATTCAATAGGAACACGATCATCTAACTTATGTACAGTTGTATTACAAAGCGCGCATAAATAAGACTCAACTCCCAAGTCACTCACAGACTTCACACATAACAACATTATCCTCCTCACTGCCCGCCCCCAATCCTCTGCCACAAACCTACCCCCTGCGCTTCGCCATATTCATTCCCATAGGGAGCTCCTGCATCATAACCAAGTCCATACATCTCTCTCAACTCCCTCTTCCCCCCATGCAACCTCTCCACCCTCCTTGCCCCTCCGTCGTCAACTCTGTTCGGACCCATAATCTCCCTAACACGTGGAACACGCATTGCTCGTGACGATGCCTGCTCTTCGAATCCGGAATTGGAGTCGTAGAAAGGTGGAGGTGGTGGCGAAGAAGGTGGTGGTGAAGACGACTGCATATATTCCCATACCCTCTGCGGATCGAAGAACGACACACTCGACGAGTTCGGAACACGTGGACCGACTGCAGTTGAAAGCTCCTCTGCCGACTCATGTGGCGGAGGTGGATGCGATGGCGGTGGGGCGACAGGAGCAGGCGTCCGTGGCATCGACAAAGGCCGCTCGTCGTCGTCTTCATCGTCATGTTCAACCCTTGTCTGGGTCGTAGTCTCTCTACCCTGTCTACCAGTCGTATCGGCATGACTCCTCGCACTCTGACTGACAGAGCCCGGGCCCGGCCACGCAAACAAATCATCATCCACATCCACCCTCGGCTCCGCACGTCGACCAAATATCCCACCCTTACTTCGACCACCGCCGCCGTCAATTCCACCCAACGTGTCCTCTTCACCCCATAACCACCCCCTAAACGCAGACCTATCGAACATCATCACGACCACGATCGCAACGAACACAAGCGCGATCGTCGTCTGTAACAACCTCCGATCGAGCGCTTCCTTCCTCAGTTTGCGTCTTCGAGCGGAGGAGGTCGTAACGGCGGTCGTGCCTGTACGAGTGCGCGTGCGCGTGCGAGTATTGGTCGAGGAGGGCGCGATGGTGCGATATCCAGCAGGTCCGGGTGTACGTGGAGAAGTGGGGGCGACCGTGCCTGTGCGGCGAGATCGAGTAGCGGTGGTGGTAGTGGAGGTAACGGTAGGATTGGAGGCGTCACCGGCTCGACGCGAACGAGTAAGAACGGGGGAGGATGGTTGTCCCTCACCACGCTCTCGTTCGCGTCGTGCTGTAGTTCTCGTGCCATGAGCCTCGGTGGTGGGAACACTACTCGCAGGGGCAGGAATCCCACTCCTTCCGGGTGGTTCTCTTCGACGTCCGGCCGACGAGCGTGGAACGATTTGCGAATACGGGCTTGGGTTTGGCATGGTGTGGGAATTTGAGTTGACAAGGATGGAGGGTGGGACTCTGATGACGGCAGGAAGTGGAGCAGCGGCAAGGGCTGGAGGTGGGGAAGCGGCAAGAGCTGGAGGTGGGGAAGCGGCAAGAGCTGGGACTGGGACTGGAGCGAAAATCGGTTGAGGAGCGGCGATGGGGGCAGAAGAGGATGAGGATGCGGATGTGGTAGGTGATCTAAGCGTTGGATATTGTGGTGCTGTATAGGCGGTAGGGATGCTCGATGCGGGTACGGGTCCCGATGAGAACGATGAGGCACTAACATCGGACGTAGGTGCTCGGGATTGAGTCGGAGCAGAGATGAATGGTGTTCTTGATGAAGAGATTGACTCGGATGAGGGGGGTGGTGCTACAGGCATGGCTTGGGATTTCTTCGTGATTCCTACGGCGCTCGGGGGCTGAGATGGCGGAAGTGAAGTTCCAGTGGTTATTGTTGTCGGGCTGCAGAGAAACATGCACAAAATATCAGCATGCTGTCCTTTCCACGAGGGCTCAGTAGGCACCATGAGATGCGTAAATACGGGTAAAAATGATGGAATAAAGACGAATTGAAAGAATGATATGGTAGAAGAATGCGAGGCAACAATGGGACGTACTAGGCAGACGACGGCGCAATCGACGAACTCTCATCGCCGTATCCCGGATAAATACGAGGCATGGCGCTGCCACCACGACCAACTCTACGAGAAGACGCGTCCATCGTTCTCCTCACGCCTCCTTACACACTTCTTTAAGCCGATACGTGGACGTGCGGTCCCCCAATTTCGCCTTGAAATTTGTTTCCCAAAAGAGCGCTGAAGCCAGACCCTGGAAGCCTGCGCGTCGAGTCGGTGCGTATGCAAACAAGTGTATAGATAATCAAGTGTCCAGAATATATTAGAAAAAGAAAGTCAAAGTCAACGAAAGCTAGATCGCGACGTCTGAGATGAAAGTGACGATGGTGAATGGTGGTGGTATTAAGGTGGGAGCTCTGTGCGATAGGGGCCTCGTGGAAGAGTGGATCCTTTTCCACGAGTTTTCTGCCTCGTGTTCTGGGATATAATCGGCTGTGAGCGCTAAAGGAACAAAAGGATGGGATATCCATTGTTGGGAGACCCTGACGGAGTTATCAGACGGCGATATGTACTGAGCAAGACGGTTGTCAGAGGAAAGCGACTCGGAATTACCGGAGCGGCCCTACCAGAGAAACATAAAGCGGCGCCACATTTAAGTCGGCGCCACACCTGCGCCACACAAGCAGCCAGATTCATACTCACCCCTCTGGTACAATAAGACACACAAATCCCGGTCCTATAATAGAAAGTTGATGTACAAGATACATGGTTAGATTACAATAATCATACTACCCTCAGAGCGAACGCAACGTCATGATCGCCATCTCCCCAACCTCACGCTCCATCCCATGCCCCAACCCCCCTCTGCTCCCCTATCATCCCCGTTCCTCCTCTCGTTTCCATCCCTCTCCTGTTCCTCACTCGTCCTACCACTCCCACTCCCACTTCCACTCGCGCTACCACCACCCACCCTCCCAACCTCCTTCATCCCATACCCCTCCTGCATCCCTCCACCATTTCCGTTTCCACGCCCCACAACCTCCCCGTCTCCAACCCCCATCTCCGCATCACGCCCCTCATGATGCCATGGCACGTTATAATTCACACTATACCCCAATATCTCGTCCGTTCTCGTGAAGCTGAACGACAGCGGCTCCGTGGAGATCTGTGATTCTGCATCACCTCTCCCTCCACCGTTCCCACCACCTTCTCTGCATGCATTATCTTCATGGGCATCATATCTCACTCCCAAGTTCGCTCCGCAAGCAGGACAAGGATGAGAGTGGTTATGTCGTCGTGTGCGAGGGGATTTGGAGTGGTCTGAGCGGATGGCGGTGCGTGCGTTGAGGTTTACTAACATTGCGTTGAAGTAGACTGTGCGCAGCAATATGCAAGTCATCATCGTCCGGTCAGTGGTGGGCTCATGCAAAAGAGAGTGAAGAGAAGGAGGGGACAGGAGGGATAGGTTAGGACGACCTACGTTTTGATAGAAGCATGAAGAACGCCATGAATATGAACGTGTGCGGGCGGACTGAGAACTAGATAGGACAAGTAATGGCTTCAGCACGAAGCGTCGAACCAGTATTCTTTGGATGTTGATGAGAGGGATGGGTACGTACGGAGACAAGGACGGCGATGGCACATAGACTGTCGAGGCATCAAATGGTCCCAATTAGTCTTCGTGAGGAAGGAAGAGAAGGGAGGAGGAATGTCGTTACCTGGTCAACATACTCGTGCCGACCACATATTGAATCAGTTTCACCACAAGCGAATGAGTCCTATAGACAAAACACATCATCGTGATCAGTCCATGATCGCCAGCGCAGAATGCCGAGGTCGACTAGATAACAAACAGGGAGGATTATGGCAAAGGCACAAGAGACATACTTCGCAACTGAATCGTCTACTCTCCTCAGACATATCAACAACGCCACTGCGATCGTCGTGTCTGAGAGGACGACTGTGCTTGTGTTGAGGTAGATGGACCACTGGTTATACACATGTATGGCGAAACGATAGTAGAGGTGTTGAGCGTCAGTTTCGATGGGGGATTGGAGAAGAAAGAATGACGAACAGCGACGTTATCGGCTTCGGGTCCTATCTTTCGACTGTAGATGAAAACCTTCGTAAGTCCATCCGTGTCCCTAGAGCTATCGAAGACAGGGATCGATACACTTACTGTGTTGCCGCCAACACTATACGAAGAAAGATTTGGTCCGACGAATAAGTGAGCGAATGAATACGCGAGCGTGATATGTTGAAGCAAGACGGACTCACGGATGCCACAAACTAGTGTCCATTATGATAGTATGATGAGTTACACGGCGCTACCGGAATCAAGAGCAGAACACACCGAAGGAAATGAACGATACTACATTCTATCAACGATATAGCCTGTCAGTCACAGCTTCTGTTATGGAGGAAGGAGAAACCGGAACGCACCACACCAACGGCCACATAGATGTTGCTCGTGCTTACTATATAACGACAATGCGCAACGAGCCATGGTTGGGATTAAACACATTGGCACGACTACCGAAAGAAGGATAACGAACAGCTTACATGTCCATAGTCTCGAGCAATAGAAACTGGATGAAGGGTCGAATTCCATCAGCCTTTTCCTGGGAGAAATGTGCGGAAGACAAGAGATAACGTACCATCGAACAAGGTAGTCGCTGAGTGCCTACAAAGGTCGGGAGCCAACGATTTAAACCACGCCTTAACCATAGGAAAGTCCGAAGCGACTCACGATGAGCACGAATAGAGCCTGCAAACACAAAAAAGAGGTTCAGCACCATACACGAGGAATCAGTTACCGCGAAACAAAGAGAGTAAGAATTCACGGACGCACCTCGACACTCCTACACACCACATCCCACCGATCGTGCGCCACAGTCAGCGGCAAAAAAAAACCATAAGTATCCAGATTCAAGCAAGGAGTGAATGATTCACAAAAGAGATGGCAACGGTGTATACAACGTACCATACAACATTATGCGTGATCAAATACGTCGCGTCTCCGAAATGGGAGATGAGGTAGAAGTACCCGGCATGGCTCGTGAACGCCATTTGGACGATATCGAGGATCCTGCACGTTACGTAGATGAGGTCGGTGATAAGTGAACGAAGACACAGCGAATAGAGTTCAGGCGTACCACAGAAAAGTGACCTAAGAGGGTAGCATCACCAGTTAGACGGAGACGGGCGGAGAAGAGAATGATGTAGGCAGGAATGGAAAACAACTCACGAATATCCTCATGGTGTAGACCTCTCTCCTCCAGTATCGTTTGTAGTAGATGTAAATCTGCATAATCGTGATTCCGAATATTCTGAGAGGGAAAGTTCATGTCAGCATCGTTTCAGGATCGAACCAACTTCGCAAGAGCGCCCGCGGCTTGCTGTGGCGCGGGCGCTTATGGTGCCATCCTGCCCTCAACCACGTTGAAGACCACACATCGCAGACGGTCGCAACACCCATCTCATCGTCAAACACACGGACACAGTCACAGTAGGAAAATATTGTATAAGAGGAAGAGGAAGAAATCACGCACATACAACAAGCAGTGTACCCAATAAACAACGAACCGAGGTCCTCGTTGAGCAAAGTCAACTCCGTGTCTGTCGGCGTCGCCATCCCTGAACTCTTTGTTCTCGTCCCGATTCTTATGAGGCGTCAATGTTTTCCGTCTAGCCAGCCTTCGTACACGAAGTGGGGTGTAGCGTGCGGAGTCGTGTAGTTATGTGTGTTGCGTCGCGTCGAACGATCTCGAGCAAGAGCGATGCGATGGAGACGAGATAACAAATAGTCCAAACGATCAAGCAGGTAGAGTTCCCAGTGGGTCAAGACGTGGGAGGACTGAATGCAGTATCGGAACAAGAATATAAATCAGGTATAAGATCAACCAAACGGAGGTCCAGAAGAAGATGTTGATCGCAAGCAAGCAGACTCGGGAACCTCAAGCTCGTGGATACGCCAGAGGAGGAACGAAAGAGGCCTAGCTCGTTGCACCAGGCGCCGTTGTTGTTCTTGTGGTGGTGGTACAGAAGAGAGGGGGCAGTGAGAAGAGCCAAGAACCTCAAGTAAGTAGATGCGAACTCAAAAAAGCGCAAACTTTCCCCGTCCCATCGCGTACATACGATATTCACAGCACCAGGAGTCTGAGAATAGCCGGACGAGACACCTCTCCCCGTTGCAATCGCGCATTGTAAGCCTCGTTCCGGCGCCCGTCGACGAATACGACCCAGACTGCATATGTATAAGGCACAAAAGTCATTGAAAGTCCTATTTTGGGTCCGAAGATGCCCCGCTATCCCCACACGACGACAAACTGCGCTCCAAGAGTGCTCCAAGCTGAGCCGGAATACATATCGACGTCGATCTCCTGTTTTACATCTGCTGATGAAAAAAAGCGAGCAAATAATCACCCGGTCTCGGAGCAATGACGAAGTTTCACTGCAACTTTATGCCTGAGTGTGGGTGCTCTGTTAGCATCGCATAGCTCGAGCCTAGTCCCATATCGAGGCAAAAGCTCCTCCAGAAGAACGAGAACGCCGAGCTGACTTCTCCTTGTAGTGCTCCATGGAAAGATGGGGGTCAAGAGAAGGAAAAGACCGCGACGGGATCAAATCGACAGCCTGAGGTTGACCTTCGCTGGTTCGAAAACGATAAGGATGATTCAGCTTCGGAAGTAGATCGGCTATTGTTGTTGTAAATACCGGTTATGCGAAAATTTCTTTATATCGTGCGGTCGGTTCTGAATACGAGAGGACGAGGATCTCACAAAGAGGAGGAGTGGGGACAAATTCAGAGCTGTCGCCGGCTCGCGGGTTTTACGTCACCTTTGAGCAGTGTGGCACAGATGTGGCGCGAGACAGGAAACCATGGACTTCAAGCTTTTTGTCGGCCAGAGACGATATCGATACATTCTGTGTATAATTATTATCAGAGTAGACACAGTGAATTATTCAAGATCCACATTCCCCGACATATTTACTGGACAACTATCATACGACCCTCTCATGGCACATTGCTTTCGCCCTCCTCAGCAAACAAGCGGATTACTCGCATCCTAGTCGAGAGACAAAGCTCATCAGTGTCCAATTATACTCATCCAGCCGTTAGTTTCCATTGAAGCTACCTAACTCGAAGCAAAATAATTAACATACAAGAAAGAGACTCACTATCGGGTGAGAACTCGAAAGCTGCGGCTCCTGACAATATTTTGTTCCCAAGACCTGCTTCAGATCTTGCAAGAGCTGTCTGTAGCTTTGGTGTGGATTGGCAGAGAGAGCGGTTATGAAGGCCTATGAGGCCGATTTTAGTGCAAATGCCACCACAAGTATCAAGTCACGATAGAAAAGGAGTCGGGAAAGAACAGCCTAAAATGGGTAGAGTGAATGTAAGAGTGAATAAACGCACATTAGACATGGCCCCCGTGACGATCGCATCCTTCACCATCTCATTGCTCAGCTGCGAGTCTTTACATCCGCTCCAGCAGATCTGTATGTCCCATAACAAAATCATACATCAGCATCTCGCCTTCCACTCTGCCTCTCCATCAAAGAGAACGTACGCAATCGGCCACAATACTCTTCGCTGGCCTAAGTGTCTTTTCCGCTCCATCCGACACCGTCACGCGTCTCTTCCCATTCTTTCTCGCCAATCTCCTTGCACCGACTCCCTCAGCCGATGCTGCCGTAGCCTCCATTATATCCGTAGGACCAGGTATCTTCACATCTGAGCCGGTGTCTTCCTGTGGACGTATGGTATAGGAAAGATCTTTTACGTTGTGAAGGAGCGAGAACGATTAGTACTCGGCGTATAAATTATGCCGGTGCGACACACCTAGCGCGGTTCCCGAATGGCACGACTGTGAACGAAGCGTACAGCGTTCGTTAGTTTATCATTTCTGATTGCTCTGTATATGTACTCACGTCGAAAATCGCCGTAAAGTGGCAACCAGACGGGAGAGAGCTGATCATGATACTGTTCATTTCCTAAGAGTACCAATGTTTATTCGTTAGCGGACCCCTCCGACGCGATGATGATACAAGGAAACAGTTACATCATCCATGATATATCCGCTTTCTTCCCAATCGACAGGGCAGATCGCTATACACCAATATTTAAACAGATGTCAGCATAGAGAACGGGGACTACGAAGTCGTGCGGAAAGGATGAGGTGGTGTGAATGGTGGGGACACGCACATTCATCATACCCATCAGCCTCGTCTAGGTCAGTGTCTGCTTTCTGATCTCCGTGACCCGAATCTGTCCATGTACGAAGAACAGTCAACATTAATACACAATGAAGAACGAGAAAGAGAGTTGACGGTGAGAACGACGCACAATGGAAGAAGAAAAGGTCGCCCGGCTGTGCGTCTTTCACGAGCAACCCCATCTCGTGTAACTAGCATGCATCAAGCCCAAAATACATTCACCAATATGGAAATGAGCGGTATGAACTTTAGAATGAAGCGAGCAGGAAGGAGAAAGGGAGAAGCTCCTTTCGACTATTCGCGGAGCACTTCCAGTCTTCTTCCTATTGTGATCAGGTAGCACGCGCTGACTAATGTGTTCTTTTTTTGTTCCGTGTCCACCTGACTACAGGGTTTTGCATAAGAAACCGGAATGTCGCGCGTAGAAAAATCGTGTGTGCCTGAACCAAACAAAGCCATAAACGGCAGACTTTCTCGGCATTCCTCGGCAGGATTCGTGTGGCACCAGCGAGGTATGCCCCTGTTCTTGAGCGTACCGACATTGCATGCCCACTGAAAGGTGCTCAACAGGTTTGAATTTGTGATCACATTCTCTGCTACTGAAGTACATAGCAGATAAGTCCAAAAGACCCGGGATAAAAGAGCCCGACGAGACAATCCCTCAACCCTCAACATAACAGGCGCAGACGTGCGGGCTGCCATTCCACACGACTCGAGACTCGACTTCCTCCGGTACCATAGGATACGCCTCAGTGACCCCACTCAGCCATTCCATATGTGCATCTCGTCTCGAGACTCGTGAAAGGATGAACAAAATACCAACTAAATACTACGTGGCTGTACTAAGAAAGAGGGGAGGGAGACACATATGTCTCGGAGACATACACAGTGGGACGGGAGGGCATCGCGAGCATGATGACCGGGAGCATCAGCTTGTCATGTTGACTGTACTGAAGCAGAAATCTGACACACGCAATTGAAAGCGCACCGAATACGCACCGGTTAACCAGTCCTGATGCTTTGTGCGCGGAGTTTTAGTACGTCGCAGAGCAATTCTGGAGCACGGACAAGGTGGTTCCTCAATTACGAGGGGAAAAGGGGGAACGATGGACAGAAAAGATTAGAATAAGTCCAATGGCTTTGTATGCGATGAAAGAGAAGAAAGGACGTACCCTTCCGACATACGCAAATGATCAAACTTCCTTCCTACAAAAACATTCCTTCAGTCATGCCGGTACTTGCGTTCAGAATCTCGTTGTCTTTGTCGCATAGATAGCGTGTCCGGGAGCACGAGCTGAGACCCGATTGTCCTTGCGGCTACTAGAGCGAAAAGTCGACGTTGATGTTGGTGCAATGTTGTTGGGAACCGCTGGAACACCGAACGTGTTGATCATCGCGAAAACAATGTCACGAGGATACATGATGAAGGCGAGAACTCTTATAGGGCGGAGTTCCGTAAGATCTAAGTTCAAGCACTGGAGAGCATATCGAGAGGTCTCTGAACAACGATATGGGCCGGAGAGATGAGAGGTGTTTCTGAGGTGCGCCACTGCCGAAACGTCGCCGAGAGTGCTTACCATTTACGGCTTTGTTTGGCTCAGGCGCCCAGAATTTTTCTACGCGCGACATTCCGGTTTCATATGCAAAACCCTGTAGCCTTTTTCGGGTATGAAGAAGACGATATCGTGATGCTCACAGACGATCAGAGTGATCCGCAGGCTATCCCGACGAGGGAGAACATTGTGCGTGTTCAGTTCACCCTAGGGACTGAAAATATATGAAAAGTATTTAGAGAAAAAAGTACGCACTGCGTAAAAAGCTCCGCATATTCCTCGCATCGTTGATACACCCCTTCAGTTCGTAGCTTTTTCCGAAATACTGTACTTTTTCGACCAACTGTTCGTCACGCGTCACGCGGGGAAAAATCTGAGGGTGCCGATGAGCTCCGATTAGAAATCGAGGTTCATCGGCCAACCCCAACCCTAGAAATTTCCTAATCGGGCGAACAGTTGGTCGAAAAAGTACAGTAGTTGATTCCAATGCACAGTGCCTTCTTCTTACCGTTCACGGTGTTCGCCAGAGACACGTAGGACTCAAGGGGGTGGCAAGCATAAAATTCTGTACCGGATCTTACCTTTCGCGTTTAAGCCCTCACCCCCCTCCCCCCCTCCCCCCCCCTCGAATATTTAAATGTTTTTAAAATGATTTATTTAATACTTTTCACACAACATAAAAGATCAAAACGGAGGGTTATTGTGGTATTAACTCATTGCTTTGATGAATGTTGGTGTAACCTAGCCTAAGGCTAGGGGAGGGGATGACCGACGTCGACCGTAGCTTAACCTAGCCTAGCCTAGGGGAGGGGATGACCGACGTCGACCGTAGCTTAACCTAGCCTAAAAGTATTCATTATTATCCTTTTTACACTCAAAACATCTTCTAGTCACAATTCTACCAGCACTGTGTACAAAGATAATCATATATGAGCCCCAAGAACCCTCCAAATGGCTGCCGTGGGACCTCCCATAATGTCCGGACAGTTCGCGTTTAAGGGCCCTCCGGGCCCCCCTCCCCCCCCTACATCCGGTTTTTTATTTTATTCCTGCCACCCCCTTGGTAGGACTTATTCATTGCTGGTGGAAGATCTAGATGTGCGTTATAGAGGCAAAATGGCTTTAAGACGACAAGCTAAAGATGAAGGCCAGATATCAAAGCAAGAGAGAGCTTCAGAGGCAGACAGGTCAACGACTGAGTGGGTGAGACTTCGCGTCCTGCGTATGTTTACGAATGATACGGGCCCAGCCTCATACTTATAGTGACAGTGGGCGCAAAACATAGGTGGCTCATCATTCGAGCAAGTCCAGTGGCTAAGGAATGAACACCACTAGCTATGTTCAGCAAGCTGATGAGCCTCATGAAGACGGGAAGGAGGTGAGAGCGGGAACTTGGAAGTTGGAAGGACGGCTGAAGTGCCGACATGTCGGAGCGCCTGACGAGAGGATCGCCGTTGGAGGATGCCGGAGGAAGCTTAAACTTGACGACGGCGCCACCTAGAGTACTTTCTCACGCATCCATGCGTCCACCACGACCACAATTTTCCAACGATATCCAAGTCCACTGCTGGCACCCTTGAGAACCTCTGCTGGAATCTGAGAACCTCTGTTGGTATCTGGTGAAAGGCTTTGAAATGGTGCTTTGCGATGTGAGCATCCTGAGGCGACTGCCGAGTCCAAGCCGAGTCAAGAGCTTGAAGCGCCTTTGCGAATCACGCCTTCCGAATCACACCCACCGTGACCGGCATGAAGTTGCTGGCCTGCATACTTACTGTCCATGGCCTAGTGCGAAGCACAAAAGTCGCCACGCCGGACGCACGTATGCTGGACACTAGAATTACTTATACTCCCACGCCTTGACTTGAATCCATGTCGGCTGCGAACTAGTCCCGGTTCGCGGATGTGTATCTGATGAAATTTACGACTCCGATCCCCACACAAGGTGCGCGGGAAGGGGGATGCCTCACGAATCTAATGTTGTGCTCACGGCGACCTGATCGATTATATATCTCATGGAGTCTTCACTACTTAAGTAATCTTCCCTGCTACCCCTTTCCGCTAAGTATTATTGGAACCATTCGATCGTGAGTGACAGCCTTGAGCTACTCATCCCAATACAGGGATCGTCATCTAGGAGATATATGTATTAACTTACCAGTTTCCGGATGGTGCTGTTCCCCGCGAACACCCTGACAGGTCTCTAGCACAGCCTGCCTGTCAATCACGTATTTTTTGGCCCATGTAAACCTGTACTCGATAAGGGAATTGCTTCGAAGGTCCGACCGCCCATACAGAGCCCAGACGCTCGCAAACTGCTTGGACTGGAAGATCTAGATGAGCATATCCCCAGTACGTTCGATAGGTACCATTTGGATTTCGTTTTCTCCACTCCCTCCGTCGTTGTTGTCGGCATATCGAAAGAAAAAGGATCAGGACCAGAAATACTGTCAAATGCGCATTGTCAAGATTCGAGATGACTTACAACGGGTCGCCGCAACTTCTCCATCTTCGCTATTACCAACACCTCCTTCAGCCTCTCCAAAGTCATCGTCCCACTGATCAGGATCCACAGGCGCTCCAATATTCCCCAAGAACCGATTCTGTGCAAGAGGTGGGCGGAATTGGAATCCGGCACACAGCTCGGACATTCGGCTACTGAATTCTCACGAGGGAGGTTGTCGTAACATGCCTTCTGAATTACCATTTTGGGCTGCGTGGCCGATCCGAGAGCGCCATTGTGGCCCGTACCGCTCTGTGGTATAATATGATTGCCCTCCGGGCGCGACCTGGTCCTATGTTCCCTGTAATTGTGTCAACCGTTCTTACTTACACCCTCTTCAAAGCTTCAACTCTGACCATGCCTGCAAACTTCAAAGTGATATTGATGCTAGCGGAGGGCCACTGCCGTGCCAGGGCTCCGCAAGCTCCGCCCAGCCGCTTCGTGGCCCTCCGAAGTGATTTTGTCAACTTGTGTGATTCTGAAAAGCTTCTAGATATTCAAATCAGATGAGGAGAAGAGGAGAATATGATATATACAGGATAATGGTACAGCTAAGGCTCTGAATGAGTAGAACCAGCCTGAATGTGATGAATAGTATCGTGAGAGATATCAAAGTAATAAGAAATAAGAAACAGATTGGAAACAGAACGACTCGAACAGAACCTGCGTCCGCGAACTCGGGACGGCTACGAGACCCGAATGTACATGCGTTGCTCCGCATATTCCTCGATCCCTATGCATACTCCTTCTCTCCCTTCACTCTGGAAAGTCAAGAACGACTCCGCCTGGGGCCCATTTGTCACTCCTTTCTTGCTCCTCATAGCCTCTATTGGGTACAGGTCTCTAACCGTATACTTATCTCATCTGTTAGGCGACACGTCCTCATGGTGCACGGATGAGTATACGGGTACATGATTATCGTGATGAGGAGATGAAAATGAGATGTTGACGAGATGAAACTAGAATTGGGGCAAGTGTGGTAACAACGGTGAAAGAGGGGTCATAGAAAAATGGATGAACCCGGGATGGAGATTCGATGAGCAAGGTGTGAATCAAAAAAGAACTGAGCAGAAACAAATCTTACACGAACCGCTTGAGCAAGTCTGCAATGGCCACAGTATTGTTGATATCTATGCGTGAGTCCGCCTCTGCTTTAGCCCCGCACATCTGTCAGTCCTTACCTCATTCCATTTACTCCGAAGGAATCATTCAAGAGCTTTCGGTACAAGTAAATTCATCTGTCGCGTCTTCCTTCCGCGCACCTCTCAATATCGAGTATCTCTACCCATGCATCCTCCTTTTAAATCGAGCGAGTAGGGTGCATGCGTGCAAGCGATGCCATGTGAACGATGCAAGGTGAGTACGCACATTGGTAAAGCGAACCGTGATTTTTATGACGGTGCGAGGTTCGTGATTATGATGGGCAAGAGCAGGGAGCTGACAAGGAGGACGATGTGTTGACGAGCAAGACGACTCAATGACGACCGAGAGCCTAGCTGAGCGGAGCACTGGGTGACCAACCAAAGAGGATAATGGCAGGAGGAAATGATTATGCGAGGCATTGAGCGAAGCACTAATGGCCCAATAATAAAGCTATGTACTTGATAGAAGCTAAGAAGAAAAGAGAGAGATGCGCAAGGGAAGACAAAAAACAGTGTGACCCGAAAAGCAGAGAGAAAATAGCTGTCAGCCATAGCTAGCCATGGCCGCGAAGAAGACTGCAGATTGCGAAGGCCTGTGAAGAATGTGGGTTGAACTTGAATGGTCAAGCCGGTCAAGTCTGACAAGATCCCGGTCATGGTATATTGATTTCGAATAACGGGTTAGTAAAGAAATCGTTTCTGCAAGGCAGAGTTTGGTAACTTTAAGGTGGCGAAGAGACGCGGGGTCAGTAAATGGTGGAAGGCCCCTGAGCATGATGTCATTGAACTGCATCATACCGGTCCGAAGCCTAGACCTTGAATGACACGCGAGCGAGAGAGCAGGAAGTTACTATTTATGGAAGGTGTCTGGCTTTTTCGTCTCCAGTCAAAACCTGGTTCCTAAAGGACCAGGTATCGTTACTTCATGCAGAAGTATCCTTTGAGGACTTCGATTTTGGTGTCCTGCATCAAAAGGCACTCGCTCTGAGCAGTGAAATGAGCTGAAATGCTCATCAACGGCTCTCCAGACTCACAAACACCACAGTGCCACTCAGCTTCATGCGCGTCTGCTCCGCCGGTCGCATTGCTCGAAGATGCCTTTTAGGGCAACGTTACGACAACCTCCCCCCCCGTGGGAATCAAATAGCCGAGGACCTTCCCATGTCTGGGATTGCAATTCCGCCCACCTCTTGATTCTGTGCAAAGTCTATCTCGGGAAGGGCTGACCGGTTGGTGTTGATCTTGGAACCGTTAGAGAGGTTATCGTGATTTCGGAGATTGAGGAACATCACATTGACGGCGATTGTCTGAAGCCTATACAAGGAACCATTAATTCATGAGCATATTAACGGATTCTTTGCTCGTCGAGAGCGGAGCGAGATAAATGACTTCCGGTGGTACTTACACGTAGAAGTAAGGAGATACAATGTTTCCTAGAATCCATTCGGCTGTGCCAGTATTGCTGTTGGTAGCTCTACCTATCATCGCCATCTATATAACGTTGCTCCAAGCTATGTTGAGCACATATCAAATAAGGACTGTGCAAGCATTTTTGGACGTACAACATCAGGGGCTGCTCGAGTAACCGATGCAACTAGAAGTGTTCTTGGGCCCAAGATGTTAGTCGTAAATATCTGAGAACAATACTAACAACACACATGTAGCATAGTAAACCTAACTGAAGCCAAAGGGTGTTACTATACCTGGGCACCTTATTAATTTGACACAGCATAGAGCACCCACAATCTCGCTGAAGCACTTGCAGGAAGCTTTGCTGGCCCAACCTCCGCATCTCTAAGACCACGCCTCCAATACTGTACAGCATCAACGAAATCATCAGTGTTTCAGAAGCTAACGGAAAAAGCTGGATGCAAAGGTCCACTGTGGGATGGAGCATGATCAGTCATGCGGTACAAATGTGTTCATATGACTCTAGGGGGGATCACTTACGGATTGGTTCGAACTTTGCTGTATTTGGATAGGTCACACGAGCTGTGAACTGACTGAGGAAAGTTCCTGTGTACGTGGCTGGGATTAAGCCGGTGAATAGCTGGCTCATGTACGGAGACATTCCCAAAGGTAAGCTTTACGATTCAGGGTCAGTTCACTTTCGCCGGCGGTCAGTGTGTACTACTTCAGTTTGCAGTCAGACTCAGAAATAATTCCTGGCGAAATCCTGGTGGCGATTATACAAGAGTGTCTGCGACGTGTCATGGAATGCGTTGACTCGACGCCCCGGTCGAAGCAGCCTAAATACTTACCTCGCCCCGGGGCGACATCACATCAGGCTACGACCGACCATCTGTCAAAAGACAACCATTTGGGATCCGACCCTGAAAAAAACCTCACACAACGCCATACAACATCAAAAGTCACGATAAATAAATACACGTCCACTCACACACCATACGTACACCTACACCTCACCAACACCGAACGGTCAAATGTTCACGATCTTACACTGCACCGGAAACAACTGTCCATTGTCCATCCTCCTCTTACTTACTCAAAACCACCGTTGATCTTTTCCTATCCTCCTATCGCCCATCCTGAGCTACACAACCCATAGCATCTCAACAGATGAACAACAAATTCGTATCCTGTTCCATATCCAGACCCAAGGAAGAACACATCAGCCCACACCCTTCCCATCAAGAACACCTCCCATAGAAAAGGGAAAGCGAAAATAGTAAAATACCGGACGAGGAAGAGTAGAAAGGTGATAGAGAAAGGATAGAAAAGCGGACGAGGAAGAAAGGACGCACCATCGGATGCGAACTCGAAAGCTGTGGTTTCTGGCTGTACTTCGCCTTCAAGATCTGCCTCAGGCCCTGCAAGAGCTGCATGTAGCTCTGCTGCGGGTTCGCGGAGAGGGCGGTTATGAAGGCCTGTTGTAGCATCATGACGGACAAAGTCAACAAGAAAGAACGCGAAGAGGGCTTCGAAGAAGAGAACGCACGTATGACATAGCGCCCGTCGCGCTGCCTGCCTCGTTCGCGTCCGCGCTCGTCTGTGAATCTTTACAGCCGCTCCACGAGATCTATGAACAAATCCCGACCATCAGCGTCCTATCACCCTCACACACCCCACAACCCATCACCCTCAACCCAAACGAGGAAAAAAGCGTCCAAAAACACTCACACAATCGGCCGAACTCGTCTTCGTCCGCCTACTCCTCTCCTCCGCCTTCTTCCCACCCCCACCCGTCGCCGTCTTCGCGATCTTCGTCAGACTGCTGAACACGCCGCCCATGTCTCCTCTTGCGTACGATGTGACGGCGGTGAGGAGCCCCTGGCCCGCTTCCGCGGCGAGGTTCGGTTCTTTGATTTTTCCTTCGGTTGAGTACTGTTGGTGGGGTGGGGAGGGTGGGGGCAGAGGGATTGGGTGGACGGAGGGCGGGGGGGTGATTGTGTGCGGAGGGGCGAGGAGGCATACGGCGAGATGGAGAGGGCAAAAAGAGAGAATCAGGTATCAGTAAAATTCGTAATCGTCAAGAACCATAAAATAGACGCACGATATAAGGCAGATCTAACCGTCCAAATTCATCAGCCGTCTTACTCTCCATATCCATAATACCTCAACGCTGCAAAAGAAAAAAAAACGTACCCAACGCAGACCCCGAATGGCACGACTACACCCATCACAGAGCGAAAAGAAAATCGAGCCGTCAGACCTTCCGTACTCGCGTGTATTATGCTAGAAAGACGAGCAGAAAGAACTCACGTCGTATATCGCCGTCAGCCGACATCCAGCCGGGAGCGGCCGTACCATTATATCGTGCATTTCCTATGCACGAACAGTCAATCAACCGCAAATGCAACAGAGCGGAATCGAACGGGAGGAAGTCAAAAAGAACGTACATCGTCCACGATATGTCCGTTCTCCTTGAAATCGACGGGGTAGATGACTACACGACCGCCGCACACCAAACCCCATTGAGCATGATGGCGGATGTAAAGCAAGAGGGCAGAGCCAGCGGCGGAAGAACGCACCCTCATCATACCCATCCGCCTCGTCCCCATCTAGATCCTTCGTCTGTCCTCCGTGTCCGGAGTCTATTCGTGCATTATCGCACAAACCAGAGGAAAAAATCCAAACGAGTCCGTCAGTACAAGTCCAGTCGACGCGGTGAAGAGTGTCCATTAACGGAGGGGATATGGAACGTAGGGGGATGGGGGGTGAGTGTGATGTTGGCAAAGTGAAGAAAAAAAGGACGTACAATGGAAGAACAACGAATCGTTCGGCTGCGCGCCGTTCACGAGCCACTGCATCGCGCGATACTATATCCAGAAACGTAAACAACTTGGTCAGTACACGGAGAAAAGGTGCAGAGCAGAGTGGGGGTGTAGAGTGGAGCGAGGATGTAGAGTAGTTTGACAACGGCAAGCATAAGCAAGGGCATAAAACCCAGAGAAGGAACTTACGATATTCTCCTTCGTCGGGATCGCACGCGGGTCGTTCTGGTCGTCCGTGAGCATCACGATATCGTCCTCTTTATACCCAAACTGGCCTATCCACGCCATCAGCACAACATCCGCTCCCTCCCCGTCCGTTTGCACAACGAACAAAACTGAAAACTTACCACACAAAAACCGCTTAATATTCCGCGCATCATTAATACACCCCTTCAGCTCCGCGCTCGTCCCGAAATAGTTGATGCCTATGCAGAGCGCCTTCTTCTTCCCGTTGCACTGCGAGTACTGGAAGTAGGGCTGTTCTTGCTGGTGCGAGTATTGGTTCTCGAATTGCGGGCCGTAGTTCTGTTGGTTGGTGGGGGGACGTTGGGGGGGTGGGCCGGCTGGGGGTGGGAGTGAAGGGGCGATGATGAGAGGGACGGAAGAAGAGTGAGACGGAGGAGTGGGAGGTGAGAGTGCGTCGGTCAGCCAACGAAGGAACAAATAATCCTTCCAAGGCAACCCAACGACGAAAGAAAGACATACAGGGCGGCGCATACCCTCCATACCCGCTCTCTCCACCTCCATACCCCGCGTTCCCTCCATATCCCGACTGACCGCCACCTCCACCGCCATACCCCGACGGCCGACTGCCCTGATGACTGCGCGTGCGAACATCCCACCAAGACGAGGAGCGAGGAGCGAATATCCCGACGAGAAGCGAAGGAGGAGCGAGAAGAGAAGGAGGGGTTCCATTTTCGTCCACGTCCATAAGAGGGTCATAGGTCATGTGTGCATCGGGCGTCAAAGAGGTCAGTCGTCCAGCGTCAAAACGTTAAACGAGCGCAACCGGTCAACACAGACGACACCAAAAATAAGCGGAAAAGAAAGCCCAGTCAGTCCAACATCCTTCAACACCGACTCCAGCTCCAAGAACGAAGACATTGAGTGCCAAGTGAAAAGACATCGAGTGACCAGAGAATGGAGTAGACAAAAGAAAGACGAAAACGCACGGCATAGGCGGCGGTCCACTCGGCGGTCCATACCCTCCTTGTCCTTGATCATACCCTCCATAGCCACCCCCACCGCCTTGGGCGGGGTAGCTGTTCCGCGAGACGGGCGGTGGGCCAGGTGGGGGTCCGTACCTGTTCGTTTGTTGGTCGTTTATTTGTTCGTTTGGTTGGTGTGATTGGTGGTTGGGGGAGTGGAGGGTGAAGTGTTCGGGATTCCGATTGAGAACAAGGGTGGAGAATGGTATAGTGAGGAGAGACGGACGTAAGCGTAGGAATAAGATCTAAAGATATGAGAACGCTAGCGTACCCTGAAGGAGGAGCATCAGGCGGCGGCCCATACGAAGGTGCATAGCCTGGACTATTGAACCCTGGCTCTCTACACACGTATTCGACATTCGAGAACAGTTGCACATGTGAGCTCCCTGCCACGCTTGGACGGGATAAGAAAAGACATACGGAGACGGGAATCCAAATCCACTGTACAGCGTCAAAACACGTCAGTAACACAAACGCAACGCAAGAACAGGACGAAACGGTACGCACCCCGGCGGCGGGGGACCTCCCTGCGGCCCACGGTGCTGATGATGATGATGCTGTTGTTGCTGGCCTGGATAATTGTTCCACATCGTTTACTTGCCGTATAATATTTGAATCAAGAATAAATCGATGAAGAAGAGCGTAAGATGAAAGAAGTGAGTGTGATGTTGATGGAGAGGACAAGGCGCAGCTTTGATTGAAAGCTGTGGCTTTATTTAGTCACACGTAAGAGGGGCGCTTAGGTGCCACCGCCACACCGACGCCTCTTTCTTTCCTTCCTCGACGATGGTTCGCTTCAAGGTCCGTCTCTTTCATCCATCTTCAGGCAACATGAACTCATTCAAATCAAAATTTAATACTTTGTTGTTAGAATCGGTGGATTCTCGTCGAGTTCCTACCCATGTCTCCTACTAGCACCTCCGACCAAGACCTAACCGGTCAACGCATCTTCAACGCCCTCCGACAAAGCATAATCTCCAACTTTGGAAGCGCAGGCTGGGGCTCTGTCGCCGCTTCCCTTTCCGGTACGTCTCTTTCATGAACATGATGACGTGTTCCCTGGCTTGACGAATAATGAATATGAATGAATCACAGTCAAATACTTCTCGCCCACGACGAACCTCTGTATCGTCCGTGTCGCGCGCGATCCATACCGCACGGCATGGGCGGGCGTGAGTATGCTTTCGAATATTGAAGGGAAGGTGTATTTGCCTAATGTTATACATGTCTCTGGTACGCGTCTTTTCTCTCTTATCTTATCCCTTTTATGTTCTTTATTTGGGAGGTGGATGTTGGATGATGGATGTACTTTTACGATGCCACGCGGTTTGCTATGGTTGGCCTTTCCGTACATGCGCTCGATAGCGTTGTCGTTCCATCCGTTTGCCCTCTTCCGAAAATACAATCAATCTCTCTTCAGGACAAACCTAACTAACGCCCCTTCCCTCCCTCCCTCCCTCCTCTCCCGAAACAGGCACAATAAAACATACCCAACTCGCAGCTATAGAACACAACCGAACCATCATCGCCCGCTACCGCGCTTCTTCCAAAACGCCTACCCATCCTCGTGAGTTCCACCCCCTTCTCTGCGCATCTATTCATACGCTGATATGACACTTTGTCAACGTGAAACGTGACAGATATGGCCGATTCATACGAGGGTTACCTCGAGAAAAGCGCGATGGAGATCTCGAGCCTGCAAGATTAAAATCCAGACATATATCACTTGATTCCATCATACCGCCATGTCCTGTCGCTATTTCCGCCGACCCGAGCCCGATCTCATCCCACCCGACGCTGTCCTTGAACCTCCCCTAAGTACGACTCTTGAAAATCCCCAACGACTCCTTCCTTCGGCAAAGTCGAACTGTACCGTACCACTGTCCGCCTTGAGCCGAACCGAGTCGAAGCTTAACGCGGACTGGTTAATAAGCAATGGGTTGCGTGGAGCTCAAGGGTAAGGGAGGCGAGGGGTTGGGTCGAATGAGGCAGGAAAGGGAGGAGAGGGGAGGGAGTGGAGGACAGAACCGCTGATCATGACTATTGGGACTGGGCAGGATGTGAGTGGGACGCGTACAATCAGGAGCAAGAGGAATGGGACGTGTAGAAAGGGTAGAGGCCGTCAACGGATCAGCACGAGCGGGTTGCTCTGGGATGCGTTCGAGTTGGACGGGGCGAGTACGAACGACGACGAAAAAAGTTACATTTCTACGTTTAGTGGTTGGATGTGGCCCAAGATGCAGATAGCTGTTAGATGCAAATGCTATAGCATGAGCCTGAGTAGGTGCGAGAGGTGTTTTTAGCAACAATCCAGGGTTCGCGCATATGCACCAATGAGAAGCCGGGTTGGTTTGGTAAGTGGTGGGCTCATACATATAAGTCTCTGGCTAGGCGGGTGGTCATAGGCTAAGTCGGTAAACATTAAACATTGCGTAGCAATTGATCATGTCACTGGAGGGCCGCGACTCGACGGACAAGGATGTCTGCTGGGTGGCACGAATCCAAGTGTGGCACCATCGCGAAGGCACCTTCCCAGGAACCAGGACGCCGGCCATTGACAAGGAACTTTATTCTGGTCCGACGGCTTTTCCTCGTACACCGCCGGAGGGCGGAAGCCTTGTAACAGGGTCGGCCGGGCGGCACGTTGTCACAGGCCAGACACGATACTGTTCCGGGGTTTTTCGGACGGACCCTGATCCAATGTTGCCGGCCAAGGTTGTACCAAGGTTGTCCATGGGGCACTGCGAGGGTTCCCGCCAAGCCGTCAAACACCCAAAATGCTGGTTGCCCGCGGCAAGAATTGAACGCGCGGCCTAAAACCACGGTCGGGCACAGAACAAACCTATAGCGAAACCACTAGACCATAGAGGCGTACACAACTAGCGAGACACCTTGAATATGTTCATCCGCTGCTGTTTTTTCCAAGGGTATAGAAGACGGACTGGAGGGACAGATGGTCGAAATAAATACGTAGCAGGTATCTACTAAATGGATAGTACTTACATGAGTGGTATATGACACTCAGTGAGGCGGGGAAGGATGAGCTACCCAAGGAGAACGCGACTTGGGCATATGCAGTCGTCAGAGCTTTCTGAAGGCGGTAGGGAGCGGCTGACTAAGCGGATACGTAGAGGGGAGGACGTTGCAACCTTGGGACAACCTTTTCGAAAAGCCCTGTTGCACGGGCTGCCGGACAAGCCTGGAACATCAATTTCGAAAATCCTCGTTATGGTATCGGTGCCGGGATCGCACATGGTCGCAGCGTCCCTATCCCGGGTATT